TCAACGAAAGATCCGTTATAAAGATGGTAGAAATCGGAACATTTTTTCTGGTACCTCCCCCACTAAGGGTTAAAATTTTTAATAACCAAAATGATCATTAAATCCGAAATAAGCTTCCGGTTCCCTTCAAATTACAAACATTCAAATATTATTATTAACCCAAGGTCTGATGTGACGATAGAATATATCGGTAGACTCCTTCTGCTACCTCACCCACAAAGGGTCAAAATTTTGAATATTTATTAAGTTCATAAAACACGAAATGAATATCCAATTCCTTTTAGACTTGGCACATCTCAATATTTCCATAAACGCAAGATCTGTTATAAAGATGTTAGAGAACGGACCATTACTTCTGGTACCTCCCCCACAAAGGGTTAAAATTTTGAATAACTAAAACGATCATAAAATCCAGTTCTCTTCAAATTTCACACTTGCCATTATTTTTACTAAAACAAGATCTGCTGTGAAAATGGGATATATCGGTCCACTCTTTCTGGTACTTCTTTCACAAAAAATTCAAAATTTGAAAAACAAAACGCCCAAAGGAAGCGAAATATGCATCCAACCTCTCTTCAAATTTCACACATCCGAATATTTTTGCTAACGCAGGATCTGTTGTGAAGATGATATACATTTGCCAACCACTTCTGGTACCTCACCCACAAAGGGTCACAATTTCCAATACTTATACGTTTTTCTTATGTGGAAACCATTCCTGTAGCCGGAAAGCTAGTGCGCAAATTTGAGAGAAAAATATCTATTGCTAACCACTGATTGGCAAATATTTCGACTTCGACATTTTAACACAACTTTCTTCAGAATATTGCAGCCGTTTCAAAACATAAATGGAAATGTGTGTTACGTAAATCCTCGCCGGGGTTCCTTTTAAAATCGTATCCTAAAAAATGTACAAATGTTCCTTTGACATGATAACCGAAGCAACACGTGGTTGTGTGCGTATGTGTGTACGCATGCGTGTGTTCCTTATTATAACAATAATCAAAATAATGATCCTTTTTGTATAACAATATTCATTTTGAATCCTTAAAGGGATAGCAGCAGCTGCCTGTTGATCTGCAAAAAAGAAAAGAACCACACATTTGCAAAATTCCTCGAGGAGATATTGCCAACTACACGTGCCATGGGGACCACTGCTGTTATGCTGCTGATGTCGACGATCTACTGATGTGTGTTCTAACTGGCACACATGTCTATTTCGAAATATCAACATGACAAAGGACTATTTGCAGATATTGCCATTTGGCAATGGCCTTTACAAAGTAACCTGGCAACAAATGTCCTGTCGGATTCTAACAACGTAGTGAAAAACCTGAAAAGAAGAAGACAAAGAATTAAACTTGATGCCAGGCCACATTAGAAAGGATCTTTACAAAAACTCAAGGTGTTTAAAAGTTTCTTGCCACAGCTCCGTTCTATTCTGCTGGGCTTTTTTCTTTTTGTTTTCTTTTCATTTCTTGCCAGTTTTTTGTTTGTTTGTTTGTTTCTCTATTGCAGAGTTCATCCCCTTCACAATGGATGGCAAAAAAAAGGAAACCCTGAAGACGCATAATCATTGCCAGCAAACGCATTGAACGAACATCTGCCCTCCATCCATTCAGTCCGCCACAAGAAACAAAAGTAAACGCGTTTTTATTACGTGGCCATTCTTTTTCTTCTTAGCTTTCAATTCACGACGCTTCTTCTGAACGTTTGTTGAGAAGACACCGGCAGACAGCCACACAAAAACCGGATTCTTCATTCGCATTGTCTGTCAGTTCACACACACACAGAAGATGTTCCTTTTTCACATATATATCCTTTTTTGCCTCATTGGAATCCTTTTGTCTGAACTTGTTTCATCCTTTTTGTTTCATTTCCAGCCGCCGAACATTGCTCCACACATCAATGGCCCCTATTGTCTGATCATCTTCTCTGTTAGCTTTACATTTTTCCTTTTGTCTTCGCATTTCATTTTGCCAGATGTTACGCGTCTCTACATGAGGATTCCTTCGGTAGGGAACGAAAGGTTTATAAAATAACATGGATAACTTTCTATCCACAAATGTGGATAATTTATTTATCCACAAAGCGTGGATAATTTTTATCCACAAAGCGTGGATAATTTTTATCCACAAAGCGTGGATAATTTATTTATCCACAATCGAGGATAATTTATTTATCCACAAGCCTGGATAATTTATTTATCCACAAACGTGGATAATTTATTTATCCACAAACGAGGATAATTTATTCAGCCACAAACGTGGATAATTTATTTTTCCACAAAGCGTGGATAATTTATTTATCCACAAACGTGGATAATTTATTTATCCACAAACGAGGATAATTTATTCAGCCACAAACGTGGATAATCTATTTATCCACAAATATGGATACTTTTTTATCCACAAATGTGGATAATTTATTTATCCACAAATGTGGATAATTCTTTTATCCACAAAAGTGGATAATATATTTATCCACAAACGTGGATAATTGATTTATCCAAAAACGTGGATAACTTTTTTATCCACAAACGTGGATAATTTATTTATCCACAAATGTGGATAAGTTATTTATCCACGAATCTTGGATAAATTATTTATCCACAAACGTGGATAAATTTTGTACTCCACAAACCTGGATAATTTATTTATCCACAAATGTGGATCAGTTATTAATCCACAAACGTGGATAATTTATTTATCCACAATAGTGGATAATTTATTTATCCACAAACGTGGATAATTTATTTATAAACAAACGTGGATAATTTATTTATAAACAAACGTGGATAATTTTCTTTATTCAAAAACGTGGATAATTTATTTATCCACAAACGTGGATAAATGTTGTTATCCACAAACCTGGATAATTTATTTGTCCAAAAACATGGATAATGTATTTATTCACAATTGTGGATAATTTATTTATCCACAAAACGTGGATAATTTATTTATCCACAATCGTGGATAATTGATTTATCCAGAAATGTGGATAAATTATTTATCCAGAAATGTGGATAAATTATTTATCCAGAAATGTGGATAAATTATTTATCCAGAAATGTGGATAAATTATTTATCCAGAAATGTGGATAAATTATTTATCCAGAAATGTGGATAAATTATTTATCCAGAAATGTGGATAAATTATTTATCCAGAAATGTGGATAAATTATTTATCCAGAAATGTGGATAAATTATTTATCCAGAAATGTGGATTCTTTATTCACAAATGTGGGTAAATATGGATAAGTTATGGATAAGTTATTTATCCACGTCTATGGATAAGTTATTTATCAACGCCTATGGATAAGTTATTTATCCACGCGTATGGATAAGTTATTTATCCACGCCTATGGATAATTTATTTATCCGCGCCTATGGATAATTTATTTATCCACAAACATGGATAGGTTATTTATCCACGTCTATGGATAAGGTATTTATCCACGCCTATGGATAATTTATTTATCCACAAACGTGGATAAGTTATTTATCCACAAACCGTGGATAATTTTTTATCCACAAATGTGGATAATTTTTTATCCACAAATGCGGATAATTATTTTATCCCCAAAGATGGATAATTTTTTTATCCACAAATGCGGATAATTCTTTTATCCCCAAAGGTGGATAATTTTTTATCCACAAATGCGCATAATTCTTTTATCGCCAAAGGTAGATAATTTTTTTTTCCACAGACCGTTGAGAAGGCTCCTAGGCGGTCTCTCTTTTTTATTTCAAAGAAAAGCAATATTAATTTCAATAAAAACTTTGCCGCCAATTACAATTGAATCTCTCAAACACAATTTTTAATCTCTTTCCTCTACAAAGGATCCCCTGGTCTAACAAGCATTTGGGCATTTCCTATTTCTCAATTGAAAAATCATAATCATAATACCATTTTAATTATTATTTATATATTGAATAGGCCTCCGCATGGCATGAAGATAATGAACGCATAACCTAACCTCAATGAATGAACTGAGAGAAAAAAACTTGCGAGTACAAAACAAACAACAATTTTACTTACAATCGCCACCTTCTTTTGTCCCTTTTTCCGTGTACCTATTATTGCTTCTTTATTTTGCGTTTTGTACTCAAGATCATAATTATGGAACGCAATTATAATCTTGATCTTGATTTTTTGCTGCTGTCGCTTTCTTTGTTTTGCCACAGGATCTATTTTTACCTCCCCTTTTTTCGTTTGTTTTGTTTGTTTCAAGGAAGAAAAAACGGTATTTGATCTTGACACAAACAAAAGTGGGCAGTTTTTTGAATGGAAAAAAACTGCGTGCCTGTGTGTGAGTGTGCGTGAATATTTCATGTATTGCCTTTGTTAAGAATCCTGAATGTAAGGATATTTTTTCTATTCATAATTTGTACCGGAGTATTATAAATCATAGTTATTTGTTGAATGGTACAATTGTGCGTGTTTACATACATACATATACTTCATACATATACATACTATACATATATAAAAAAACACAATAAAAAAAATTCCAAGTTAATAACAATAAAACTGAAACCAGGTCATATATTTTTTTTTTATTTTAATAATAATCTTTAATTTTATTCAAATCATTTAGCTTTTTTACTTTTATTTAATGGTAATTTGAACATCCCTTAATTATATGCCTTATAATGAATGACATTTTCGGCCTTAACTGTTATATTTCAGCCAACTGTCATACGCAGCCATTCAAGTTCACGTTAATTCTCGTATATGGTAACCCTTCTCATGAATTCACAGATAGAACAAATTCTGGTGGAAGAACTGGCTCACGCTATTCTTACCAGTGAATATTTTCGTTAAGCTTCTTTCTTTCGGAACAACATAAATTTAACAAAATTAGCAAAGAGGCTAATGAATATTATCTGTTCCTGCAGAATTTATGAAAACAGTGGAAAAATTATTGAATGAGAGGGAGAGAGAAAGAGAGAGAGAAAAAAATCAATTGAATGGAATCCAATTCACATCAATTGACAAGTCTGGGAGGAAGGGAACTAGTTTACATAATTCATTATAATGAATATTCACTGTGAACCGTTTAGCATCAGAACAGCACAGATTTAATTGTGTTTAAATCAAATTTGGTTTTTACTTAATTAAAGCGAAATTGTAGTCAATGGATTTCACAAAAATCAGTGACAAACTTATACCGGCTAATTACCTCAAGTTGGCGGTGGAATCTCAAAGGCCCAAGGAGATACGAATCAAAGAACTCTTGGAGAAGGTAAACGTTCATTTGAAATTTTTTAGCGGTAAGTTTAACAATAAACTGTCAACCACTAGCGTAAATTACCAGAAGATGGCTGGAGCGATGATTTAATTGAACTGGTGGTACAACAACTTTCGGCACTGGATTCGAATAACTTTTCCCATAATGTTGGTCTGGGGGAGAGAGAAGCTCGCATTGTTTGTGGTAAGTGAAAGTAGCGAATAAAAATCCACGACATTTTTAAATATCCAAGTTTTTTTTATTAGACTTAGTTGCCAAACGTCACTATAGCCTTGGTCATGGCATTGGCAGATCTGGAGACTTGCTAGAAGCTCAACCCAAAGCTGTTGGCTCCTCCATATTGGGGCAACTGACAAATGCCTTACTGCTAGATCTAATACATTGCATGGGTATACAAAGCTGTAAAAGTTGTTTCCTGGTACCCATGGCCACGGGGATGACGTTAACGTTGTGTTTTTTAAGTTTACGCAAGCTGAGGCCCAAAGGAAAATATATACTTTGGTCACGTATAGATCAAAAATCCTGTTTTAAAAGTATGACAACAGCTGGCTTCACGCCAATTGTTATTAACACCCAGCGAAAAGACAACGAAGATGGTTTATCGACAAATTTACATGAATTTGAAACACGGATTGGTGAACTCAATAATGAAGAGATTTTATGTATTATGTCCACTACCAGTTGTTTTGCCCCACGGAACTGTGATGATATTATAAAGCTAGCGGAAATGGCAAAACATCACAATCTACCTCACATAGTTAACAATGCTTATGGTCTTCAAAGTACTTATATCTGTCATCAATTGCAACAGGGTCAGAGGACGGGGAGGATTGATTTGATCGTACAGAGCACCGATAAAAATCTTCTGGTACCAGTTGGTGGGGCCATTGTGGCTGGATTTGATGAGGCAATGGTACACAATGTGGCAAAATCGTATGCAGGTGATATATTTTTCTTGTAAATTGTTTAACAATTTGTAAACTCGACATACATTCCCCTAGGTCGTGCCTCAGCTTCACAATCTTTGGATGTATTCATGACTCTGCTCTCACTTGGCAAGCATGGTTATCTACAGCTCTGCAAAGATCGTAAACAGCATTTCAATGAATTAAAAGAAAATCTGGAAACACTTGCAAAGAAATACAATTGCAAACTATTGGAGACCAAAGGCAATCCTATATCGTTGGCTTTATGTTTCGATGGTTTGTCGGTGGATCAACCAACCAAATTGGGTTCAATGCTTTATACACGCGGTGTTTCGGGTACAAGAGTTGTGGCGCCAGGTCCAACTAAAACCATAGATGGATATGAATTTAAAAGTAAGTTTATAACAGAATAAAAATTAAAATCATTTAATTATTTTATGACAATATCATTGCAGATTGGGGTACACATGAAGATCTGGAAAGATCTCCATATCTGACAGCGGCAGCCTCCATTGGCATCACCAGCAAAGATATAAATGTATTTATTAAAAAATTAACAGAGTTATTAGAAACATTAAAAGGTGATAAATAGAGAACATCTTTGGGACAATAGAAATGCAATCAATTTTTGAAATCAATAAAATCCGAGAGCAGTGAACAGATCTTAAATTTTTTTCAAAAAAAAAAATGCAAGGTCAACAGAATTTATTGCGGCACTTAACTAACCGATATCGAAATATCTAAAATACAGAAACTAAAATATCCAGAAAGACATCCACCTTCTAAAAAAACTAAATCATTTTCATAAATTTCAAGTAAAAACGTCATTGACTAAACTTTACCAATTAAAAATGGCATTAATTTAGACCACGTCGAACTTTTATACCCCATATATTTGATTATTTTGGGAGGACTTAATGGACCCGCTCCCATGGCTGTGCAAAATTTCAAAGCTCTGTCTTTAATAATTTGAGCTCAGTGGTACTTCGACATAGAATTCTACGCTGATATAGTCGAAATATACTTTTTGGGTTCTCCGAAGAATATTTAGAAGTTTTGCAAACGTAATGACACATTCTATACACCCTAAATTTTAAATTTATATCCTCCAAACAAAATCCAAATCATGGTTTTTTAAAGAATACATTTTCCACAAACATCGTGAAATAAATCGATATAGAATTATATGCTCCTAAAAAATACAAACTTTATGGGGTTTCGAAAGAATATTTCAAGATATTACAAACGGAATGACAAATTTAATATACCTCATTTTATGATTTATAACAGTATAACAACAAACATCGAATGATTATGACAGTCAAATAGACCCACTGTAAACATGCCACAATATTTTACATTTAGAATATAGATGAAAGAAAAATGAATTAAATAATGTTAGCTAAAACCGTACAATTTTTGCTAAAATTATTTAATTCATGTTCCTTTAATTTATATTCTTGCGTACATTTTACTTTTTATTCCAATTGGATGTTTTGTTTGCCATCCAACCATAACTAATTTCACAACACAATTGCCTGTGTTATGGCAACTCTGCAGGCACCGTTGTCAATTGAGAATGTAAACAATAAGTTCTTGCCTCTCTCTCTATCTCTCTATTTCCCTTTTTAGTTAGTCGCAGATTTAAAGAAGTCAAATCATCTTTTAATACGAACAACGACCAGATAATTATTAAATAAATAAAAAACATAAAAATCTACAATGTTTTCTTAAAAAAAAAACATGCTGATAACAAAGTTAACTGTGCAAAAATGAAAGGGAAATAGAAGTAAATTAACATCAGTAACTGCTTAAAAGTTGAATGGAAAAGTGGTTGGGCGCTCGAGGAGAACCAACAAGTGCAAAGTGTTTTTAATTTTCCAACAACAACTAAATAAAATTCTTGCACAACGAATAAGCTAATTTGTAGCTAGCACAAATCGAGACCACCAAACGCGCGTCATATTACTTTGCATTGCAGCGGCGTCGTAAATTCAACTTTGGTATGTATTGATTAAATTAAAATTTAAGATTAACAAGTTGCATTTTAAATTCTACTAGGCACGTAAGCCAAAAAGGTCCAAAGTTTGTACGTGTGTGTGTGTGAAAATGAGACCTGTCCACAGTGCATGTTCAATGGATTTTAGAAAAATATCTTTTTGAGTTTTTGAGAATTAGTTTAATGATGGAATATCATCTGGAAACAAATAGCAGCTTACAAAGGCATCGCAAGTGAAAAGTCTCCAATGACAATTATCATTGTAAATTAGGTGACAGGAAAAAAGACCAGATTGTGTGGCATATCAAGTAGCTACTTATCAGTCGAATGATTCAGATAGAAATTAACACAATTCAATCTGTGACGATAATAATTGCAGAACGTGTTATATTGTATCTTATTGTAACACATCTTCTAGTGGTTATTAGTACATACAGTTAAAAAAGGAAACTGGCTTTTACCGACATCTGGGTATTTAAAACGAAATTATCCATTTTCAGGATAGAAAATTAATATTAGGCTCCTTCTGCGGTTTTATAATAGATGTAGGTTATTTTGCTATAAAATTGTTTCACTTGTCGCATTGGCATTTTCATAAGCTTTCCAATGTCTATCTTGGTTAGGTTGAATCTAGAAGCTACCTCTAGAAAAAATTTAAAACAATAATCAACCTTTTAAAACTACATTCACCTCCATCTAATGTCATTGAATTATGCATAAAAAGTACTCACCCCAAAGGCATCTCAAACGTTGACTGAACGCCAGAAAGTTTTCCTAGAGATGGCTAGAATTCGCATTCTTCACTTTTAGTATGAACCCATCTGATGTTTTGCACTTTTCTCCTTGCCACAACCTATTGTCACGTGTACTAATTGATTGAGTTATCTACAGAATAACACAAATCTACTCACTTTTGTCAAAGGTCAATAGAATGGGCAGACAGCACAGTCACCAACAACCACAGTAAATGCAAGCACTATTTTGAACAAACACGAGATTCCTTTTCGCTTGTTTTTTAATTGTTTTATTTTTGTAGCGTCTAGTAGTTCTCATACGACATCAATGAATCATCATTCTATCATCAACAACTACCGGGCAAAGTGACGCACAAATTGGCAGCAATTTGTGTTTTTTTTTTTAATTTAACAACAACAAATAATTTCATCATTGTCAAATTTACCTTATCATTTTGGCGGCAACAGCATCTCATTTCTCACAAAAATGCTGTTAACGTCATAAATGAAAATCTTATTAGATTTATTTTAGTTCTCTCTCCCTCTTTCTCTCACACACACTCACTGTCGCATTACTCTCTGCCCCCAAGACAAATTGGCATGAATTCAATTTTTGACATGCAGCAAAAGGAATTTTCAGCAGAAAACATGAATGAATGTACCCCATGAGGTCCATCATCAGGGATGGGTGTAGGAGGCTGAAAAGAATTGTTCTCTCTAAATGCTTTGCATGCCACGGAATTGTCAAAAAAATTCAGTTGTTCCTATACCACGCTCGTGAAAGCATTTCCCCAATAAAAAGCAATTCAAAGTAAAAGTGTTTCCCTGTGATTGTTCCACCATGATGGGGGATAAGAAATGGATAGATATGGATGTGGATATAAACAAAGTACGTAATAATAAGAAAGAGTGTTAAATTAAACAATTAAAGGACATACGTTTCCAATGTACAAAAAAATGAACGTTATATGTGAGGTGACCTTTGCCTTCACACAAACACAATCAGCTGGTAATGTCCTAAAAATAGATTGAAAACGCAAACAAATTCCCTGCAGGTTTGGGTTATAAAATATTAACATATCAGTCATTTAAACTCTGTTTAAGGGGCGTTCCCTTAGCAATATGACTTTCCAATAATCTTCGACCATATCTAACTTCATTTTTACATTATTACACTTTTTTTCAGATCATAGCCATGACCACAGATGCTGAGTTTCTCAGCTCATATGAGCAGATAAAGGAGGCCAATAAATTTGCCCTAAAACAGGTGGAGTGTGCCATTGGCTTGGAAGAACTGGGCAAACCTCTGGATGCAATTAGAGCCTACGAAGAAGCCCTCAAGCTCATTGAGAAAAGTTTCGCCATTCCAGTGAGTCTGCCCGACAATACGGATAATGTTGAAAAGGAATGGAATGATGCCTGTTTGTTAATACAAAAATTGAAAGCGGCAAGAACTGAAGTTACATACCGTTTAAAGATATTAAAACAACAACATGCCCCCATTGATACGGACGCTGTGGAGGCAAGTGAACTTCCGCAAAGTGATGAGCCACAGGCTAAGAAAAAATCGAATCTATTGGAAAATCCTCAAACCTATTATGATATTACCAACAATGGTGGGGGTCCGGCGAAAACCTATAAACAAATAACCAAGGGCCTTAGGGATATAATGGCCGATCGCAGTAGTCCCGTGTTGTATGATACCCTGTTTCAGGCCAAGGTCAAACTGTACAAGATAATGCCCAATGGAGAAGTCAGGATGTTGGCTGTAAGTTTTCAATATCTATATATATGAAATGAAATAATATCCGATTTTTTTTCTAACTTAGGGTGAAACTTCCATGTCATTGGTAATGTGTACCATTGGCGGTGAATGGAGCTATTTGAATGGCCTATATTTCATACAGTGTGCCATCAAGGATCCCAACATTCCCAGTCCAATGGAGGAGGATGGTGCCGCCTCCTCATCTGTACTCCCCCTATCGAACTGTAATGACATGATTTGGATCTATCCCTTGGTATCGACTGTAACAACCTGCTATCACACGGAATACGGAGCCTTTATATTACCCGACTTGGAATCCAATGAAATGGGTTCAGCATTTGGTCTAATACTTTGTCCTCCTCCTGAACTCTCCGAAGAGGCATTTGCCGATCTGCAACAATTCTTTTTAGATCTTCTAGAAGCTGTGTTGGCTGGCACGGTGGAACAAATACCCGAAACTGCATTTGGCCGTCCGCCACGCGATACTAGCCAACAGGTTTCCAAAAATATTGTCACGACGGCCGATTTCATTGCCCGTGGCCTTATCAAGGGTGCCGAAAAGACCGGAGAGTTGATGAGAAAGAGTACACCGTATATTATATCAAAACTGAAACCAGCACCTGAAAATCCACCACCCATTTCACCGGCTGTACACAATACAGTGGCGGTGGCCAAGGGTGTCACCAGTGCGGCGGTGGGTGTTACAGGTTGGGTAGCGAATAAAGTCGGTTCGGCCTCGGTGGCCATTGGTAAATATTTGGCACCGCACATCCAACATCATGGAGCAAGTGTGTTACAGAAAACCTGTGGCCTAAATGAAAATGATGCCAACAAGAAAATGACCGATGCCCTGACAGTGGCAGCTGGTGCCGTTGAGGGATTTTCCACAATCGTTGATGGTCTGGAAAAATCGGCAGCCATTTTGGGCAATAATATAAGTGAAAACTCGGTGAAAATCATCGATCACAAGTAAGTTGAACATGAAATGTTGGGTAGTCGATTAATGTCTTATCATCTCTCTACCCTTTAGAGGTTTTTTTCCCATTGAAAAGTCGTTAGTGTGTTTAGGAGCCATTAACGATGTGTTATCTATGAAAATCACAAATATGGAAAATAATCAGGAATATAGAAAATACTCAGGAAGTGCTACCTGTTTATAATAACAGGATATACCATCTTTCTAAGCTTTAGAGGTTTTTTCTATTAAAAAGTCGTTAGTGTGTTTAGGAGCCCTCAAAAGACATGTTGTCTATGGAAGTCACAAATATGGAAAATAATCAGGAATAGAGAAAATATTGAGGAAGTGCTCCCTGTTTAAAATAACTCGACAAGTTTGTCGTCTTTGGATAGAGTTCTCTACAGACCTTTTTTAACAGACGACCTTCTAAGGATGATATTTGCATAGAAGACGCTCCGAGACAAAGATTTTCTAAAAATCGTTTTCAACACGTTTTGGAAATCTCTTATCCTTTTCGTTTAACATTTTCTTTCTATAAAATATAATCTCCTCCCTGATAAGAATACCATGTCAAGTTCCTCTGTCTAAGGAACCTTTTACAGGTCATCATTAGATAGACGTCCACAGAGTTTTTTTCAAACAGTAAACTATCTAAAGACCTATTTCGCATTGAAGACCTTCCACAGATACAGATTTTCCAAAAATCGGCTGCAAGATTTCTTCTATCTATAGAAAACCACAAGGCGGTCTTCTTACTAAAAAAACGACTAGAAAGAATTTTAATTGTTGAAGGTCTTCTATATAAAAAAGACCTTATTAGGTTAGGTTATTTTAAAGGATGTGCCGTTGCTTTGTAACAATGGCTTCACTCGTAGACCTACTGGTCTATTGTATTTTAAGAAAAAAAGATAAAGGCAGAAACGAATAAAATATAGAGAAAACGAATGATATGTGATCTCCGAAAAGATTAATGTGACTTTGTCTACTTTAGTTTTCTGGATGCTTTCCCACAAGCCTATGTCTAATACCGAAAAAGTTAGATAGTGACAAGTGCCTTTACGTCATCTTGACAAAGTCTGAAGTAATCAGTGTCGTCGTCACCCCACTTAGATGTCATGGCACTTATGTGCCATGTGTGATTGTTCCCACCACAAGTTTTAGATTTGATTTCGCAATGGATATGAGCGACCATAATCCCTTCTCGGAGAGCACCAGCCAAAATTTCTTAGAGACTCCCTCCATTTAGCCAGTTTTGTTGATATCTCCTGGAATAATGTTTATGTATCACTCGGAAGAAGTGCCAAAGGGGTGGCATTACCAAGTTCTTGATCACAAAATCGATTGATTCGGATCCCTGTCTTGTCAATTCATCTGCTGATTTATTGCCAGAGATGTTGCAATGACCTGAAACCTAAAGCTTTTCCAGTGCCTTCCTACACTACAAAACTACCATATATTAAATGGTTCGTGCTTTCAGATCCGTTTGACTATCGACATATATATTGTCACCGATCCGTACACAGTTTCTATTTGCCAGCAGATCTATGTTTTTTAAAGTAAAGATTTCTGTCTGAAATACGCTGCAGTTACTTACCTAAGTTTGAAGGAGTTTCAGATATTCAGGCTTTCGAAAAAGACCCCCGTACCCATTCCACTCTTTGTCTTTAAAAAGAAGGACTTAATATGAACTTTTTAAAAAATTCTACAACAGCAGTTCTTAAGACCTTAGAGAATTTTTAAAAATTCTAAAAAAAGGAGGAGGAGAAGGAGATGATCCTTGGAAAAAAATATTCTAAAAATGTTACCAATACAGCCTGAATGGAGCTTGGAAAAAACTTCTTACAAAAAATCAGATATGATAGTGTGTCCAAAAATTTTTCAAAATACACAACTATAGTTTGAATATTTTTGAAAAATAGTCTAAAATTCCACGATTATGGCTCTGATTGTCTTTGACAAAAAAACCAATTCTTGCTCCGATGTTCCTTGATTTTTTCTTTTAAATTCCATGCTAATTGAAATATTTTCTCTTATTTACCCCTTCCCCCCATAGATATGGCCGCCCAGCTAGCTCTGTTGCTGCCGAAACCTTCGACACCTTGGGCAATGCCTTTGTCGTCAGTCGCAACGTCAACTATATGCTGCCCAAGGGTATTGCCAAGAAATTGGTGAAACATTCTGGCAAAGCTGTGATCGAAGAATATAAATACAAACATGAATCTCAATATATAACAGCTGGAGCGCTATATCCCGATTTGAGGGTATTAAAAGAAACAACCACAGCTAATGTTTCTTCAACATCAGCGAATTGAAGTAAACAACAATAATATGCCTAGTTTTACCCCGCTACCAAATAAAATAAGAATTTATAAGACGAAGTTGAGAATCGAATGTTTTTTGCAACTGAATGATATTCACCCCCCCATATATTGTATTTGTTTTTTAGTTTATTTAAGATATGTATTTAGTTTTAATGTATAGTTTTTTTTTTTAAAGAATTTATTGTAATTGTTAATTGAGAAAAAAAAGAAAATAAATTGTTATTCCATTTAAATTGATTCACATAAATCCAAAAAAAAAAACTTTTATTTTGGTTTAGGGATATGTAGCCACAGGCACAGAATCGATGGGGTATATTTCGTTGTGTCTGATAAACCTAGAAAAACAAGTAAAATAGCATCACTCGGTCTTGCCAACAGATGTATAACCCCAGCCTTGAGTTATGATTATTCAAACACTTTAGTCTTCTGTGTAACCGAAGAATGACTGCTGTCTAAGTTTCGGAAAATGAAAACAAATCGTACTGAGCTTTCCCTCCCCTTAAGCCTATGTCTAACGCCGAAAAGATTTGGTCAGTGACGGAGGAATAGCTCTACCGTTTTATTTTCTTCCTCACTAATCGATATCTTCTCGTTACTCCACTTAAAAGTCATGGCCCTTATGTTACCGAGACCTGTGATTGTTCCCACCACAAGTTATAGGTTTGATTTCGCCATATCCATGAGCGACCTTAATCTCTTCTCAGAGAGAATCGGCCAAAATTTCTTGGAGTCTCACTCCATATAGCAAATTTTGTTGAAAGCTCTCGGAGTAATGTTTATGTATTACTCGAAAGAAGTGGCACAGAGGTGGCTTCACCAAGTTTTTGATCTCCAAATCTATTGATTCAGATCCCCGTCTTGTCAATCCATCTGCTGATTTATTGCCAGAGATGTTGCAATGACCTGGAACCCAAAGCTTTTCCAGTGCATTCCTACACTACAAAACTACCATATAATAAATGGTTCGTGCTTTCAGGTCCGTTTGACTATCGACATATACAGGGTGAGGTAAAACAAAAACTGCAACAAAGTCTAACGCCATAATTTTTACATTTTTTTTAATTTTTTTTGAATGAAAGCAAAAAATTTCGGAAATAGCATCAAATTTTAGAATAAGTTCAGATTTGGCACGAATTATTGCCTTCAAACGGCCAATGAAACCGTCACACGCTGCGCGAATGTTGCTCTGCGGTATTTTGGTCCATTCCCGGTGAAGCGCTTACTTGAGGTTATCGACATTTTTGTTGCTTTCCATAATACTCCAGACACAATAGTTCAACGGATTGGTATCCGGAGATTTTGTAGCCATTTTGGGTGGCACGTGCGAAGGTGCTGAGTGCTGTTGGAATGTCCAAGGTCTGCGGCCAAAATAATTGCGTGCCCAAGGCTTTAATACACCCTCCAGAATATTTCCCGTTAATAATCGGCATTTATTCTGATGCTACGGTCGATTAATACGAACGACCATCGGCTGTTATGGCGGCCCTGCCCACACCATCACCATGGCCGGCAGTTGAATTATGGCGGCCAACCGAAGTCGCACATTTTCAGCTGACCTCTTTGCGGTGTATGTTCTTGCACTTTTTGAAATTTCAATGGCTTTACCCCGAGCTAATTTTTCAATATTTGCCGAATGGAATATTGCGATATGTTCAGCTCACAAGCCATTTTTCGGCCACTGAGACGTGGATTTGGATCAAGTCGCTTTTTTACTTTTCGAACCATTTCTGCTAAAGTTTGCTGTTTTCTTTCGTCCACTTCCACTTCCTTGACGTCGGGCTATGCTACCAGTATCACAGTAACGAGCGATGGTTACGAGACACAAAAGATTTATTCACATTTAAATGCTGGAGTGCTTTAACGATAGCCACTTGTGGTTTTCCAGCCAAATATAAAGAAATCACACTATCACGCTTGAATTCCATCACGAATAACTCTTTTTTTCTGGAAAAATCTCACCAAAATACTTTTGTACGCTTGTAAACAATATAATGAGCTGTTACTGTAATAATTTTAGCAGCTCTCGGACGAGTGGCTTAGAAATGATAGCAATCTGAAGTTGGCTGCAGTTTTTTTCATTTCACCCAGTTTTTTCATATGGCTAAGGGTATAACTAGCCATATATAATTAGCTGAGGGTATAATAAACAATGGAAAAATTCGATATTTAATTCCCTGATTTCCCAAGAGCCTGTAACTCTAACTCAGGACACTTTACGTTTTAAAATTTACAAAAAAAAAAAAGATTTAGATATTTTATTTTATATGTATGTATATATGTAACTTGTTTTATTCCATATATTGTTTATATAATAATCATAATAATTTATAAATATATGATATATAGTTTTGTTTTTTTTTTTGCTTAGAAATTCAATGAATTGTTTCCTTTTTTATTTGAGAATTATTATATGTATATATATAATATTTTTAATTTTCATTAAGAAAATTTGAAAACAACACTAAATTTATTTTATTTTGTTTTTTTTTAAGAATTCATTATAAAAAAATGTTAATAAGAGTAATGATATTTTTTTTTGGTATTTTTTTTCTCGACAAATACCATTAACTTTTTTGTTGTTGAGGCTGCTATCCTTAATAAGTTAAGATGAAAACCATGGCTAATTCAAGTACAAAAAAAAAACATAATCAAGTTATTTGTTTTATTTCTTGGAAGAACTATTTTTTTTTTTTTTTTTTTTGAAAAGTGTGTTATTTCTTGTATCTTTTCATATTTTTCTTTTCAATTAAATTTAATGCAGTATATAATGTGTGTGTGTTTTTTTAATAATAATAATATAAATTAAATTAAAAAAAGAATTTGAGAACTTAACAAGTTATTGGAGAAAAATATACATATGGCACAAAATTATAACTTAGATTAGATTAAGAATAATAATAATAATATAATACAACAACAAAACAGAAGAAAAAAATAATTCAAAAAAATGGGGGGGGGGGCAAATTTGTTTATAAATATAACAAATAATAAATAAAAATCATAACGAAAAAATAATAATAATAATAATAACATAAGAAACGATAGTAGTTGTAAAAAAAGGGGAAACAGAAAAAAAATACAAAAGAAACTAAGGTCTGGAGACCGGGGATTTCCGTATGGAGACAAAATGAACTTTTCTGGGAAACTGTTCATGCCCTTTGTATTTATTTAAATTGCTGCTGAATAGCTCCTACCACAGAGTACATGGTCTACTAAAGAGTAGATGATCGCAAGTACCATCTACTATAGAGTAGATGTTCATAAATATCATTTACTGTTGAGTAGACGGTAGTAGATGCCATCGTAGATGTAATTTTGTATAGAGAAGATGATCGCATATGACATATACAATAGAGCAGTGGATTGCAGATACCATATTCTACTGAGTAGATGTTCGTAGATGTCATCTGCTATAGAGTAGATGTTCGTAAATGACATCTACGGTTGAGTAAATGATCGCAGAAGCCATTTACTCTAGGGTAGGTGATCGCAGGTACCATATTTTACCGAGTAGATGTTCGTAGATGTCGTCTACTATAGAGTAGATGTTCGTAAATGGCATCTATTGTTGAGTAAATGATCGCAGATGCCATTTACCTTAGTGTACATGATCGTAGATGCTACTTACTCTAGGGTAAGTGATTGCTGGTGACGCCTACTACAGAGTAGATAACCACAGTTAACATCTACTGTTGAACAGATTCCATCTACTATAGAGTAGATGACCGTAGATGTCATTTTCTATAGAAAATATGATCATAAAATTACATCTACAATAATGTAGATGATCGCAGAAACCATCTACTATAGAGTAGATGTTCGTAAACATCATCTACTGCTGAGTAGACGTAGTAGTAGATGCCATCTACTATGGAATACATAATCGTAGATGTAATTTTGTATAGAGAAGATGATCGCAGGTGACATAAACAATGGAGCAGTGGATTGCAGGTACCATGTTCTACCGAGCAGATCTCCCAGATGTCATCTATAATAGAGTAGATGTTCGTAAATGACATCTACTGTTGGATAAAAGATGCCAGATGCCATTTACTCCATGGTAGGTGATCACAGGTACCATATTCTACCGAGTAGATGTTCGTAGATGTCATCTATTATACAGTAGATGTTCGTAAATGGCATCTACTGTTAGGTAAATGATGCCAGGTGCCATTGACTCCAGGGTAGTTGATCACAGGTACCATATTCTGCCGAGTAGATGTTCATAGATGTCATCTACTATAGAGTATATGTTCGTAAATGACATCTACTATTGAATAAATGTTCGCAGATGCCATTTACATTTGTGTACATGATCGTAAATGCTATTTACTCTAGGGTAGGTGATTGCAGGTGTTACCTACTACAGAGTAGATGACCACCGTAGACATCTACTGTTGAACGGATTCCATCTACTATAGAGTATATGATCGTAGATGTCATTTTCAATAGAGAATATGATCACAGGTCCCAATTCTACAGAGTAGATGATCTTAGATGCCATTTACTATAGAAGAGGTGATCGCAGATGGCTCCTACTACAGAATAGATGGTCACAGATGAGATCTACTAAATAATAGATGATCACATGTACCATTTACTATTAAGTAGATGTTCAAAAATGTCATCTACTGTTGAGTAAATAATAGTAGATGCCGTCTACTTGAATGTCGATGATCTTAGAAGCCCCCAAATTGGCTCCCCAAAAAATCCCTTTTTATATACTACACCGACTTATTCAATATTCAATTTCAAAAGTGGTAAACAAAAAAAATGTAAATACTAAATTAAATATAAAACAAAAAAATACATAATTACATCTAATATATATATATATATATATATGTATTGTATATATGTAGAGAGAAAGAGATAGAGATAATTATAAGGATGAGTTTTTTGTTTCTCATGTCTTGCTTTTGTGTGGAAAGGAACATCAATAAATTTGGTTGTTTTTTGCCTTTGCTTTTTATAATTTCCCTGTTGAGAAGAAAACGAAAGAAAAAAGGGATTCAATTACCACCCTGTATATGTTTGTTTGTTGGTATTCCAAATAGTATGGGGTTTTTGCTTTTAACATTAACAATCAGCCGTCGGTTGCCACCAGCCTCCATTGGCTCCATTATCGCTGTTGCCACTAGACGATGTTGCAATCAGGGCATCCTTATTCAAATGTGTCTCAATGTCCACACGACAAATGGGGCAGTGTTTATTGGTCACTAACCATTGGTCCACACAGTCCGTATGGAATAAATGCATGCAGGGTAAACGTCTAAAAAAAGAAAAGGACGAAAAGAAGGAGAAAAAAAATTAATGCAAAATAAGGGTAATAAATGTCAGGCAAATGTCATATACCATAGAGAAGATGTTGGTAGATGGTATCTACTGAGGAGTAGATGTGTGTAGATGGTATCTACTATAGAGTAGATGTTCGTAGATAGTATCTACTGTGGAGTAGATGATCGTATATGTCATTTTCTACAGAAAAGATGGTAGATGGTGGCATATACACTTGAGTAGGTGTTCATGCATGACATCTACTGATAAGTAGATGAACACAGATTCCATCTGCTATGGAGTAGATGATCGTAGAGATTATTTTCTATAGAGAAATTAATCTACTATTAAGTATATGATCGCAGACACCACCTACCATAGAGAAGGATATCAAAAATGCCGTCTACTATTGAGTAGATGATCGCAAATGTCATATTCTATATAATAGAAGGTCACAAATGACATCTACAATAAAGTAGATGATCGCAGGAACCATCTACTAAAGAGTAGATGTAGGTAAATATCATCTACTGCCGAGACGATAGTAGATGCCATCTACTACGGAATAAATAATCGTAGATGTAACTTTGTATAGAGAAGATGATCGCAGATGACATATACAATGGAGTAGTGGATCGCAGGTACCATATTCTACCGGGTAGATGTTCGTAGATGTCATCTACTATAAAGTAGATGTCGTAAATGGCATCTATTGTTGAGTAGATGTTCGTAAATGGCATCTACTCTTGTGTAAATAATCGTAGATGCTATATACTCCAGGATAGGTGAATGCAGGTACCATATTCTACCGGGTAGATGTTTGTAGATGTCATCTACTATAGAGTAGATGTACGTAACTGACATCTACTGTTGAATAAATGATCGCAGATGTACAGGATCGTGGATGCTATTTACTCCAGGGTAGGTTATTGGTGGTGCCACCTACTACAGAGTAGATAGCCGCAGTTCACAGCTACTGTTGAAAAGATTCCATCTACTATAGAGTAGATGATCGTAGATGTCATTTACTTAAGTTTAGGTTATCGCAGGGTGGGTAAAGAGTAGATGATCGCAGGAACCATATACTATAGATTAGATGTTCGTAAATATCATCGACTACTAAGTAGACGATAGTAGATGCCATCTACTATGGAATAAAAAATCGTAGATGTAATTTTGTATAGAGCAGTGGATCGCAGGTACCATATTCTACCGAGTAGATGTTCGTAGATGTCATCTACTATAGGGTAGATGTTCGTAAATGGCATCTACTGTTGAGTAAATGGTCGCAGATGCCATAGGTTATTGCAGATATCAACTACTACAGAGCAAATGACCACAGTTGACATCTACTGTTGAACAGATTCCATCTACCATAGAGTAGATGATCGTAGATTCAATTTTCTATAGAAAATATAATCGGAGGTACCGTATTCTACAGAGTAGATGGCCGTATATGCCATTTACTTTAGGGTAGGTGATCGCAGATGGCTCCTACTACAGAGTAGATGAACTACTAAAGAGTAGATGATCGCAGGTACCATATACTATAAAGTAGATGTACGAAAATTTCAACTACTGTTGAGTTAATAATAGTAGATTCCGTCTACTTCAGAGTAGATGACCGTAGAAGCCATCTACTACAGAGTAGATTATCGCACATGATATCTATCTATCTATCTATCTACTGTTAAGCGGATGATCGCAATTGTCATTTTCAATAGAGAAGTTGTCGCTGATTGCATCTACAATAAAGTAGATGACATATACTATAGTAGATCATGGCAGATACCATTTACTATGGAGTAGAAGGCCACAGATAACATCTACGGTTGATAAGATGGCGGAAATAACATCTACTCTTGAGTAGATGGTCATAGATATAATCTACTACAGATTGATTAGATTCCATTTTTATAACGACGATTTCCGCAGATGCCATCTACTATAGAATAGCTATCGTCTACCATAGAGTAGATGATCTCAGATGACATCTATACCATTGTGGATTAGCTCCGACATTAGCTACTAATTAACTCAGATGTTATATATATGTTGAGATCACCATCACCACTTACCTCACATCATTTTCAATTTCGAATAGCGACAAACAAATGGCGCACTTTTCGGCATCTTCATCGGTTTCACTGGGACGTCGGACACGGCGATATTTATGCGGCAAGGTATTGCGTTCAATGATTTCCTACAAAAAAAACCCAAACACATTAACAAAAACAATTCAAATCACCTTCCCCCTCTCCAACAACTTACCACCGTTGCTCCACGCGGTGGCCTTATCGATGAACCAATGAAGATACGTGGCGTGGATAAATCAATCTCCACATGGACCGGTGAATAATGATGATGGAACATATGATGGTGAACAGCTGGCCGACGCAAGGCTGGACATCGGCGATTTTGTGGTTGTGGGCGGGAATCATAGGGATAATAAGCCTGCAGAGAGCAAAGAGAACACCAAAAAAAAATTAAAGATCTTTTCAAAAGTTTAGATATCTCCCCCACCAACTTACAGGATCTAGGCTTGAGACAGGACCATTTCGCCCATGCACACAGGAACATACATTCGACATTTGCTGGAAACGTGTACGAAAGCTACTGGTCAAATTCAAAGGATTCGATGACAAGTCGATGGGTGTTGGCGTCATATGACGACGATGGATTTCCTGGACATTATGCTGGCGCAGCCATAGATTCTGATGGACCAGATACGGTGGTGGTGGTGGTCCAGCGCCACCTACACCAGCGGCCGCTGCAGCTGCCGTGGCCCCCGGTCGGAATGTTAGTGTGGAGTGTGTGTGCGGTAGACCATGACCATGTGAATGGCCATGATGATTATGGGTGATTATGTGGTTGTCATGGGGTCGTGTCGTTGTGTGGGCGGTATGTGTGTGATGGTGATGATGATGATACATGGAATGTGGTGCATGTGGGTATTGATGGGCAATGGGGGTATTGCCCAAAAGGGCGGCCGTTGATGGACTTATGTGCGGTGATAGAGATGGCGGGGGATTTACCATCGAACGTGATGGCTGCTGCTGCTGCTGTTGTTGTTGTTGTGGTGCTGGTGCTTGGTTGGTTGTATCTGGCACCATGTTCGGCTGCTGTAAGTATAAAGGTGTGGGAGGCGGTAAAACGGTGTGTGGAGGTCCACTGTTTCGTACACCTACCAAATCCCTTGTCGCCACCGGCGCCATACCCTGCATGGCAGCAGCATCGTAGGGATCCACAAGGAAAATGGGTGGTGGTGGCGAATTCGGTATGGCAGGGAAGGAGGTTGGCACAATCGATAGCATGGTCCCTGGTAAAGTGGTTTCCGGCAAATATGGATGCCAAACAGTTCTTAGGCGCGTCAACGGTTGGCCTCCACTTGAGTTCGTGTTGCGACAATGGGGTGCTATTGTGGCCAATGATGATGAGGCTGACGAGGATGAATTTGCCGAATCCCAGTGATTCTCGGCGACCGCCTCGCCAGCAACTTCATTGTCTTGATCGGATGGCATAAAGCAATCCAGGCAGGGCGCAGTTGGCCACACACGAGAACTCGATGCTTCGCCCATTGAAGACGTGCTACCGGCCGAAAAAGACCTTGCCGCCGTTTGGTAGGTATTGCCACCTTGGAATGCATAGTTGTTTAGGCCAGTACTGTTAGATTGATGCGCCCTTTGAGGCTCTGCAACGGGCGAGGGAAAAAGGCCAGACATGGTATCTTCCATGTACCAATTGGGACTGAGACGAGTTGGCTCCGATGACATTACAAATTGCGGTGCAGCCAGACCAACTGAGCAAATGATGCCAGTTGTTGAGGCATTCTGGTTCGTGGTCGTGGTGGTACCCGCCACACTGCTATGGCTGGGCATTTCCAGTGCCAAAGGTGATTCATCGTCTGCCGTCAAATCTATGGATAGAATCGGTTCACGGCTGGAATGAACAAAGACCACTTCATCATCATCGCCATCGGTACTGGGAGTGGTGGTTGCATCCGACAGCCAATCTAATTGTAAATCGGGCGCGGTCAAGACAGCTGGCATTTTAGTGTTGGGATTTTGTTTGGCATTGGTAGCGGCTTCCGGTCGACGGCTTCTTCCTCCACCACGTGACGTGGAAGGCTGATCATCACTGTCGGCAAAATTTACCGCCTGTTGGTTGGAGCTGGAGACAGCCTCGGGGCGTTTCCTCCTCACAAGTTGTATTGAAGGCAAGTTGGAAAATATTGACGTCACTGAGTTGGAAAATAGTGGCGTCGATATTGATGGTGGTGGTGACGACGGTGGTACCGGTACTGGTGGTGGTGGCGGCGGCGGAGGCGGTAGGTTATTTCCTGCATAGGTTATGACATAGGAGCCATGCGAAGAATTCGTACTGGAAGAATCCCTGGACGGAAACAAGCCGGAGTTATTTCGGTTGTGTACTCCTCCAGTATGATTGCTATTAAGTCTTTGTATTTTGGATGATCTGCCCGGTTCCTCCTCGTCTTCCTCCTCCTCTTCTGCCGCTTCTGTCTGGGTCTGTCTTCTCTCATTGGGTCGGGTGTAACGTAAATGAAAATGTCCCAATGGTGAGTTGGATCCGTCATCGGCATCGTTAGTTTGGCTGGTATTTCCTTTGCATTTCGCCGAGGACGATGAGGAGGAGGGTTTATGTAAATTCCACGCCTGTGAGGATGTTTGGTCCGAGCTCTCATCCTGGTATTGCCAATATTCGAAGGAGGCCCTTTCACCCCTCCGGGTACCCGCCGATGTTGAGGGTTGATCATCACTCAATTGCCTCTGAGAATTGCTGCTGCTGTTGTTGTTGTTGGATGAGGATGATGTTGATTCAACCAGATCAATGGTAAAGCGTTCCCTGCCACTGGCAGTGGCTTCATTGTTTGCTGTACTAGACGAGCGATGGTTGCCGGAACTCCCCCCACCCGTTGATGAGGTTGATGTGGGCGATGAACCCACAACATTGGTGGTGGTGGACTTATGTTTTTTATTGGCTGCTGCTGATGTTGTTGTTGTGGTATTTGTGGTCCGCGTATGGGCAAATTGCACATGTTCCGTCTCTGACGATGCCGATGAAACCTCATCGTTGGGCGGCGGCTGAGGCATAGATATTGAGTAGGGTGTGCCACGACATGACTCCAATTCATCCGGTGGCAAGGTGGTATTCATGGAAGTGGATGTGGTCGAGGCAACCTCATCCTCATTCCTAGATGACGACGAAGGTACTAAAACATAGGGTGTGTCTTCGTAAAATCTCCTCCTTGGTCTATCCCTTTCGTTGCCATTTGCCGTTGTTGTGGCATGACTGTTGAAAATGATATTTGCTGAGCTTGCGGTTCCTCCCCGCGCTTCCACTTCAGGATTATCCCTTGCATGGTATGGAACAATAACTTCCGAGGCAGCAGTTGGCAGGTTACGGGTGATGCCATTTTGAGTGTGGCTGTCACATTGGCTGGCCGAGTTGGGTAGACTGTGGGGTGGCGGTGGTTGTGGTGGGGAACTTGTGTTACTACTCGTTGCCGCACAGTGGCACGATTGAGATTGTTGAGAATGGTGGTGGTGACAATGCTGAGCATGATGCGGATGATTTTGGGTAGGCAGGTAGGCATAGTAGTAGCCACCACCGCGGGCACCATCTGGATGATATTCATCGCTGTACTGATGCTGCGAATGTGGAATATCGCCGCCATTGCTGTCATATTCTGATGATTCGCAAACCCTTGCCACTGTTGAAGTACTGGCGCCGTGATGGGGTACTGTAGAGGCCGGCTGCTGCTGCTGGAGACGATGATGGTGATAATGTGGGCGACAAACAGCATTCGCCTGCTGCTGCTGCTGCTGGGATGGAGGCGGCTGTTGTATATGATTGTTGTGAGGATGCTGGATATGATGATAGCCTATACTTCCAGCTGTGGTGCGATCCGCTGACGATCCCTCCAAATCAGATTCCGCCATATAACCACCAGGCGACGTATAATGTTGACGCTGTATTTGCTGATACGGTTGATGCAGATGCTGGTGTGGATGATGATGATGGTGGTGGTGATGATGGTGATAATGTTGCCTTGGATAGTACAAAGGACGATTTGGTGTTAATAAATGCTGCTGCTGCTGCTGCTGTTGGGATTCCGCCGACGATGTTGTTACCGCAGCCGAGGAGGTTGTATTATTGCCAGTTCCACCATCCACTGATGCTCCATAATCTGATGTCGATGGTAGGTAATGTGATCGACTTACTGCCACATCGGAGCCAACATCCTGCCAAAGAAAAAGAGAAGAAAGTAGAACAAATAAATAACTTTGAGTAACCATCAATGAATTTTGAAGATATTTTAACCTCTATAACATAGACCGTTTCATAATTTGCCGGGACCACTTCTTCATTCACATGCTGTTGCACTTCCAATGCAAGTTCATTCATGCCATGGTGCTGGTGAGGTACCAATTGATGATGCCCACCACTGCTTGGTTGCTCCACATTATGTGGTGCTGTTGTGGAGGTTGGATTATGTTGCTGCGTTTGTTGGTTGTTGCCATTTTGTTCTGTTTCCATAATATGTTACATGCGCTGTAGTAGGGGGTCATGTCCATATGTGCTCCGACTAGCTTGGTCGCCTCTCTGGGTGTGGTCCCAACCCGTCACCCCTACTCCTGACATGCAGCAATTAAAATGAAGACACAACACTGAATACTACATTAACACAACGATGCATCACCTCCTATACTGGACCCCCAACCGATGACCAATATCATGCCCACCCAACCATGATCAGTACCTCCTCTTCTTTACTTAACTGACCCCACAAACCGCCCACATCCATCACTTACCTCGTCCTTAATTCCTCTTTAGCTAACTTAACACGTCATCTTTTTAATCTTGACAAACATTCAAATCATTTCTTTTTTTATTATTTAAAAGAATTACTAATCCTAACAAGAAGTCGTTTATGCTTAATAAAAAAAACTTACAACAATAAAAATACAATAAATATCTAAAAAAAATTATCACATAAAAATTTAAATAGTTGTTTTATTCCTGCTAAAGGGTTGTTAGGAAATTTAAAATTTTAACGGCTATTTGCCAAATTAAATAACGAACGGTCTTTTGACCATGAATCTTTTACCTCAAAAAAAAAAGGTTTATTTCATGTCCAATTCCATGAACATTAATAGACAAGACTGAAATTACACTCGCAAAGCTATTTTTCTTTCCGAATCCACAATGAACGTGGTTTTTAATATATACTTTTAACACTTTCAAACCCACCCTAATAACCTCGACAAAAGAGCTCTGTTGCGAAGAAATTTAATGGGGAACCAAAAAAAAACTATATCGAAACCTTAGCTTTGAGAATGCTGAAAAAAGAAAATTTAGACATATAACAAACAAATAAACATAAATAATAATACTAATAAAATAAGTCAATACAAATAACTAAATCTAAATATGAATAATATTTTGACAGGAATAACAGGAATAATTTTTGATTTTAAATGTGATAAAAAAATTTTTAATATTAGGTCAATAAAAATTGTTTTTAGATGAAAATTGTAGTTAAGAATAGTGACGCCAACTTCTTATTCATTAATTTTACTACTTGCGCCACTTAGAATTTTGTTTCCAGGCTTTTTCTTTTCTTCTGCACCAATCGTGGTAATAGCAAAAATCTTCCACCTTGGAAACACTGTAAAATTATGGTAGTTTGTCGATATATGTGTGGATCCTATTGTGTCTTGGATCATTAACACAGCCAATTTTTTCTTTATAGAAATAAAGTGGTGCTGAACCGAGATCACGTGGAATGCTTGTATAGCCACTGTCCCGTAGATGGCGGTGGGGCAGATATACTGGTGCTATAAAAAGTTGGGAAATTATATTTTCCTACCTTCGCAATACCGGGATAATGTTTGTGATGTTTGGTCTTCACCCAAGAGATAGCGCTTTTCTTTCGTTGTTGCGCTGTCGTGTGTAAACGTGGCTGGCCTATCCAAGAAATAGGAATTTTAATATTTGGCTTAAAAGAATTTAGCCACTTTTAATAATTACCTCAATGGCTTTCGCCTCACACTTATTAATTAATTTATCCACTGGGTTCACCGCAAAGACCAACAAAAATCACACAATCCTCCAAGCAAACCTAATTTTAAAGACTTGTTAATAATTTTTTTCCATTTTTCACTAATTTTCACACAATTATCACCTTTTATTTAAATTTGTAGTTCTTTTTTCAATTTAATATCTTAATAGTCATGAATATTTTTCACTGAACTTCCAATTTTCAGTATGAACGTTTTTTCTCGTTCAGCACCAATTTTCTAACTATTAACCTCTCTTCGTTGGCTACTCTCTTTTATAACCTTTTCAGTGCGCCGTTGTAGCTTTCCACTGATGGACATTTTGTTCATTAGACACCAGTTATCCTTATCTAAATTAAAGAAATGGTCTCTGTCTAGTGAAACTTTCATACTCATATTTGCCCAAAAAAATTAAGAGTCACAATTTTTCTCGCGACTGCTATCTAAGAGTATTTAACTCCACATCGGCAACACCGTCTCTACTTTGCTTAAGTTCCATTACCAATTCCATTTGGGTTATCACTTCGTAGTGAATGTCATTCATAGCCATCTGACAACTGTCATTGTTTTTGGCATTAGTATTTGGCGGTGGTAGTATTAGCTTGCGTCGTTCCAATTTATTTTTATATTTCTACAATTAAACCATTTTATATTTATTAATTATTTCTTTTTTTTTTCTTTTCAGCGGTTTTTCTGGTGGCGGAGTATCGGAGCCGGCCATATTTCTCGTGAACACACATCACTTTCCTTGGAATGTAATATGGGCTCACTGCAAGAATTTTGGCTGCCCCGACACTCTCCCACCGGTAATGTATTTGCCGAAATATAAGTCCTGGCCACCATTCCCAGGCAATACTAAACACCACGAGACAGATCTTTTGCCAGCCACCAACCAACATCACAGGCATTTTAATTAGCCTGCATATCAAGAACAATTCTAACATTACTAACAAGGCATGGCTAACAATGACAAGTGTTACCCGCAACAAGTGCCTACCAAAACCTAAATATTAACCCCTTACTAACATCTAGCCCTTCCTAGCTTCCCCATCTTTAAAGGCACATCGGAAGCTAGGAATAATTTAATTCACCCGTGGTTTGGAGACCGCCACGAAGGCAAAAATGGTCTCCCCTAAAAAACCCTCCACGCAAAATTTTTTTTTGGGTGTCCAGGTGCGGACTTGGGCATTTCGAGGGCCTCGCAACAAAACTCCATCACTGGCAAAAACTGCCGCCAGAGATGGTGTGCTGAGGGCCTATGGATTCGTGGCTACATTTGTTTGGATCAAGTCCAACGTGGGGAATTCTCACGCCCTGAGATGAGCCGGGCAATCAGATTAGGGAAGTATTAATAGGTATTTGTAATTGAATGTTCCGATACTTGGTGACCGGTTTGTTTCTTTCCAGGGCTGGATTTTCGGACATCACTTCTGGGCCTATCATTTGGACCTACAGGAACTAGGTTTGGATTTGTAACGGACCAAGGGTGAGTTCGATATATCTATAGAATTAGTCATACTACTAGATGGGTGTATAATCACGATAGAGATATTAGACTAGAGGTATAAATAGAGGTGTATAATTCGGGGAAGTGTATAATTAGGTGTATATGGGAGACATTCACGAACATATTCAGGTACTGGTTTATCACAGGTATTATTAAATCACTATATTGCACTATTAAATTGAACCTAAAACTATTTGGACAACACAAACATACATGCTTAGTCCTAAAAGTATCACAGGTTCAGTTAATATTGCACATTATGATTTAATATCCTTTACATGATAAACGCCAATAGGCTGTCCTTGAAGATTCTCCAACTCGTACATATTTCCTCCTATAGGCTTGACAATCCGACATTTCAGGAATTTCTTGCAAAATTTTGCATTGACATTCCTTGAAAAATCGGATTGGACAATATTCCGCCTATATACCTCTTGGCCTGGTCTAAATTTTACGACTCGAGCCCTCCTATTATATCGCTCGGAGCTTCTCTCATAAGCTTTGTGGAGATTTTGTTTGACCTTTTCACGAATTAGGCCTAATTTTTCATGTCTCTGTAAATCAGACAACTCATGCTCTGTCATAGACATCAATTTCCGAGCCAGGCTATAATCTTGGCCACTGGAAAACATGTGGAACCCGTATATCGCGAAGAATGGCGTAACTCCTGTAGCCGAATGTATCGAGTTCCGCAATGCACATTCGATTTCATTCAGATACAGGTCCCAGTCTCTGTGATCTTCTTCTAGATAGGTTCTTATAGCCGTGATTACAGACTGGTTAACCCGCTCAGAAGCGTTGGACTGAGGGGCATAATAGGCGGTCTTTAGATGTTTAATTTTGTAAGAGTCCATCATAGCTTGAAAAGTTTTAGAGACAAATTGGGCCCCGTTGTCACTATGGATCACTTCGGGGACCCCAAATTTATGAAATATTTCCTCCACCAAAAATTCTACAACATTTGCGGCAGTGGCTTCTTTCATAGCCTTTAAAAAGGTAAACTTCGAGAAGTGGTCGACAACAATAAAAATGTAGGCATTCCCTTTTTTAGATCTTGGATACTTTCCTAGGAAGTCGATGTATAATTTTTGGAAGGGTCTTTCGGTAACCACTTCTCTTCCTATATCTGGCATTAAATGTTGGTTGCTAGATTTAGCTTCTTGGCATTTTTGGCAATTCTTTATGTATTGTTTGACCTGACTCGCCATGTTTGGCCAATAGAAAAATCTTTTAATTTTTTCAAGGGTTTTGGTTATACCTCCATGACACGCCGTAAGTGATGTATGTGCCTTGACAATGATTTCATGGGTAATCCCCGTTGGTAGCCACAGCTTCCACTGAATTTCATCCTCTATTAATGGATCTGGAAGACTTTTCTTGTAGACCATCCCGTCGTTAACCTTTAAATCCGGTAATCGTTGGCTATTTTCATTGATGGTTTTTATAAGATCAAGGTACTCTTCGCTTTCGAATTCTGTTGTTTCGAAGTCTAGAAATTCTTCCATATTCAGTTCGTCGACCTCCTTATCTACAGGAGCTCGAGACAACATATCGGCCACAACATTTTCTGATCCCTTCCTATGTTCGATTTCAAAGTCGTATGCCTGTAATTGAAGTGACCACCGTGCTAATCGACCACTCAAGTCCTTTAAGGACATTAGCCACTTTAAGGATGCGTGGTCGGTTATCACGGTGAAAGGCATCATTTCCACATAAGGCCTAAATTTTCGAATCGCCATCACCGCAGCCAAACACTCTTTCTCGGTCACGCTATAGTTTCTTTGACACGAGTTAAGCTTCTGCGAGTAGAAGGCTATAGGGTGTTCTTCCTTATTATTGTTTAACTGGAATAAAACGGCCCCTATGCCATAGTCCGAAGCGTCGCATTGTATGTAGAAGTGTTTAGTAAAGTCGGGATGGCGTAGTACGGGAGCTGAGGTGAGGGCCTTTTTCAAATTTTCGAATGCCTTAATCCCTTCATTGCTAATTTCGAATTTTTTTGACTTTTTGAGACTATCGGTCAAAGGTGCAGATATTGTTGCAAAATCCTTTATGAACCTGCGGTACCAGCCCGCGGTTCCGAGAAAGCTCCTAACTTCGCGTGGGTTTCTGGGTATTTTTATATTCTTAATCGCCTTAATCTTATCCGGATCTGTCCTCAATCTACCTTGGCCAATAATGAAACCTAAATATTTTAGTTCCTGGAAACAAAATTGGGATTTTTCCATTCCTATTGTTAGGTTGGCTTTTTTCAGGCACATTGCCACTTCGTTTAATAGTTGTAGGTGTTCTTCAAATCCACTCGAGATAACTAAGAGGTCGTCAAGATAGATGAAAACGTGATCTTTTAAACGCTGAGGTATGACTTTGTCCATAAGTCTGCATAAGCGCTGCGCTGCATTACAGAGCCCAAAAGGCATTACCCTAAATTGGTATAATGGCCTACCGGGCACTGTAAACGCAGTGCAGGCTTTACTTTCCTCGTCAAGTTCGATTTGCCAAAAGGCGTATTTCAAATCGACACTACTTATGAAGTACGTTTCATCTATCCTGCTCAATATCCCATCAATATTTTGAAGTGGGTACGCATCTTTCACTGTCAATTTATTTAGTTTGCGTGCGTCGAGACAGAACCTGTTTTTCCCCGGCTTCCGGACTACAGTGGTACGGTTACTCCATGGGCTCTCGCTCTCTTCTATCACATTGAGCCGGAGCATGTTATCGATTTCCTCGTACACTATAGCTTGGACAGCTGGGGATAGCGGATAATGACGATCTTTAACAGGTTCTGCTCCTTCTACTAACTTAATGCTATGTTTTTCGAGAGTGGTTTTACCTAAACCCTTGTTTTCAAAGGTGTCAAAGTTCTTTATGACTTCATCTAATTGTTGCTGTTGTTGGGGCGATAAATTATGGGGATTCAGCTTATAGGCTTCATCATCCACGATATCCCTTTGAATCTTCTCGACATCTATTTCACTAGCCTCAATAATCTTGGGTACTAGATTGTACTCTCTCCAAAAGTCTATACCCAGATACAATTCTTGTTCCAGGTCGGGACATAGATACAACTCTAACTCTCTCACTATATCATTATACTTTAAATCCAACTTTACTTTTCCCACTATTCTGTGTTGGTGGCCAGAGGCAGTCTTTACATTAGTAAAAATTGGGCTTATGGTGACGTCGAGAGGTTCCAAAAATTCTCTGCAACCTCTACCCAGGATGCTGACTGAAGCCCCGGTGTCTAACAGACCCCTAATTTTTGTCCCCTGGACCTCTACTTCGGCAAATAATCTTGGATCAGATCTACTACCATATTTTTCAACTGACGCTACCACTAAATTCATCTCCTTACGCTTATTTCTAAATTTTTGGCGGATTTTTTTAATTTTGGAATTATTGCCCTGTTGGACCTCGCTATCACCCATAATTCGTGCTCGAACCTTCTCATAATTTTTCTCACGAATCTCTAGCGGTGTATAATGCCTCATCTTAGGTTCAAAGGTTGCTTCATTGGCTTTTGATATATGGTCTAATATAGGCTTAGTAGGCGGATGTGAAGACCCTTTTAATACACTTAGGGGTTTGCAGTTGGACGTGGCCCCCCCGTAGTGTCCACGCCCCTGTTCCGGTTTCCCTGTTGGCAAATATCGCATTGAGGTGTTTTAATACCAGGCTTTCCGCACCTATAACAAAATAGGGTCCTGGTAGTTGCTTCACATTCTCTGAAGGTATGACCCGTTTTCTGGCAATTCCAACACCCGATATTTGGGTTACGTTGCCTCATTGTTTGTAGGGCATCAACTTCTTCAAATCCCTTTTCATTCTGGTTATAATCCCCCTGATAATAATTATCCTCAAAATCAACCTCATTGACCTGCCTTTGTGGACGAGATGGTGGTGGAACGTAAGGTCTATTTTCTCTCCTGAGGAAATTCTTTTCAGCTTCATTGCATTCTATGCGAAGCTGTTCGACTGAAGAGACTTGAATGGGGTATACAATACGGCTAACATTTTCTCGGATATTTCTCTTCAGTATTTTGATCATATCAAACTCCCTTATTGATTGTACCAACTTTGCCCTCATCTGACCCATAACATGAAAATAGGCATCTATGGACTCATTAGGTTGTTGTTTTCGTTGGGCTAATTCGGCTATCAACTCTACAGTAGTCTTTGAGGATTGGTATTGGCTCAGTAGACTGTATTTGAGCTCCTCCCAATCATGGATTTTGTTTGTTTTCTCAAACAACCAATACCATGACTCAGCCCTTCCGTTGAGTATAAGGGGAAAATCGCGTATTATTTCAGCCCACGGTATTTGATATTGACGCTGGAAGTATTCTAGCCGATATACGAATTCTTCCACAGAGAGTCCAGACGAACTCCCATCGAAGTGAAGACCTAACTTATTAATTCTAAATAATCTTGGGTCAAATGGGGTCGGGTGGTTATTCTGAACCAAATCTTGTCTACTCGACCCATTCTGTCCGGAATTGACCTGTGGCATTGAGTTGTCCCTAGAAGAAGCTATTTCCCTTGGACCATTTGCCGGATCTAGTGCTGCTGTATAGATATTAGGAACCAACTGGTGTCTTGGCAATTGGCCCAGATTCTCCTTTTGTTGGGAAATTACATCCCGGCTGTTGGAAGCTACATTTGCGGCACTATATGTTGGGGCTTCCGCCACCGGGTTACGATTTTCTCCTATTCTATTACCTTCTTTTATAACTTTGGTCAAATTTATTAACGTTTTCTTTATATCATCCATTTCATTTGCTAGGTTTTGGATCTTATTTTCCAATATTCTATTCACTCCAAGATTTCCAAGAGTAGGCACTGCACTGGCCTGAGGGTCACCACCGACAGCCCCTTGCAGATACACTGGACCCAGGGAATTTGTTACCGGAGAGCTAACGTTAATGGTTTGGGACATATCCCTAATTTGACCCTGATCGTTGGTATTTCCCTCCGCCATTTCAGAGTTAGTATCTTCCTTCTTTTTCTTAATCTCAATGGCTATCGATCTATTTAAATCAAATAATCCAGGTCTATCTCTCTTTCTGTTCTTTTCTTTAGTTTTGGACCGAGTGGCTATATTCATTCCCAATGATGCTGTGACGATTTAAACTATATGTGGTATACTATAACCTATTTTATTATATTAATCTAATTAGTGTTTTTTTTTTTTTTTTAATATCAATTTTTTTCTTAATATAGGAGGAATTTCGGACGAGATGTGATGTGTGCAGTTGCAATTGGTCTTCCAAAAAGGTATGTTTAGGTGGTGATGCATAGAACAACTTTAAACACAATATTAACAAAAATCCCAAATTTGCTTTGTGACATGATGCACCGTGATACGAGCACCCATTTACTGTTCAACATGGACAGATACAACAGATCCTAGTAATTTACTAGGACGGATACCTTACGTTTAAACAGGCTCACAGAACAAATTAAACCCTAACACTACAAGTTAACATTTAATCCTGGAAACGATTTGCAACTACCCTTTGCAAACTCATGCACTGTAGGCCAAATCCTTTCCAGTTTTGAATATGTCATTTCACCTCTTTTAACTCAGTATTCCAAAATGCATCACTCCATACAACACTCTGGCTCATGTCCAGACTGGCTATGGAGTGAAAACACTTTGGGATACCGAAACGTGAGAGGAGAAATGTTGGGCTATTTCAGAAAAAAGTATTGGACTATTACCAAGTGTTTTGCTGACCTACACTTCTTTACAACATTCGGATTTGCATCCGAATTACATTCTAGTTTGGGCGCCATACTGTTACATGCGCTGTAGTAGGGGGTCATGTCCATATGTGCTCCGACTAGCTTGGTCGCCTCTCTGGGTGTGGTCCCAACCCGTCACCCCTACTCCTGACATGCAGCAATTAAAATGAAGACACAACACTGAATACTACATTAACACAACGATGCATCACCTCCTATACTGGACCCCCAACCGATGACCAATATCATGCCCACCCAACCATGATCAGTACCTCCTCTTCTTTACTTAACTGACCCCACAAACCGCCCACATCCATCACTTACCTCGTCCTTAATTCCTCTTTAGCTAACTTAACACGTCATCTTTTTAATCTTGACAAACATTCAAATCATTTCTTTTTTTATTATTTAAAAGAATTACTAATCCTAACAAGAAGTCGTTTATGCTTAATAAAAAAAACTTACAACAATAAAAATACAATAAATATCTAAAAAAAATTATCACATAAAAATTTAAATAGTTGTTTTATTCCTGCTAAAGGGTTGTTAGGAAATTTAAAATTTTAACGGCTATTTGCCAAATTAAATAACGAACGGTCTTTTGACCATGAATCTTTTACCTCAAAAAAAAAAGGTTTATTTCATGTCCAATTCCATGAACATTAATAGACAAGACTGAAATTACACTCGCAAAGCTATTTTTCTTTCCGAATCCACAATGAACGTGGTTTTTAATATATACTTTTAACACTTTCAAACCCACCCTAATAACCTCGACAAAAGAGCTCTGTTGCGAAGAAATTTAATGGGGAACCAAAAAAAAACTATATCGAAACCTTAGCTTTGAGAATGCTGAAAAAAGAAAATTTAGACATATAACAAACAAATAAACATAAATAATAATACTAATAAAATAAGTCAATACAAATAACTAAATCTAAATATGAATAATATTTTGACAGGAATAACAGGAATAATTTTTGATTTTAAATGTGATAAAAAAATTTTTAATATTAGGTCAATAAAAATTGTTTTTAGATGAAAATTGTAGTTAAGAATAGTGACGCCAACTTCTTATTCATTAATTTTACTACTTGCGCCACTTAGAATTTTGTTTCCAGGCTTTTTCTTTTCTTCTGCACCAATCGTGGTAATAGCAAAAATCTTCCACCTTGGAAACACTGTAAAATTATGGTAGTTTGTCGATATATGTGTGGATCCTATTGTGTCTTGGATCATTAACACAGCCAATTTTTTCTTTATAGAAATAAAGTGGTGCTGAACCGAGATCACGTGGAATGCTTGTATAGCCACTGTCCCGTAGATGGCGGTGGGGCAGATATACTGGTGCTATAAAAAGTTGGGAAATTATATTTTCCTACCTTCGCAATACCGGGATAATGTTTGTGATGTTTGGTCTTCACCCAAGAGATAGCGCTTTTCTTTCGTTGTTGCGCTGTCGTGTGTAAACGTGGCTGGCCTATCCAAGAAATAGGAATTTTAATATTTGGCTTAAAAGAATTTAGCCACTTTTAATAATTACCTCAATGGCTTTCGCCTCACACTTATTAATTAATTTATCCACTGGGTTCACCGCAAAGACCAACAAAAATCACACAATCCTCCAAGCAAACCTAATTTTAAAGACTTGTTAATAATTTTTTTCCATTTTTCACTAATTTTCACACAATTATCACCTTTTATTTAAATTTGTAGTTCTTTTTTCAATTTAATATCTTAATAGTCATGAATATTTTTCACTGAACTTCCAATTTTCAGTATGAACGTTTTTTCTCGTTCAGCACCAATTTTCTAACTATTAACCTCTCTTCGTTGGCTACTCTCTTTTATAACCTTTTCAGTGCGCCGTTGTAGCTTTCCACTGATGGACATTTTGTTCATTAGACACCAGTTATCCTTATCTAAATTAAAGAAATGGTCTCTGTCTAGTGAAACTTTCATACTCATATTTGCCCAAAAAAATTAAGAGTCACAATTTTTCTCGCGACTGCTATCTAAGAGTATTTAACTCCACATCGGCAACACCGTCTCTACTTTGCTTAAGTTCCATTACCAATTCCATTTGGGTTATCACTTCGTAGTGAATGTCATTCATAGCCATCTGACAACTGTCATTGTTTTTGGCATTAGTATTTGGCGGTGGTAGTATTAGCTTGCGTCGTTCCAATTTATTTTTATATTTCTACAATTAAACCATTTTATATTTATTAATTATTTCTTTTTTTTTTCTTTTCAGCGGTTTTTCTGGTGGCGGAGTATCGGAGCCGGCCATATTTCTCGTGAACACACATCACTTTCCTTGGAATGTAATATGGGCTCACTGCAAGAATTTTGGCTGCCCCGACACTCTCCCACCGGTAATGTATTTGCCGAAATATAAGTCCTGGCCACCATTCCCAGGCAATACTAAACACCACGAGACAGATCTTTTGCCAGCCACCAACCAACATCACAGGCATTTTAATTAGCCTGCATATCAAGAACAATTCTAACATTACTAACAAGGCATGGCTAACAATGACAAGTGTTACCCGCAACAAGTGCCTACCAAAACCTAAATATTAACCCCTTACTAACATCTAGCCCTTCCTAGCTTCCCCATCTTTAAAGGCACATCGGAAGCTAGGAATAATTTAATTCACCCGTGGTTTGGAGACCGCCACGAAGGCAAAAATGGTCTCCCCTAAAAAACCCTCCACGCAAAATTTTTTTTTGGGTGTCCAGGTGCGGACTTGGGCATTTCGAGGGCCTCGCAACAAATATCCGCTTACAAAAGGTGCTGAATATCTAATCAAAAAAAGAAAACGAAATTTATGATAGCCAGGAAGTAAAATCATATTAAACTCCGACAAAAAACAAAAACATTTGAAATTTAAATGTCCACAATTTTTCATTTGCATTGTTTATCGCAAAATCTAACCAATACCAATTCACATTTTTTGAGCCCCCACATAAAGCTGACTTTACGTCATTCCTCTACTTCCTCTGTTCTGTTTACAAACAATTTGCTTCGGTACTAACAACGAATAACATGCAAAGTACTAAAAGAAAATAAAACAAAGAGAAAAAAACAACAGATTCGGAGAGTTTGCTTTAAAAAGAACTTAAGTCTCAAAAGAGAAAAAAACATTTAGAGAAAATCGAAAGAATTTCCTGGAAACTAGACTTTATGGGAATATTAAAAATATCCAAATGGAAAACAAAAAAAATCCCTACTTTTAAAATTTGCAAATCGGCCAACAAAGGCTCAATTTTTTTTCCTCTCAGTGGACTTGTCATATTTTTACAGTAAACATCAAAACCCATTACAGAGACACGGTGAGAGAGATAGAGCGCGAGAGATGTAAAGAGTATTGTGAGTCACAAATTCCCAAGAAAGCAGACAAAACAATAGCAAATTCCAATTGAAAAATGTCTAATAAATCAAATTACAGCAAAATCTAAATTATTTATATCAAAGAAACACAACTTAAGCTTACCAATTGAGCAGTTCACAAAGATGGTAATTTTTTTTTACCTTTACACTTCCTTTATTTATCTTGTATTTTATTAAGACAACCAAATATAAAAAAATAAATGTCAATCAGACCCACACAAGAAAAAATATTGAAACACAGACACACAGCAAGCGATTATAAATGACACTTGAATTGTTAATTGCCTTTTTTCTTCGTCGTTTCGTAGCAGGCAACGAAATACATCACATACAATTAAAATATATGGGGCAAAACATGTTTTACACCCTTTTTGGGGTAATATTTAAAGCACAGCTTCATTGGAAATCATTATTGTAACATTTTTGTTTGCTTTTTTGCCTTTGATAACTTGTATTTTGCAATTTTTCAATTGATTTGATACGATTTATTCACAGGAGTTCACGAAATTCTTATAAGAACTGATATGTCGTCGCGAGTTGACAGATTGTTTGGCCTTTTGTTTGGTCATAAAATGATGGCAACGCTGTATTTACCACTATGCAGGGTTAATGTGTAAGTGCGACCTATTTAAAAGCAGTGACAATCAGCTGAAACGACAGTATTATAGCACAGTTACACTATTGATTGTGGCAGAAGAATACAGGTAGACGTATCGACACAGCTGCTGGGATGATGAACTGTCAAACTACCTTTGGAATAAAAAACGTTGAATGGAAAAAATTGTTGGACAACACATATATAACCTACGTTTTATGGTAGAATTTAAAAGGTAAAGTCATACAATCATATGTTCACATTTTTGTTTTAAATTATTCATTTGACAACATCTTACTGTCAAAATTCATATTTACGAATTCATTGTACATACACAAATCCGAGATCGGAACCTGTTTTCTATGCTGTGAAATTTGATAAGGTAAATTACAGAAAATTACAAAGCTTCTAAATTTTAAAAAAAATTGACATATCAATGTTCCCAAGCGTTGATACATCAACGGTTAATCTTATGTGTTTAGATATAATATAAGTGATATAAGTAATATAAGAAATCTAATATACAGGGTGAGATGAAAAAACTGCAAACCAAATTCAGACTGCTGACATTTCTAAGCCACTCTTCTGACAGCTGTTAAAATTATTCCAGTGGCAGCTCCTTTTATTGCTAACAAGCGTACAAAAGCATTTTGGCATTTGGAACTTACACCGCAACGGAAAGAAAATAGATGAAAAGAGCTTAAGAGTTGCTTCGCTTGGCCGAAAGCGGTGAACTGGTGAATTTGGTTTTCCCCGATGAGAAAACATTCGTAGTCCAGCAGTTTGTAAACAAAAAAAAACAATTATCGTGTTTACTTGCCAAAGAGGTTAGCCACAGCAAATGTGCACCTTCTGTTGGCCACCAGAACTCAAGCGCCGGCCTTGGTGATGGTGTGGGCCTCCATAACAGCCGGTGGTCGCTCTCCGTAAATCGACCGTGGAATCAGAATAAATGCCGAATATTATAGCGAATGCTTAAAAAATGGGGTTCTTCGCTTCATTTCCAGTGCACAATGTCCACCAAAATCTTCGGATACCAATCCTTCGGACTAGTATTTTGGAAAGCAAAGTTGGCACTAAAAAATACCAAAGTGTCGATCACCGCAAGCGAGCGCTTCGCCGGAAATGGACCAAAATACCGCAGAGCAATATTCGGGCAGCGTGTGATGGCTTCATTGCCCGTTTAAGGACCATAATTCGTGGCACAGGTGACCAATTTGAACAAATCTAAACTCATTCTAAAATTTGATGCTATTTCCGACATTTTTTGCTTTCAGTCAATAAAATTTAAAAAAAAAATAAAATTTATGACGTTTGACTTTTATTATTTCACCCTTTATAAATACATAACAAAAATTAAAAACGAATTATACTATATATTTATATAAAAATAAAATAATTCATATAACAATAACTCCTCCACCAAGCCATGGTTTTACAATTAAAAACATGTAGGACACAATACAAGGAAATGTGGAACACAGTGTCAAAGTTTTGATGCATGGTGTTTATGCTTCCTTGATTCCCCTTTGATACTATCGATGTTATTCCATAAAAGAAAATGTTATCGATATCTATAGTTACATCGATTTTTTGTCCGCTCTAGATTGCAAAAATTTTTGCATTTATTTGGCGCGGTCGTTTTTTAAGGCGTAAGTTGTGAAGCCAGGAAAGGCCAGTGAAGGAAAAAAATTAAATAAAATCGAAAACTATTAAACAATTAAGTGAGTAAATTAAAAGAGTAAAACTTAACATCCCATTTATGATACTTTACTACAAATTTTGGTCATAATGGGGAAAAATCAATAAAAATGGAGCTCTTCAAAATTGCTTTTTTCCCATAACTTGAGTGTTTTTCGTTTTCAAACCAGTTCTAGCCGCCTATATTTGGTTCAAAATAACTAGGTTTCGGTGCCAATTGCCGCTTGATAAAAGTTCAAGCTTCAGCGTCATTTTGTGTATAATTTGGAGTGTATTGTTGGTTGTGTGTTTGTACTTTTATATTTTTTTTATCGTTTTTTTTTTTCTCTTTATGTTATCTAGTTCCCTTTTATAGTTGCTTAAAATATGATCTAATTTTTGTTTGTGGCCGGTTGCGAAATTAAAAATACATTTTTGGTTTTAATACACATATATATTTTTTTTTTTACTTTCAAAATAGCATGGAAATACATTTGCATTTGTTTTTCAAATCGTAGACCCAGACATTGTGTCAGCTTTGCAAGCTGACGTCACTTGCAGTGTATTTTTTTATTTGTTTCGTATGTACATACATATTCGGAATGTTGGTGACACATAAATGTCCATCTTCTTTTTTTTTCGGTTGTTCCTACTTCCCCTACTCGGGCCTCTTGTTTTGTTATACATGCGAGTGTGTGTGTGCGCCCGAGTGTCGGTGTGTTTTGTTGTTGGAAAAGCGCAATGACACTTGTCTGCCTGCCAGCCTATTTGCCATAATAAAATAGAAACAAAGAGAATGAGGTGTAAAATATTAGCCATGTTTTTATTTAATTTGACTAAAAAATATAGTTTTATGTTTTTCAGAAGAAAAAAATCGTAACAGGCATTTTAAGGGTAACGGCATCCTTGATGGTCTCGATGTGTTAGCTTCGTACCTGATTTGGCACCACAAAACTCGGTTTAATTTTAAGATGCTTTCCCAACCCCCGGTTTGTCATGTTATCTAAAAACCACTTTTTTCCATCTAGAACTGGCCAATGTAGGCCGTTATATTTTCTTTGACTATAATATAGTCGGCCTCTTGAACTTTTCAACCTGACCGCAATTTCGAACTTGTTGTTTGTGTAGCAGATAGGTAGAATGCAAAACAACAATTTGACCCGATGCAAAACGAAGCCTCAAACTCCATTACATGTTCATGAAGAATTGCCAGCTATGTGGATTGAAGGAAACAAGCACACTCACGCCGATGTGTATTTTTTTTGTGGCAACAGCAATTCATCATCACCAGAGCAATAGCATTTGCAGTGCGTTAACATGAAAACCACAAAAAGTGAAAAATAATAGTCAAAGAGGAAAATGAAAGACAAAGGAATATTAAACATAAACCAATGGTTGGGAGAGAAAGCAGGGGGGTCATAGCCAAACAAAAATGAAAGAGAGCGACAGGGAGGAAATAAAAGTTGTGAAAGTTCTGATATATGAAATGAAGTGGCTCTTGTTTTTGCCAATTGTTGGTACTTAGTGGCGGGGTATCAGAGATGGAAATGCTAAAGAAGTAACACATTTTATGTGAGGTATATAGACAATAAGTATTAGGTATTCTTTCTATGGGAAAGATGTAAGAAGTCTTCCGTCAATGGAAATACTGTATGGGTCTACTATCTACAAAATACGTGTATGAGTCCTTCAATCTTTAATAAGTATTAGGTATTCCTTTTGTAGGAGACGTGTAAGAGGTCTTCCGTCAGTGGAAATTCTGTATGGGTCTACTATCTATAAACAACGTGTATGAGTCCTTCAATCTTTAGAAGACATCTATGGGGTTCTCCATCTATAGAATAACTCTGTGGGTTCTATGGGATCTTCAAGTAGAAGACTTGAATGGATTCTACTACTATCTATAGAACACCCCTTGCTATTGAAGATTTTACAGTGGATCTTCTGTCTATGAAAGACCTGTATGCTGTATTTTATCTACTTGAAGACCTGTATGTGAAATTCTATCTATAGAAGTTCTGTAGGAGGTCTACTGTTTATAAAATACCTGAATGGGGATTTTTTGTGTCTATAGAAGACCTATATGCGGTTTTCGATCTATAGAAAACCTCCAAGGGGCCCTCCATCTATAGAAGATCTCTACAATAGACCGCTATGGAGCCTTCTGTCTATAGAAGGCCTCTATTGGATCTTCAAGTAGAAGACTTGAATGGGGATTTACTATGTATAGAAGACCTTATTTATCGAAGATCTATATAGGTGGTCTTTCGCCTATGAAAGACCTGTACGGGGTCTTCTATCTATAGAAGACCTCTATGGGATCCTCTATCCATAGAACAATTTTATGGGTATTGTCAACTATCAAAATGAGTTTATGAGTCAGTCGTCGTTGAGCATTGACCGAGAGCGGACGCATCTAAGGAGCGTAGAGCATATTACATTTTAAACTTTGTATTTATTCCCAGAATTACTTTTATTTTTAAATAAAAACCATCTTGACAGAATCAGAAGTGGGATAAGAACAGAAATCTACAAGGAATTTCATCATTTTGGATAAGAATTGCAGAAAAATACTCAAAGAGCTGAGAAACTAAGGCGTCAAAGTGATGTAGTAGTGAAGAGCTCAATGCAAAGCAACAACGACGACCAAAGGAGAAACCACGCAAAGGCACCTAAACTCAAAAGTTCGAGTGAGTTTAGTGAGAGTGTGTAACGTGCTCAAAGAGAGCAAAGGAGAAAGCATCAATCAAAGGAGAATGTACAAAGGTATACTCAAAAGTGTGAGTGAGTAGGACAACGATAGTACATCAAGGAGATTGAAAGCAAGACATAAAGAGGGGAACCCCGAAGAAGAAGTTTAAAAAGGGAAAAGTTAACGTATATTTTTAGGGCGTGCGGCTTCTAAAAAAAAAGGAATAGTTCTAGATTTGCTGAAGTAACGAATTAAAAAGGAAAATTCACAAGGAAAAGTATGAAGGTGAAAATAAGTTCGTTAAAGGTTGCGGAGCTAGACAAATTATTACTGGCAAGAAGCTTACCACGAACAGGAAATAAGTCCGAGAAAATTGCTAGACTCATGGCTTGCAATGGAAATGACGAAGTGGAAGTTGAAGATTCAGAGTCACAGGAGGATTTCCATGGATTTGATGAAGCTGAGACGGGTGATGATTCTCTAACAAGTCAAATGCGAGAGCTAAAGGATATAATGTTGACTCTAGCAAGAAGTGTGCAACAGTTAACAACACTTTCAACAGAAAGGGCTATTACGTCAAATGCAGGGTTAAATTCAAGGGATACAGAACAGCAAGTTCCAGCTGAAGTAATATCAAGACAATCTGGTTCCGGAACATCTGGTTGTTTAAAGGATTACATAGTAATGATACCAGACTTCGATCCAATTAAAGGAAATGTTACATCAGTCCAATTCATTGACAAGGTTGAAACGTTGCAAAGGCTTCATGGATGGTCAGATGAAACAACTTTGTTTGCAGTTCATCATAAAATGAGTGGTGTTGCTAAAATGTGGATAGACGCTTTACCAGTGGTTGAAACATGGAAAGAGTTCAGACAACAATTTTTAAAGGATTTCCCAAGTCGAGTAAGTGTTGCTGACATTCATCGTGAACTTATAGCTAGGAAACGAAACTCGAATGAGTCTTTGGTGGAATATTATTACGCAATGTTGGCCATAGGGAAAAGAGGAAGCGTAGATGAGGCATCAATACTGTCGTACATCATAAATGGTCTCAATGATAGCAGCTTAACAAGAACACTTTTAGCTATGAACCCGCAGACATGTAGTGAATTATTAAGGTCGTTGGAGAATTTGACCATACAAACGTATGCAAGGAAGCAAACAAAGAATGACGAGGATGACAAAACCGCAAGTGTCTCAGGTGGAGCGCCAACCAAGGGAGTAAAATGTTTCAATTGTAACAGGTTTGGGCATATCTCAACTAGTTGCCCACAACCATTGAAGAAGCCGAAGTGTAGTAAATGTGCAAAGATTGGTCACGATGCATCGCAATGCAAAGGTAAAGGTACAACTGTGGCAGCAATGACAGAAGAGTCTAAGGATTACTGCCCACCGGTTATGAAAGATGTTACGGTCAATGGTAAGACATATGAAGGTTTTGTGGACACTGGAAGCGACTTTACCTTAATGCGGAAAGCTGTAGTTCCAGAGGGTTGCGATATGGAAGTAACGTCAAAAAGAATGAAAGGTTTTGGTGGATCTATTGTTGAAGTGGTGGAAATGTTTGAGGCTAACGTTGTCATCGACGAGGAGAGTTTAATGACTACCATTTATGTAGTGCCGAATGACTTGATGCGATATGACGTTCTCTTAGGAAGAGACGTATTGTGTAAGAAGCAAACAAAACTTACAATTGAGCATGGTGTCTTGAAAGTAAAGTCAACAATGCCAAGTACATTTAATGTCGGAGAAAGTCTGGATGAGCATCAAAAGGAAAAATTAGACCAAATACTGTCGTCATTCAAGGACTGTTTTGCTGAAACCCTTGAAGACCTTGGAAGGTGTAAAAATACACAAATGGAAATAAGTTTATCTACGGACAAGCCTGTAGTTGGTAAAAGATACCAAGTTCCATTTTCTCAAAGACAAATTCTGTCAGACATAATTGACAAGTTGCTTCGATGTTGTATTATTCGCCCAAGTGATTCGCCCTATGCAGCATCAGTATTGTTGGTCAAAAAGGCGGTTGGTGATGAAGAAAGAGAGAATTTCGATGTTAGGGTAATTCAACAGCAGGCTGTTGCTAACATCCAGAAACAAAAGGAAAAATGGAAAGCAAGATTTGACAGCCGTCATTCCAAGCCAACTCAGTACAAGGAAGGCGATTTGGTGGTGATAGACACGGTACCGCAGCCTACAGGAGAATCGCATAAGTTGGATGCGCGGTATAAAGGACCATACATCGTCACGAAAATTATCGGAAACGATCGTTATCTGGTAGAGGATCTGCCGGATTTAAGTTTGAAGCAAAGGAAATATTGCGGTGTTATGTCGACCGATCATATGAAGCCCTGGTGCTATGGTGATCCAAGTCTCGAAATCGAAGATAAAGATGAGTCTGATGATGGTTCGCCCAGGAGGGACGAAGAGTCAGGAGAGGCCGAATTGTCAACTATCAAAATGAGTTTATGAGTCAGTCGTCGTTGAGCATTGACCGAGAGCGGACGCATCTAAGGAGCGTAGAGCATATTACATTTTAAACTTTGTATTTATTCCCAGAATTACTTTTATTTTTAAATAAAAACCATCTTGACAGTATTACATGTATAAAAGAACTTTATATGGCCCTCTCTGTAAAAAACCCTCTATTGGATCCTCTATCTGCAGAAGACCAGTATGGGGTCTTTTATCTATGGGAGCCTGTGTGGGACCCTATATTCATAGAAGACCTTTATGAGAATTATATGTATAAAATACCTCTATGTGGTCTGCTCTCTTTACAAAAACCTCTATTGGATCCTCTATCTACAAAAGACCAGTATGGAGTCTACTATCTATACAAGACCTCTATAGATAGATAGAGATCCATATGTGTAGAAGACATCTATGGGAACATATATCTATAGAAGACCTGTATGGGGTCTTCTTTCTATAGAAGACCGGTATAGAGCCTTCTATATATAGAAGAACTCTATTGGGTACCCTATCTATAGAATTCCTGTATGTGAAATTTTATCTATTGACGACCTGTATCTGGAATTCTATCTCTAGAATACCTGCCGGGGGTTTCTGTTTTGTAAAATACCTGTATGTGGTATTTTATCCAAAAAAGACTTATATTCGAAGTTTTTTCTAAAAAAATGGAAAGTAGTATTACACTTTCCCATCTCTGCTTGGGGTACTTGTCATGCTCGATTATTATTGTTAAAGTACGTAAACTATTTGTACTCTCCGCCATAAAAAGAAGGGGGAATATAAAATTTGCCATTCGGTTTGTAACAACAACAAATTTTCTTCTGAGACTCCATAATTATTCCCTCAGATTTTGGTATTTCTGTCCCTAGTTTCCATCTTGGTATATCAGAATCTCAGATAGAAGTTTAACTCCCCGTAAAGAAGATATTAAGTTTAGGTCCCTTTTTGACAAAGTCCGCATATAGGTCTACCCCCTGATTTTTGGCTTCTGTTGCAAATTCCCAATCAAATCAACTGTAAATTGGCATTTCTGGTTCTCAGAAAATATTCAATATAGGTCCACTTTTTGATATGGTCCCCATATAACTTTACCTCCTTATTTTCGGTATTTTTAAGGTTTTAGCCTCAATTTCCAAACAATCCACCCCAATTTCTTATTTCAGTTTCACAGTGGCTATGTTAACTCCTTGTAAAAAAATAGGGTTGGTATAGCCCCCATATATTGGAACCTCCAAATTGTGGGGATTTGAGAATTGTGGAGAATAAATCTAATTTTTTACATTGTAGAGGGTATAAAAAGTTCGACCCGGTCGAGTTTAACTTATTTCCGTTGATGTACAATATTTTTGTTTTGATTGTTGTTTTTGTTGTTGCTGCTGCTGCCGCCGTAGTGTCGATGCCAGAGGGGGCCTTTGTTCCGTTCGACGTTGTAATTTCTTCTATTACTTTTGGACTATTTCATTTGTTTTGTTGTGCTTTCATGCTTGCGCATACAACGACAACAACATCAACAACATCAACAACTACTACTCAAGCCATTACCACCACTGGCCTGACACTGCAGTGACGCGGTGGAAGAAGAAGATGGGTAGCCACTAACGTTTTTTTTCCCCCTCATCGAGTCAATGAGTAACTTGGCTGTTGGCACTGTGAAGTCATTTATTTCAAGTTAATACAGCGAATAGGGTGTGTGTTTGGCTTTTGGTTTTCACTTTTGTTTTTAAATATAATTTTGAAAAGAAAAATAATAAGTTTTTCTTATTTTTTTTTCAGATTACAACCAAAAAGAAAATTCCAACAATGACATCAACACAAACATCCGTCACCATGACCTCAAATTCCCGTCCTTCCAGTCGTGTTCTAAAGCCACCAGGCGGTGGTCATTCCAACATCTTTGCCGAGCCCGATGTCAGCGTGAATGCTCCACGACCCAAGTACAATCAACAGAACTCTTCCAATTTAAATGCCTGCATGGGCTCCACTGATCCCAATGTTGTTGTGGAGAAATTACGTGAAGAGGTGCAGCATAAAAAGGAGACTGCCAGTGTTGATGGGGATTCTGTCAAAGGCGAGCAAACGAATTCAGCCAAACAAGCAACTGCCAATGGTAATGGTGCTGCTGCTGCCGATGCTGGTGGTGCCGCCCCGGCCCGGGGACGTGTTCCACCCGGTGGCTTTTCCTCGGGAAGTTTCTGGTAAAGCGTTTAACAACAACTGCAAAAATACAAAAACAAAAACTAACCATGACCTAAACGCTTTCAACTTTAAAACCCCAACAACAGAAAATATGGAAATAAGCCAAAAGCATTTATAACTCAATCTTTTACTGTGTGTATGTACATTATTATCATTATTATTATATTCTTGAAAAATTTATATTCAAATACTGCCTATTTATTATTGTTTGTTGTCTCCTCGCCAACCGGGGAGGTAAAACCTAATTACAAGATATTTGAAAACCTTAATTAATTTTTGCGCTACGAATTTCCATTAGTTTTAAGTGACTTTCTTTGTCTGAAGCTTTCTCCGTAACTCATTGTTGTTTTTTTTCTATTCTTTGTTCCAAAAATTTTTTGTGTGTTCCATTTTTTTGTAACGAAAACAAGTATTATGATTCTAGGTTCTTAACCGTTTTTCGTTTTCTTTTTCAATCCTCTGTTTTACATTTATATTACCTACTTATTGTTCTGAATGTCCCTCCATTGTGCATTTTATGTGTAACTTTATATTAAAGACCACTTTTTAACTACATTATAATATGAAATGAAATAAAAAAGAAAACTTTTTTGGTACTTAAGCTGCTTAATATTATAAACATAAAAAATCTATTTTAATTTTTGTTTTTTCTTTTGAAGAATGTGAATTCTACAGGGGAAAGTTAAGGGAGGTTAATCTAGGTTGGGAAAAAACTTGTATTTCCCTTAGAAACGAGGCCTTCAAAAGGATAAGATTAGGGATATGTTTTATAGCAACTATTTACTTCTGCCTTCTAATCTTGACCAAGACTTAATTTGGTCCTTCTCTTTGTAAAACCTCTTCGAGTTTTTGTCATAATTGTCTGGTGATTGTCGACCGGTTGGTCCTTCGGTTGAAATCCCTAGACTTATAATTTTTTTAAAACTGTTGGGTTTTTATGGGGGAGGTTCCGAAGCAGTTGGCCACGCGTGCTTAGTGCGATGGTGCTGCTAAGTCCTGTTGAAATGTCCAAGATCTGCGGCCAAAAATGTTTGCGTGCCCAAGGCTTTAATACACCCACCAGAATATTTTCGCGATAATATTCGGCATTTAATGAAACGGTCGATTAATACGAGCGGAGAGTGACCATCGGCTGTTATGGCGGCCCACACAATCACCATGGCCGGCGCTTGAGTTCTGGTGGTCAACCGAAGGTTCACATTTTCAGCTGACCTCTTTGGCAAGTAAACATGATCATTTTGTTTGTTTACAAACTGCTGCAGAACGAATGTTTTCTCATCGAAGAATCTATTTTCTTTCTGTTGCGGTGTAAGTTCTTGCACTTTTTGGAATTTCAATGGCTTTACCCCGAGCTAATTTTTCTGCCACTGCGACGCGAGTATCGATCAAGTCGCTTCTTTAGTTTTCGAACCATTTCTGCTGAATGTTACCATTTTGAGCGATGATAAGAGACACAAAAGATTTATTCACATTTAAATCCTGGTTTCCAGTCAAATATAAAGAAATTACACTATCACGCTTGAATTCCATCACAAATATTTTTTTTCTGAAAATTCTCAAAAAATGCTTTTGTACGCTTGTAAACAATATAATGAGCCTGTCACTGGTATAATTTTAACAGCTGTCGGAGGAGTGGCTTAGAAATAACAGCAGTCTGAAGTTGGTTGCAGTTTTTTCATCTCGCCCTGTATAACCTCTCTAGTCTAGGCTGAAGGTATAATTACCAACAATTTTATATTTTGGATTCTAAGCGGCTAAATTAATATTTCGCAAAAGAAACAACTCAATATAGATTCACTATTGCGAAAGGTACCCGTATAATTATATCTCCTGATTTTCGATATTTTAAAGGTTTCGGTCCCATTTTCTATCCAACAGACATTTCAAGTAGATTTATTTCTCCCACAAAAAAATAAATTTTGGTCCACAATTTGGTAAAGCCCCCCAATATATCAGATACCTCCTGATTGAGTATATTCTAAAAAATTCCCCTCAAATTTCAATCAAAGTAGCTGTAATTTTATATTGGAGGTTCGCAGAGAGTAGGTTAACTCCTCCTAAAATATTCAATTTGAGTCCAATATTTGGTATAGCTCCCATATATCTGTATCTCCAAAATTTCGCTATTCTCATTGAATCAGCTGTAATTTCTCAGTGGATAATTAGAAAATTGTGGGTCCACTATTTGGTATAGCTGTCATACATAATGATACCGTTCGAATTACAGTTGAATCAGCTGTAATTTGACGATTTTTTCTTCAAGGACCATTTGAGCTATAAGTTGAGATTAGCCCCCAGACCATCTGTTTAAGTTTAAGTTTATCAGTAAAATAAAAATTAAATAAAAACACCTGCGTTTCCATATTCTTAGTCCATTATATTTTCTAAATTCTTTTGTGTATGTCATTTGACTAAACTTATATTCAAATATTATAACATATTTTCGTATTTATTTCGATAAAATTGTGCTATTATTTAAACGAACAAAAAATATAGAATCCCGTTAGAGCAATTTACAGGTAACGGAAAATTTGTATTTTTACAAAATAATATCACCTTGATTAGCGTCTTACTAGGTATTCAGCACCTTCTTTAAAAAGAAATAATAAAAAAATAAAATCATTTTTACATTTCTGTTAGTAAAATAAAATTTGTCCGGCGGAACTAAATTAGTTGTAGAGAATGAATCGTGGCAAGTGGCTGGAAAAAGAGAAAAATAATTTAGTATAATAACAAAAGAGAAAGGAAAAAAGGAATACTTACAAATTGTTTTAGCAATTTCTACTTTTGTCCGGCGGCTGCGACAGCAGGTTGTGCCTCACCCTTGGCCTTTTCTTTTTGTTCCTGTTGATACATGAATGCCCGTCCCAGTTGCACAGATTGCACTAGGCCCACAAAGAGATTCACCGAAAATAAACTCCAATTTTTGGGTTTAATCACCAGCGAATAACGTGACCAAATAATACCGGTAGCAGCCAAGGCGCCACACTGTGATACCGACAAGGTTTCGGCGGGACGGGCCAAATCACTGAGACCAGCAATTACCAAACCCTGGAAAGTGAAAAAATGCGATCTAAGTTATAATTTTTATTCCATTATTTATATAAAAGTAAATAATTAATGCATTTAGCATTATGATAAGAAATGAATAAATAAATAATTGAAGAAAATTAGAAAAAAAAATTATGCAAATTATTTCTGTCCGAGTTTACCCTATGGGACGTATATATTTTCTGATAAATTTTTTAAGAATATGTCAGGTAAGTTATCCGCTTGAGTATAATTTCGGACAAATTTCCACTCCCTATATGGAATTATTTAGCTTTAGAAATATAAGGGCTGGAACGTATACAGAAAAGCATTTTCAAACCATTTCGGCATGGCTCAACTAGCAAAACATTAACTTTTCATGTTGTATGAATTCTTTAGTGGAACGTATTTTTTTATGGTTTGATTAAGATTGTGCGGTCCCAAGTTAATAACGGTTTTTTGCCAATACAAGTGTTTTGTAGTTACGACTGTGAAGCCATTAATATAAGATTTAGTTTTGTATTATATTGTGTATAGTATAATAATAATAAGCCTTTGTTGGAAAGTTATGTATATTTTTAACATTTTTTATTAGATTTTGAGGCTTTGAATTACCATTGAAAATTTTCTACTGCCTATTGTAATTTCTTCTGCGTTTTTTCTATCATGGAACGTATTTCTTTGTGGTTTGCTTTAGATTTTGCGGTTTTTCTGTATCTAGGATTTATCCATTATTTTTTTAATTTTTTAATTTAATTTTGTATTATATTGTAAATTATTTAATAATTAAATATTATATACTTTTAAAACGGTTTATAAGACTTGGAAACCTATGTATAAAAAATAAATACAATAAGTATATAAATATACTATATAGCGGAAAAGGAGCCATTCCAGAGGGGGCCCACCCTGAGTACAACCATGTTGTTTAATGCTAAATCTGTCCCTCTTAACCTAACCGCTACCTCCTGCAAATAAAAACGTAATATGCGTATTTGAACAAATTATATTTGTATAAACGCAATAATTTGTTCGTTTCTTTAATTAAAATTTATTTTGGATACCGGCCAATTATATCGGCGTCTATAATACATAGGTATATATGTAGGTGGGTGCATATCTAAAATCAAAACAAAAGACTAATGCCCACATAACATAAACAAATGGGCAATAGGATGCAATTTGTGTAATGTCAAGGTTTGGAAAAAAAGTTCTCTTTTGATTTGGTTAAGAGATACTAAATTGAGGAAAAGCTGAAAAGCACAATGGCGTTAATTGTAGAGAACGCAAAGCATTTGCGTTTCCTAATTATTTTTTCAATTAGTTTTCGAAGATGATATATAATTTTCAATAAAGCCAAAAATGCAAAAATTAAAAGAAGTATTTTTTTACATAGATTTTTTTAATTTTTTTAAAGAAAATTTTAAAAAAAAGTATAAGAAAATATATTTCAAAAGCTGTAAAAGCTGAATTCCCTTCACCATTTGGAACGAATTTGCTAATTTTCAAAAAATAAAATCAGTTAAAAATTCTGTTAAAATCTTAAAAATACTAAATGTAGCCGTTATATTAGGATCTATACGACGACATGGACCTGCATAGGCAAGTTTTGTCATAAGCCATTACAATATTCAAATGAGAAAGTTGAGAAAAAAAAAATCGGTGATTAATGTAGCTAAAATCATGAAAATACCGAATGTGGGGGCTATGCCAAAACGTGGACCTGCACAGACAATTTTCTGTCATACGCTCTAGTATACATTGCGAACTTCAAATACTAAATTTGAAACAATTCCGATGAATAATGTCGCTTAAATCACCAAAATACCGAAAAAAGGGAGGTTGCATTTTTTGGGGTTATACAAACCACCAAAAAATGGTCCACCATTTCCAACAACAAAAGTCCTGCCGACATAATATACATTTCTGTAAAATTTTATCAATCTACTTAATTTCGTTCGGAAGCTAGAGTGATTTCCACAGACGGATAGACAAACGGACAGACATCGCTAAATCGACATAGAATTTTATGCTGATCAAGAATGTATACCCTTTGTGGGGTCTAAAATGTATATTTAGTGGTGTTACAAACGGAATGGCAAACTTAATATACCCTCCATACTATGGTGGAGGGTATAAACAATTAACCGTTAAACCGATTTGAGAATTCAGCATTTAGAATGAAAAATTATTCATATTTGCTATAATTTTTGAAAAATAAATTTCATATGAGCGTACGAATGGCGTCGTAAAAGACAACATATAAAAATCTACTTATTTTTAAACAAACTTTTTGAAAAATCCCAAGCATTGATGCATCTACCCTTATTCTTTTACCATGTATTACTTCTTTACCGTGTATTACTTCTATGGTGGAACGCATTTTTTTATAGTTTGCATCAGATAGTGCATTCACTCAATGCAGGCCTTAAAATACAACTGTGTGTGTTTTGAACTTACGGCTGTTAAGTTTTGCATATTTTTTAATATTGTTAATAAATATATTCTACTTGGAATATTATATTGCTAATACGATTTAATCGCATTGGAGGCTTCAGTATTAAGGAATTCAATAAAAAATTAATGAAAATCAGGAAGTTATATGTGGGCTATACTTAAACGGGAATTGGTATATTCCATCTTCAATATCAGATATACTAGAAATAATATAAATTTCGGTGCAAATCTCTATTCTAGACGGATTTAGAATGTTACACTGCTCGAGAATACATTTACTTAATGGGGTCTTCGGCGCATATTTCCAGGTTGTTTGGCAAAAGGTAAGACAAACTTAATATACCCTCGATTTTATGGTGGAGTACATAAATATTCACAACTATAGCTTTCATAGTCCGCAATCTATATTATAGCTTTCTAATATATTTGGAAATCCTCAATAATATTAATTGGTCACTTCTATAAGTAGAATTGGTTATTTTCCAAGCATTAAAATGAATGAAAAAGCTTAGGGAGCCATTTTATCAACAAATTGTCTCCTACAACTCGTTAATCATTTTTTTATTGGCAGTCATAAAAATGTGTCCCCATTAGTCTGCGATTTTCATCTTATCTACTTTGGCAAAAAATAACTACTTAATTCAAAAAAAGTAAATAAGCAGTGCGGACTAGATTTTTTTTGCTTATCAACAAACCCCGAAGAGCGCTTGAAAATAAACAAATAATTAATTTGCAAAATATTTCCGTCTATTAACGGCTATCGCTGTTTTTGACATCTCACTTCTGAACACCGCCAGACAGACAAAAATTCAAGTTCATGTGCTTGCAAAGGTGTACGGGGGAAATGAACTGACAAGCAGCAGCAACAGACGGGTTTCATTCAAATGCAACGTGTTATATTTACGTATGTATGTATGTCACTGTTGTATTACAAAATTAACATGATTATATAAAACTTACCCATTTGAATAGCGGCGACCAAAAGAATATTGTCTTGGGTCCTAAAAAAAACGGAATATTAATTTGGAGCCATTGGGATTGAAAAAATAATGGCAAACTCACCAGCAGGATGATTCCACAAGGGACGTAGTTTTGTGGGGACATGTTTGTCCACGGCTCCAATTAAGCCATTGTAAACTTTTGAGGGAAAACTTAATTTAGCTGGAGCTGCTGGTGGTGGTGGAGGAGGTGCTGGTGGAGGTACTGTGGTAGCCATGGAAAATCAGTAGAAAAATATACACTCAAAAACGTCGGAGACAGAGACCAGCACCTGGGCACTTTTGTTGATGTTGTTGATTTGAATTACGCTGTGAATATGAAGCAAAAAATAGAAATTTATTCTTCATACGAGTCTCAGAAAAACACACACACATATGTTATAAACAAAAAAGAGAGAACACTCATCATAGCAAGAGTAAAAATGTTGTGAAAGCTTTGATGCTTTCTCTCATCAGCCTTGGCCTTGACAAATAAAAACCAACCACTTACAATGCATGCACAATTAAGAAAAATCTCTTAAAAGTAAAACAATTTCCGCACGGAAATTTGTTTGTTATGCCAAAAGAAAAGAAACCAAAAAAAATCTAAAATAAAACAAAATACCCACTCTCACACACCCATCAACCATATGGACAAATGTAAGAAATTTGTTTTTGCTTGATTGGCAGCCATATAAACAGAGCATATTTATGCAATAGACCTCTCTCTCTTGCAAAAAAAACTCCCATATGGAACGTCATGAATTGTTGATGTTTATTGTTCTCCCTCTTTGTTATCTTCTAAAATAAAAATATAAAAACGAAAATTTTACCCAAATAATAGTATGCTACACAGATTGTTTTTGTACTATTATCTTGATGATTATTAAACAATAAAATCTCAGCTCCACAATCACACCACTTGTTAATAAAAAAACCACCAACAAACACACACACACCCGCAGTCACGCTTTGTTTGAGGTTTGGCAAACGTCAACAATAGTGTTGTTGTGCAGTTCTCCCAGCCAGCGTGTTCAATTGAACGATTCACCAAAAAGGAAACGGAACTCAATCTCATATTTAAGGCGTTTTTACATCAACTTTAAAATAAGATGAAATGTTTACACAAGACAAATTGTTTCCAAATCAGAGATGTATTTTTTTTTCAAAATTTACGAAAACAATATACTAAAAATGTCTGAAATTGTTATATTATATATAAAATACTTCTAGGTAGGGTTCTTAAAAAGATATACATGATTTATGGTTGTTGCTGTTGGCACACTGAACTGTCAAGCCAATTTTAGAATGGAAATATTTGAATAAAAAATTATTAAAATTTGTAAAAATTGTTTTAAAATGCATATAATAATGACCTCCAATTGGCGTCGGATAGGAGAACATATACAAATCTACTTATTTTTTAAGAAATATTTAAAAATGTTTGACATATCAATGTCCCAAGGCGTTGAAACATCCATTTATATTCTTCTACCATGATACAACCTAATAGTACGTTTATATATATGAGGGTTAACCCACTGGATTTGGATTTAAATTGTCATACCCATTACTTTTACTTCAAATAAATCCTCTCAAAGTAGGTTAACCCTACAAAAAGTTCTAACGTAAACATGGCATAATACCATGTTTACCCTAAAACATACACTGTAAATGTACTGAAAATTAGCTTGACTTAAAGCCTTAAAAGCTAAAATATAACATGGTAGAAGAATATAGGTAGGCGCATCGAAACAGCTGCTGGGACAATGAACTGTCAAAGCAATTTTGGAATTGAAAATGATGAATGAAAAATTTTTTAAATTTGTAAAAATTGTTGAAAACGCTAATTATAATAACCTCCGAATGACGTGGTATAAGAAAACAAATAAAAATCTGTTTATATTTGAAAGAACATTTAAAATTTTTTGACATATCCATGTTGCCCAGGGTTGATGCATCTACCTGTATTCTTCTACCATGAAATATATCAAAGCTTAAATCGTGTCTTCAGCGTGAAAATATAACACTGTTACCATTTCCAGTTGAATGAACATTAAAATACAACTCTGTTGTCAGTTACAAGTGGCAACAGTGTTGTATGTTTTAGCCTCAAATATCAATGAATTTAAACCGTGCACTGGATTTAGTTAATTTCATTTGATTGGAACTAAGTAGTTTTTCATTCAAAATTTTGAACTCTAAAAATGTTTGGAGGGTTCATAATAAAGGAACATGACGGCAGGAATCGTGTGCAGCTCTGATATCGGAAAATATGCCATGCCATGATTCCAAGCTGCTTTTTTTGCCAGGGTCAAATGGATTGACATAATTTTCAATCTAATTTTAGACATTTAATCTAAATTTAAAAATTTAGAGGAACACCTTGTTATTGCGACACGATTTGTACGATACTGTATAGCTCATAGTCAATATGACGCTCAATACATTTTTATGTTTGGGCTCCAATACATACGCATCCTACATTGATTATAGTCAACATGGGACATTTTAGCAATACCTTCTCCCACTCAGCAAATTTGAATACAAAACTGTCCATTAATTAAATTTCTTGCTTGCAGGTGCAAATAATTTACAGTGCTACCAATGCTGTGTCTTTGTTTTGTGTTGTTCGTTTTTATTATAGTTTAAATTTTGTATTTACGATTTTAAAAGATTTTGGTTTTATTTTTATTTTCATTGTTTTAAAAACGTTCTAATATTTTTTAAATATGTTGGCGTTTTTAAATACTCTTATTGTGTTGTTGAGTGTTTTTTTTAAATGGGCATGTGTGTGTTGTGTGGTGATTGGATTATGATGAATTTTTTCCATGATGAAGGTAGGGTGTCACAACAAGCTGGTGCAAAAACAAAAAAGAAGGAAACATTTTAAATTTATGACACTTTTTAAGCTTTTGTTTTAAAACAAAACGAAAAAATGTAATTAAGAAAACAGCTTTGCTTTACAAAATTTGAAGGTAGTTGTTCTTACTACAAAATATATTTTAGTTTCAAAATGAAATAAAAAAAAATTATAATAAAATAAAAAATTCTTTAAAATAAATTTATTTTTTAGAGTTTCTTGCCTTATCTTGTGTATGATATATAGTTAATAGATTATCAGGAAGGAAAGGAAGGGGAGGGGACGTTTGCGTGTGGCATGGGAAGACGGAATTCAAAGGTGGCACAGACAGACAGGACAGGGGGGAGGGGAAGTTGGATATGGAAAAATTTAACAGAAAGCTAAGTCAAGATAAAGAATATTCGTATTTGTTTAATTTTTTTTCTTCTTTTTTTCCAAAAAAAAAAATTGTGTGTTTAAAACTCAGAAATTCAATAAATCTGTTTGGTTTTTTTGTTTTGTTTTGTATATATATATATATAATTATATATAGATGATTTTTATGAAATATTTAAATTACAAATAATTATATTATCATGGACTCAGTATTATCTTATGGTTCTGCTCTTTCTTCGTTCTTTTGTTGTTATTTGCAATGCTGCTAAATCCTTGTTTTTTGCTTTTATCTGTTGCTTTCTTTTCTGTGTGTTTTTTGTTTTATGATTCTAAGTTAAATAATATAATATAATAATTAAAAAATAAAGATTTTTAAATTGTTTGCAATGTACAAGAAGACGACAGCGTATATCGTTTAATCATGGTCACATTGAAAAATATGGGAAATTTTGTTAAAAATTATATGTGTTCGGTAATCTGCCATCGGCATTTGGATCAAATTGATATTGTGCACCATCGGAGGCGGGCGCAATTGATGCCTGTTCGAGCTGTAAAGCGAAAGAAAAACATATTAAAATCATCTTTTTTAAAGACAATGGATAGAAAAAGAACTACTAACCTCATCTGAGAAATGTTGTTCAATGATTTCGTACGCCAGTTTGTAGATTTCAACATTTTCGTGATTTTGCAGTTTCTCAATCTTTTCGAGACCATCGCATTCCTCAATTAAATTGGCTACATCTTGTACATGGCTTTCGGCCATTTTGAGCATATTGTTAAGACCATCCAGGACGACCTGAAAAATAAAAAGAGAAAAAAAAAATAGAAAATGAAATAGGATTTAAATTATTCGAATAGGAAGGAGGAAACCTATATAAAGCTAAAGAGACCTAAATCTAATACGGATATCAATAGAAAACAAGTAAAATAGTATCAGTCGGTTTTGCGACAGATGTATACCCCCGCAGCCTTTAGTTCTGATTACTCAAACTGTTGACCCTTTATGGGGGGAGGTGTTCCGTAGCAGTTGGCAAATATTGACTCGTATCTGACCTAAGACACGGATATAAATATTACAACGTGCCAGATTTATATCGACTACTTGCTATACTTTATATGAGATACAGGGTGAGATGAAGAAACTGCAACCAACTTCAGACTGCCGTCATTTCATAGAATTGAAATTGGAGATCGTAAGTCAGATGTAGTTTTCATAGAGGACGTATAGCTTTTCCCCCCTAGAAGACGGGGATTCGGATTTTATGATTGTTTCGGTTATTAAAACTTTGAGATTTGTGGGGGAGGTACCAGAAATTAATGGTCCGATCTCTACCATCTTCAGAACAGATCTTGTGCCGATAGAAATAATGAGATATACCAAGTCTGAATGGAATCGGATGTTAATTTCGCGTTTTATGAACTTCATGGATACTCAACATTTTGACCTTTTGTGGGGGAGGTACTACAAGGAGTGGACCGATATATCCCATCTTCACACCAGAGCTAGGGTTAATAAAAATATTGTCATGTGTGTAATTTGAAGAGAACCAGATGCTTATTTCGGATTTTATGATCGTTTTGGTTATTAAAAATTTTGAGCCTTTGTGGGGGAGGTACCAGAAGAGATGGTCCGATCTCTACCATTTTCAGAACAGATCTTGTGCTGATAGAAATATTGAGATATACCAAGTCTGAATGGAATCGGATGTTAATTTCGCGTTTTATGAACTTCATGGATACTCAAAATTTTGACCTTTTGTGGGAGAGGTACCACAAGGAGTGGACCGATATAACCCATCTTCACACCAGACCATGAGTTAGTGAATATATTGAGATGTGTGTAATTTGAAGACTATCGGACACTTATATCACTTTTTAAAGGAGTTATATTTATTCAAAATTTTGACCATTTGTGGGGTGTGTACTTGAAAGGGCGAACTGATACTGTCCATTTTCGCAACTGACCTGATGCAAATATTAGGATTTGCAAAGTTGGAGCGAAATCGGATTATCGTTTCCATGAGCACGTGTTGCCCGTATCAAATGTTATATATCCTCTCTAGCCATATGGCAGAGGGTATAAATATGGCATGAATCTAAACCTGCATGGTCCAAATTGTTTAGATGTATCTCCAGGCAGTAGATGAGAGGCCATACCCGATAAATTTTAAATTTAAATGTAAATGGAAGCTATGTCCAAATTTGAACTGATTTAAAGACTTGGTTGCAGATATCGTGCGTACTTACATTAATAACTTGCGTATCTTGACATGACAACAGATCACAGAATGGTGGTATAACGCCCTCCTTGATTAGCGTAAACACTTGATCACGATTACCACTGATAGTCAAATTGCTGATGGCCCATGCGGCTTCTTTTTGTGTTTGGAATTCACCGTGTCGTAGATTTTCAATGATTTTCGGCAGCAGACCACAGTTGATGACGGCCTGCACTTGTGACTGATTACCAGCTGTTATGTTGGACAAAAACCATACGGCCTCTTTGCGTATCTTTTCCTTTTGATGTGACAACAATGCTGGGAAATATGACAGAGCATCGTAGTTGAGTACGACCTGGGTCTGTTCGTCGGAACCGGTAACGATATTACCAACAGCACGCAAGGCAGCTGTTTGTACTTTCACTTCGGCATGTCCCAGGAGGGGTATCAATTTTGGTACCACACCACTTTCGATAACCATTTGGATTTGATCGTTACCGCCGTCGGTTAAATAGCTGATGGCCCATACGGTGTCCACCAGGATGTTGGTGTCTGTATGGTGAATCAATATATTCAAAGCGGGCAATATTTCGTTAATAGTTGTGGCTGGTGGTGGGGGATCTTTGTTACGGCACAAATTCACAATGACCCAGGTGACATTGCGCAAAAACGATATGGGTATATCGGGTTTGATGAACGACAACAGCGGCTGGACGACACCGTGCCTTATGACAAAGTCACGCAGTGCTGGCCCATCACCAATGATATTACCCAAAGCCCAGACGGCTTGTTCGCAGACATTTGGAGCAGGTGAAGACAACAATTGCAAGAACAGAGGGACAGCACCGGCATTTACCACCTCATTTGTTTGTTCCGATGTGCCGGAGGCGATGTTTGTCAATGCCCAGGCAGCTTCGAATTGCAACATTGTGTGATTGTGTTGCTTCAGACAATCGACCAATATGGGAAGAATGTCGCTCTTAATTAAATCATTGATGGGTGGATTTTTATCAGACGATAACAGTTTGCGTGCGGCTTGCACAGCGGCCAATTGCTGTTCGGGCTTCGATGAATCAGCAGCAGCTTCAGCTAGTTTCTTCAAGTTGATTTGATTTGGCAACTGATCATCTTCGTCTGTGTTTGAGTCCATGTTGGGGACATTGCGACGTTTGAGAATTGTCTCTTCACGTTTGTTTTTACGCAATTCCACTGTGACTTCATTGCGTCGTCGTCGCATTTCCTGCAGGGGAAAGAAAAAGGAATTTATAAAAATAAATGAAGGTGTTAAAATAACAAACTAAGCTATTGGAAATCCCCAACCAACATCATAAATTTGTACCTTTCTTTCCGGGCAGTAATTTCCATAATTTGGCGGGAAAATGTTGTTTTCTTATGCAAAAGAGACATTTTACATCAAGCCCTCCCTTCATACTCAAGCTTTTTGTCATTATAATTGCTCTATACAGCACTTTTCTTCCTCAAATAAATCACAAATTTCTTTTTATAAACTCTGCAATTAATTCGCCTTTGGCAACCCTACTTTTCTCATTATTAATGATCACTGACTGCCACAGGGTTGTATCGGGATAATTTGCACAGAATTCATAAACAAAAGAAAAACTGAAAAATGTACAACTCTCTCGCTCTCTTTTATTGCCTGCTGCTCAAACGTTCATGAACCTGTGTAATTGTGTATGTGATTTGTGTGCAATCAGAGAAACAAACAGTAAATAAAGGTGCAAAGTATAAAAACGAAAAAAATCACCGTAATTGAAGCAAACAAGCGAGCAACCAACCACGAGGAATGATGGCAATGAACACATGAAGAAGTAGTATGAGCAATACGAAAAACAACGAGATGACATTCTTATTCGGGGCTCCCTACTCAAACATGTTAGAATTTCATAACAAATTTCCACTGCGAATAATTTAAATTAAAATCCTCGAAAAAAAATCAATAGAATGCCTAAATTATTTTGTTATTTAAAGAAAAAGAAACTCAAAAATTGTACATATATAGAAGACGACAGGAAATGGAGGTTAAGCTAATCATGTTCGTTTCTTTTTGTGTTTCGCCAATTCTCCCTCCTCTTCATTTGCTGCTGCTGCTTGCTGTTTCTGGCTGTGGCGAAGACGACAACTACGACGATGATGATGGGCACCTTACACATTCACACGCACCATCAGTCACCACCACACCACCATCAGGCTAGACAACGACGACGACTACATGATTACAACAAAAACATGTGCCTTTCTCAAGGAAATTTACACAAAAATGTGTTATTTTTAAAAGTCCAACTTTTTCCCCAATAATGTGGGTGTGGTTTTTCCAATAGCATTATTTAATATTAGTTTAAAGAAAAATTTCTACTTACATCTTGATCTTTGCCTTTGTTTTTGAAATTTTGCAAGCGATTCACATTTGGTTCCAGAGACGTCATTTTTTCAAATTATTTTCTTTCTCCTTGTGTCTGTGTGTGTGTGTTGGGAGGAAAATTATTTACCAAATTCAACGAATTGAATTTACTGCCTTTGAATGATGTTTCAACGTTTCCTGTACCTTCTTTTTCCAATAAAAATTATATATTTTCTTGGTCCAAGTATTATCAAAAAATCACTATTAAGTGGAAAGACGACAACGAACCGCGGCCGAGGTTGGATGTGCGAACGAATGAACCAACCAACCAAACGAATGAAATGGCGAAAGAGAATAGAAGAACAGCAACGAATTTCAAGTGTATCGCACAGAACACACACACATGTATACACATTACAAACACATTGCCAGTTCAAGTAGCAGAAGACGGCGGTGGCGTTGGCGACGAATTTTCGGCAAGCAGCAAATTTTCCGATATTTATTAAAAAAAATGAAAAGAAAAAATAAATAACACAAACGACTCGATTAATGAAAAATTTCAGCAAAAACTCACAAAATCCATGAAACGATTTGTCCCAACTTACGTTTTTACTTGTTTTCGCCTTCTATTATTTCAAAAAAAAGTTTCTGGAATATTTCCTTCTCTCGTTGGCTAAATCTTCTTTTGCGACTAGTCCGATTTTGAACGCAATTTGTGTCAATATATTTATACGCACTTGGCAAAACACAAATATATTTAATGGATTTTCTACTATATATATTAAATTAATACGTATATCTTAATAATTTTCCACTTTTTAAGTGAAAAATCTCTATGTTCTCGTCGATTTTGTTCTCTGCCGCTGCTACCTTGGATCCAACACGAAAAATTAATCTACGAATAAGAAGGCAAAAACGAATGACTGATAATGCAATCCGCCTGGCTCCGAGGTCTGATTGTTTTTCATTGCCGATGACATTTACTTTTGCAAGGCAGCTGACGGCGTTAGTATGGAAATGATATTGTAGTGTATCGTTCGCACGGAAAGAAACGCGATTTTTTTTATAAAAAAACGGTTATCGTTTCACCGTGCATTATAGGATCATATGGTTTGATTATCAAAAAGTATAGGAAAAGTGTCAGGTACAAGCGGCAAGTTTTTTACGCCGAAGTTACTATATAAACTTTGATCTGTTTCAACGTTTTTTTTTCAATTATTCAAAGAAGCCAGCCGTTGACTTAAGGTGTGTTAACATAAGCATGTTGACATAATTGCTAGTCATATTACTGTCAAATTATATCAAGCTTCTTATGTACTCACACCTTTAAACCAGTAAAAAATGGTCTTTATGTACCAGCACCTTTACGCGTGCTGTGTGGCACCGTCAAGTACAAGTCAAGCACTTGCATTTTGGGCAAAAAAAAAGTTGTATGTCATCTTACGGTAGCACTCATAATTTGAAGAAATACGGTCCAATGAACCGAACCAAACTGTGACTTTTTAGCATACATATGCAGCTTCATTTCGAAATAGAAAATTTTGCTTATTTACGTCATAGACAAATGAAAATATAGACAACGAAATGCTCTCACCGTTTATCTTCGAAAAAAATCGAATCAGCAGATGTCGTCTATATCGTTTCAGGGGTTTGAGTGGGAATATTGAAGTCACTCAATTCTAAAACGTTAAAAATAACAAAATTTCTAGGATATTTGTCAGTTGGAAATTGTTCCATAATAAAAGAAATGTGAAAATTACGTGATGACATCAAAAAATTCCGGAATAATCAAGTAAAATTCTTGAAAAACGATAAAATGTGTTTTCGAAGTCGAGTGGGTTGAACGCGTAAATCAGCATGTTGACTATGCAAAACATGATGAGAGCCACCTGGATAAAATGACAAACCTAACTTTTCGTTGTCTATATCTTCATTTGTCTATGTTTACGTACCCATTGAGCCAAAAATGAGCTACGTTGTTGAACGATTTGTTCGTTTGTAGGGCAATTCATGGTTATATTACGAAAAAACTGAAGATGTTGAAATAAAATACGAAACGTGAGGGAGCTGTTTACACCAGTGTTGTAAAAAAGATAATACCTTTAAAACCCCATTTACAAGGTAACCTGGCGTTTACACAGGCATTTATTTATATCAGAGTTGTATTTTGTACTTTTCCAATTTAAGAAATTTGTAAAAAAAAGTAGTTCACCGTATTTTAATTAAACAAAATGTTGTATGCTTTAAAAAGCCACAAAAAAGGTGAGAGTACATAAGCAGATTGGCGTCTGGCTAGGCATTAATGTCAAATTATAAAGAGAAACGACGGCAGAATTCGAATGTGGCTCTGGCATCCCTTTATGATATGTCACAAAACATGAACCTTAATACTCTGCTACAAATTTAGTTTCTAATTTTATATCTTAAATACCACTTATCAACATAATAATTTTATATCGCCTACAATAACTTTTCATATAATAATATTTAAGAAAATAGTGATTTTTAAAAAATCGAATTTGTTAAATTTCCATTACAAAACAGTATCATTCTTTTTCTATTCTTTTCCCATGGCCGAAGAATACAGGTAGATGCATCAACGCTTGGGAGCATTGATATGTCAAAAAATTTTAATGTTTTTTCAAATATAAGTAGATTTTTATATGTTTTTTCGTGTTTTCCAACAATTTTTACAAATTTAAATAATTTTTTATTCAACATTTTCAATTCAAAAATTGGTTTGACAGTTCATTGTCCCAGCAGCTGTGTCGATGCGTCTACCTATATTCTTCTACCATGTATTTTCCCTAGAAAACAAATTTGTAATCAGCTTGTAGCTCTGCATTACACATTTTTATTGTACCATGACATGACTTTTGTTACCCTACCGTGTTAGTATACAACCCTGTAATATTTACACATAAAATTGCAACACTGTTCATCAGAATGCATATAGTTTTCTCACTCTAATTGTAGTTTTTTGCCAGTGATGCCAATCGAAAACTTGGCAGCATTCGTACCCAAATACATCAGAAACGTCGTTTCTGTAATTGTATTCGTGCTATGATCCATAAAAAATTTTGCGGAAGGTTTTTTGTGTTTGATTTTTAGCTAAAAGAAAATTCTACGCGAATTTGTACAACCGTGTGAACGAAAGAAACACAACCTTTGGAAAATTGAAACAATTTTCTGAAAGGAAATTGCATTTTCTATGGAGAACTGTGGAGCTGCGGCAGTGGAAACGGCAGCAGCAAGCAGCACCAAACCAAATTGATCCAAGTGATTTTTCTTATTCTCCTCCATCATCATCATCACCAACATGCACAGTCTCTTTCAATAAAGTTCGTCGGGTGAAATTTTATTTCATTGAACTGCTTTGAAAAACAACACACAAAGACAAAAGTTAAATATACACAACCACAGTCAGACACACACACACAGTCAGACACATAAGAAACCAACGAATAAAGACATTGTGTCGTGAGGAAGAACAAGCACAAAATATCGTCGAACAAGAAAAAACGCAAACAAATAAAAAACCCTTAATGTTTGGTTGAATCGAATTCAACCAAAATAAAAACAATAAATTTTATAAAATTCCATAGAAATAGATAAAAGTAAGATATAAAAGAGCGAAAAAGTTTACCAAAACTTTGTTTTCGAGAAGAAGAAAAAAGAAAAAAAAGTGATTGTTTAAAGAAGAAGAAAAAAGTTGAGGTTGAGTTTGTGTGAGTGTTTGTTTCAAAGAAGAAGAAGAGGAAGCATACGTATGTGTGTTTGTGTGTTGCAATCAATTGGACAAGCAACACCAACAACATAAACGAACTGAACAATAAAAAGAATAACCAAATCAAAGACTAACCAACCAGCCAACCAAGTAACTAACCATCGACGACGACGACAACCAGCTCTCCAAGGCACACAAAAGGCAACCACGGAAAGCTTTTTTGGTAAACATCCTGAGCAGCAGCTCCATAGTTTCTGTGGCAACAAAAAACACCGAGGAAGAATAGAAAACGTGCGAAAATTTTGTGATTTTCTTTTCGTTTTTTATTTTTGATATCCCCCCCGTTCTGTCGGTCGGCCGCTCGCTCGCTCGCCTCTTTGGTGTATTAGTTAACGACGCCGTTTTTGTGCCATTTTTTCTTCTTCTTCCTTACCTGCGCCTGCTCTCACGAAAATTTCCTCCTGAAATATTGAAATATCCATTACCCAATTTATATATTGTTGTAGTTGCTGTGTTAACTGACGGCCTGCCTAGCTCGCTGGCGGTGTAAAACAAACAATACCCAATAATCCAAAAAATCGAAGTAATTGAAACGACAACATCCAACCAAACAACCAACTACAACAAAGTTTAACCAGCGCCAAACAACCAGAGAGTAACTATCACAACATAAAAAGCAGCAGATTCAAGGTTGCTTGCTTGAATTTGCTTTAGATTTTTTGCTCCCGATTTGACTCTGTCTCCCCCCCCCAAACGTCTGCCTGCCTGCCTGTTTTTTCGCCTGCCACAAAAAAAGCAAATTTTTTGATACACCTTGCACGCTTGCTGGATTCCTGCTGGTGGCATCCATAAACTGGCAGCAGCAGTTATTGCTGGTGGTTGCATCCACACAAAACTTTTAACGTTCCACTTTGCCGCTTTGGAATGTTAGATGCGGTGAACTCTTGTATTTACGGTCGTAGCAGTAGAAGCAGCAAAAGTTCGAGTATTACAAGTCGTTTGAAAACAACAACAACAATAGCAACATCAGCAGCACATTCAGAACAAGGACATTCAACAATAACAGATTTATTCGGTAAGTTATTTTTAGGAGGCGCGTAAAATAGACTGAATGTGAAATTTGTGAATTGCAAAATAAATAATTCCTGTTTTCACATCTTCAGAAATCTTTGGAGACCCAAAAAAATGTGAGAAGTTCCACAGTTTGTCTGCGATGAGCCCTGGTTTGGGGGGAATGTTGATTGCAGCTAGATCTGTCTGGACCTTGATGTGTGTCCGTTTTCCTAACATAAAGCAGTGCATTCATTCCAGGAGGTTGTGATAGGATTTCATTCAAAAACTTTTGAGAATTTCTACTTCCCTCACGATTTCTAATTTTTGCGGGGATGATTTACATATAGAGATTGAGAAGTGAGGAATATGGATCGACAATTTAGCATAATAAAGGACGTTTCCAATAAGAGTTGTTTTGTGACATTCAACAAAATATGTTAGTCTTTAAGGTAAATGATCGGATCATGATATTTGTTCATGATTAACGGTATATCTGTTAGGTTACAGGATGCACAGCTACACTGCTGCTTCACTCGAAGACCATTGCTCCATTGTGTTAATCCTGGGAAGATAGGAAATAAATAAACCGATAGGATGTGGTGATAGATAGGAGGGATATAAACCGACAAGGAAAGAAGAATAAGAAAGCAACTACTAATATGAAGATTTGCTTATCCATGATATAATTTTTAGCAAACCTATGGACAACGATGATGGGTCTACGTCTGAGAAGAGCGTTAGATTTTTCCTTCTCCCACCTACCGAAGAGCCTGTGTCTTCTGCCTGATAACATACCACATCGATTCGATAGTCTACAGATAGGACCACTGTTATCCCATCTTGATATCACATATCTGATACTGCAGTGGCCACTCAATATGCCAATCACGATTCTTAGACCTAGACCTATCAATTGATAGAATAGAGCAGGTTATTCTTTTCGACCAGATCACCTTAGATATTTTGAAACCGCCTTCCAAGTGCTACCTTCTTCGATGAGATCCCTTTTGAAGCGGTTAATGGTTTGATAGTCTCATCGAACGGTAAATCAATCGACTCGGAACTACATCAGCCTTTTCTTTTCCCCCTAAATGTCCTGGAACCCACAAATCCTAATGCAATCGAGTATTTCAATGGGGGCTTTCTTGCAGTCAAGAATGGCGATTTAAGGTACTTGATGGCTTTGAGGTCCAGCTGACTATCGACATAAATAGTCACTGGAACTGTTATGGTATGGCAAAATTATTTCACCATTATCTTTAATCGTCTTCATTCAGAGGAGGCTCTCCGGCAGTCCGTATCAGCTATCTTAACGTCAATATAATTGAAGTCGAAAATGGTGGACATGTAATTACTAGTTGTATTACTGTTATCTAGTATATTACGACTCATTGGTATGTCCAGGATTCGTGCATGACCAACCCGTGAATAGTTACTTGAAATTATGCTCGAACATACAGTGGCAATGAAAATTGGGGTGTGCATTTGATAGCTCCGGTTGTCAGTAAGGACGCAGTTCTCTGCACTTTGGTTAAGTGGAACGTGAGTGTTCTGGGTTCAATAGCATGCCACTAGACGAATAGGACCTGTAGGACCTGTGGTCTAAGCCCTCCAACTCTTCCTAATGGCGTTCCTACAATAATAGAGCGCTGGTCCAGGATTGTACCGAGATATTTAGCACACGAGGAAAGATTCACTGCAACTCCATGTAGTACTGGCAGTGAAAATCAAGGTCCCAGCCAGACAGCTGTAGTAGTGCACTTTGCATTTGATCTGAAATGGTTGGAAGAAATCTACCAATTATCAGCACCACAGCGTAAGCGCCATAAGTGACTTTCTTTATTCGAAGTTGGTCTAAACTCACAAGTATTTCATTGATCGCCAGATGCTATAACAGAATTGATTATCTTGCTTTTAAGAATCCTATCAATCCATTCAATTAGGATATAGGAAATACAAATGGCATAAATAACATTGTGGATCGACTCCAGTATCACATTATTAAAAGCTCTCTCCACATCGAGGAATGCCGCCAAAGTGAAATTGGAGTTTTCCATATTTTTCTCAATGTACCCGACAACTTCAGGTAGGGCTGAGTCCATTGAACGACCTTGCGATGCACTTATTAAATTTGTATCTAGATTTTAACTATTTTCCACGTCCAGTAATCTTCCTAAGGTCTTCCTTAGAAAGGAAGAGAGGCTAATCGGACTATATTCTCTAGGAAATATGTGCTTTGGTTTCCCTGCTTTTGGAATATAGGTTACCTTTACTGCTTCCATAGACTGGGTACGAAGCACAACCCAAGACAGCCCTCCTTCTGAAAGATGTCCAACACCGACTTAGATGCATGTTGCAATATAATACCATACCATAAATAAATGCCATTTAACATTGGGTTAACTTGTTGTCCTTCCGATAAGGCTCCCATTTCCAGCTAAACAATGATGTTGGCGATTGCTCCCTACAACCAGGAAAGTGGGTGACTAATAGGAAGTGGTATCTAGACCAGAATTAGTTCATGTACCATCCTCTTGCTTTATGTGTGGACGTGGGGTGGTTAGACAGTATTTTGCGAGATCTAGCAGCATTATCCGGTCCATCTATAGACTCGCAAAAGCTGATCCAAGATCTTCGTTCAACTTTTTTCAATTCACTTTTGTACGAATTGAAGTCTGCCTTATATGCGTTCCAATCAGCACTAAGTTTAGTTTTGTAGGCCCTGTTATAAGACGTCCCTGGATTTTCTCCCAGGTTAGGTGATTGAACAAAATTTCTCATAGCTTGAATGACCACATTCACCGCTCTCTCTCTCGATTTCAGACTTCAGGGGTCCTATTTTAACTCTGTCGTAAGGTATTTGATTTGTCCTCCTTATTTTACACCACATTTAGCAGGAAGAATTTTATATTATGTCCTGACGAGATTTGTATGTGGATTATAGATTATATTTGGAGTCCATCTACACATGTACGTCTTTCTATCCGTCAGTGGGCGGACGATAACTGTCTACTACATTGTAATATTGTCATACTTAGATCGAGTTCGGAAAGGGACAATATCGGTCCGCTCTGTCTGGTATATTCCCCAAAAAGGGTTATATTATACCTCCCCACAAGCGGGTGAAAGTTTTAAGTGACTGAAATGCTCATAAAATGCGAATCTATTCAGGTTACACACATCTTACAGGGTGGGATAAATCCTGCAACAAAGTCAAACGCCATAATGTTCACCTTTTTTAAATTTTATTGAATGAAAGCAAAAAAATGTCGGAAATAGCATCAAATTTTAGAATAAGTTTAGATTTGTTCGAATTGGTCACCTTTGGCACGAATTATGGCCTTCAAACGGCCAATGAAAATGTACGAATGTTACTTTGCGGTATTATGGCCCATTCCCGGCGAAGCGCTTGCTTGAGATGATCGACACTTTGGTATTTTTTAGTGCCAACCTTTCCAAAATACTCCAAACACAATAGTCCAACGGATTGGTATCCGGAGACTTTGGTGGCCATTGTGCGCTGGAAATGAAGCGAGGAACCTCATTTTGTAATCATTCATGGGTGGCACGTGCTGAGTGCGATGGTGCTGAATCTTGGAATGTCCAAGGTCTGCAGAAAAATGTTTGCGTTCCAATGCCTTAATACACCTTTCAGCATATTTTCGCGATAATATTCGGCATTTATTCTGTAATACGAGCGGAGAGCGACCATCGGCTATTATGACGGCCCGGCCCTCACCATCATCATGGCCGGCGCTTAAGTTCTGGTGGTCAACCGAAGGTGCACATTTTCAGCTGACCTCTTTGGCAAATAAACACGATCATTTTGTTGGTTTACAAACTGCTGAACAACGAATGTTGTCTCATCGGAGAAACCCAAAAACCAATTTCGGTAGTTCACCACTTTCGGCCAAGCGAAGCAAGTTTTTAGCTCTTTTGAGTCTAGTTTGAGTTCTTTCTGTTGCGGTGTAAGTTCTTGCACGTTTTGGAATATCAATGGCTTTACCCCGAGCTCATTTTTCAATAATTGCCGATGGAACATTGCGATATGTTCAGCTCACGAACCATTTTTCGGCCACTGCGACGTGGGTTAAGCGATCAAGTCGCTTCTTTACTTTTCGAACCATTTCTGCTGATGTTGCTCTTTTCTTCCGTTCACTTTCCTGACGTCGAGCTGCACTACCAGCATCACTTACGGTAACGAGCAATGGTACGAGACACAAACGATTTTTTTCACATTTAAATGCTGTAGTGCTCTAACGATAGCCACTTGTGGTTTTCCAGGCAAATATAAAGAAATCACACTATCACGCTTGAATTCCATCACGAATAATTTTTTTCCGGGAAAATTCTCAGCAGAATGCTTTTGTACGCTTGTAAACAATATAATGAGCTGTCACTGGAATAAATTTAACAGCTGTCGGACGAGTGACTTAGAAATGATAGCAGTCTGAAATTGGTTGCAGTTTTCACATCTCACCCTGTGTTTCAGGCTTAGTTGAGAAACGAAATACTTAACTTTTCCTTTAGTGTACAATCCTTGAGTTTGGGCCCTGGCTAATTAAGTCATTTTGAATTCAGAATAACAAACTCTGTCTGCTCCAAAAAAAAATGGCAATTCTTCTGTCCTACATTTTCTAATTTAAACAAAATCAATATATTCCAAAATCGACCTTATTATGACTACCCCTTGGCCATCACAACTATGCGAATTTATTAATATAATGTTAGTGCTTATCCTTAGCTCTACAACAAATTTATCATTATTGGCAATTACACACGCACACACAGCGAAAGCAATTACAGCCAGGATTCAACGCGCCATCCCCCGAACCATTTCCCAAGAGGAAATCCAAAATTCCACTGGACTATAAAGTGTCACATGATGATGATGATATGCAGGCCATTACATGCAAAAACCCTCCTCCTCCTCTCTACACACATCACCTACTCATTATCTGAAATATTTGTTACATTTTTATCCTTATTTTAACACTCATTCAAAAGAAAGAACAAAAAACACGGGGATGATGAAGGAAGAAAGTCGCAAATCTAATTCAGCGAACTACACTTGTACCCCCCACACCCACCAACACCACCACCACCACCATATCATCAATATCCATCTGTCTTGGTAATCATCAACATCATTCATGGCGCGGCGTCATAAATACACTTGATAACAGGCAACATTGGCTGACTGACTACCTTTATTCAATCTGCTGCGTACCTGGTGGTTCTCATTTGGTCTTCAGCGTTGTTATTCTTGTTTGTATCAATGTATGCATGCGTAGGATTTTTTTGTTTTGTTTCATACTTGCTGTTGTCTATAGGTATGTGGATAAATGCAAGCTGCTGACAAACACCACACTCACACGAACACATATATATATGTTAGTTAGGAAAATGGCCTATGCCAATGGATTGTGTGTGTATGAATTTGTATAATTTTTGCAAAATTACAAAGTTAAAGGGGGATGGGTGGTTCTGGAGCATAAATATATTCCGATATTGACCCCTAATGCCTATTTGTACTCACAGTTGGTTGACGACAGGCTTGCAGTAAAATCCAAATTCATTCATCCTTTGAAGAATGGTGAACTGAAAGATTAGCTGATTTCCTTTTGGTGTTTTTATACCCTCCATCATAGTATGGAGTGCATATTAAGTTAGTTATTTTGTAACACTTCGAAATGTATATTTAGACCCCACAAAATATATATTTTTGATCAGCATGAAATTCTATGTCGATTAAGCGATGTCCGTCTGAGGAAATCACTCTAGCTTCCGAACGAAATGAAGTAGGTTGATAAAATTTTACTCAAATGTATATTATGTCTGCAGGATTTTTGGTATTGAAAAAGGGCCATGTAGGTCCACATTTTGATATAGCCCCATATAAGGACACCCCCCGATATTCGTATCTGTGATGATTTTAGCGACATTATTCACCGGAATTGTTTCAAATTTGACATTTGAAATTCGTAATGGGTGCTACAGGCTATGACAGAAAATTGTCTGTGCAGGTCCACGTTTTGGTATGATACCTCCCCTCTATCTTCGATATTGTGATGATTTTAGCAACATTATTCACCGAATTTTTTTTTCAAGTTCCGCATTTGAATATTGTATCGCTTTATGACAAAAGTTGCCTATGTCGTATAGGCCTCCCTCTAAGCTCCCTCTAAGCATTCTACTAAATTCTATAATCCAGCATAAAAACTTCTTTAGTCATTTCCATTGCAAAATCTGACCTGAAACTTGTAGATAATTAACTGTAATATTAGGGCCATGATTTCCAGGTGGGGGGCGGGACGATACGGACTATTGCAGGCTTTGTCAAGACGAGGAAGAGATAGAGACTGCGAACACTTACTCTGTCAATGTCCAACTCTTTTACGAGTCAGACTGAGGTTCACGGGTAAGCATCCTTCAAGTCCTCTGTGAAGTTTTTTCTTCAGTTCGTCTCTTCCAACTCTTCTCTCATTAAGACACGAATCATGCTCACTAGGGCCTCTATATAGACTATCTACAAATCGTCAAAGAACAATATCTTCCGGTTGTTTATAAACAACTATCGCGGTATATGTGAGATTGTATAAGAGGCAGAGAATATGCAGGTGTCGCATTGTGCGATATATAAACAGATGAAGATCGATTTTATCATAATCTGTTTGTTTGCCTGATGCATCTCCTGGCTATGCAAACCGCATACTTCTAAAACACCACAATACACTTCTTAATTTTTATATAGTTCCTCCTCCCTTCTAACGATGCCTTCTTTTGGCTTTTTCTCTACAAGTCATCTGTGACGATTCTCTACAAGTCAGTCGACCACAAAGTTTTTTATAGGATCCGTTCAGGTCTTCTCAATAAGAACTTCGGATAATCTACTCAATTCGTTCATAAATTAGAAGGTCCTCTTATCTCATCCATAAAGTTTTTTTTCACTTTGCCCATAACTTCTGGATACATCTTTAAACTCTTCACTAAAGACATATTTCATCTCATCTTTGAAGGCTTCTATCAGCTTATCTGTAAAGATTCCGGTCGTTTGTGAAAACTCCTTTCAGCTCGTCTGTGGAGACTCCGATCAACTCTGTTCATTTATAAAGACTCACTTCAGCTCGTCTGTAAATTCTTTCAGCTCGTATGTGAGTACTCTGCTCAGTTCGTCGGTAAAGACTCCCTTCATCTCGTCTGTGAAGACTCCATTTGCCTCGCCTGTAAAGACTCCCTTCAGCTCGCTTGTTAAGACTCCCCTTAGCTCGTTTGGGAAGACTCCCATCAGTTAGTCTGTGAAGACTGGCTTTAACATTTCTGTGAGGGCTCCCTTCAGCTCGTCTGGGAAGACTCCCTTGAACTCGTCTGTGAAGAATCCCTCTCAGCTTTTTTGTGAAGGCTCCCTTCATCTCGCCTGGAAAGACACCCTTCGGCTCGTGTAAAAAGTCTAGCTTCAGCTCGTCTATAAGAACACCCTTCATCTTCTCTATAATGTCTCCTTTCAGCTAGTCTGTAGAGACTCCGCTCAACTCTGTATATCTATAAAAACTCACTTCAGCTCGTCTATAAATACTTTCAGCTCGTATGTGAGTACTCTACTTTGTTTGCGGTGGAGGCTCCCTTCAGCTCGTCTGTGAAGACCCCATTCAGCTCGCCAGTAAAGACTCCCTTCAGTTCGTTTGTGAAGTCTTCCATCAGTTAGTCTGTGAAGACTCACTAGAGCATTTCTCTGAAGACTCTCCCTTCAGCTTTTCTGGGAAGACTCCCTTGAGCTCGTCTGTGAAAATTCCCTTTAGATGATCTGTGAAGACTACCTTTAGATGGTCTGTGAAGACTCCCTTCAATTCGTGTGGGAAGACACCCTTCAGTTCGTCTAAAAAGTCTAGTATAAATACTCCCTTCAGCTCGACGATTAGGATTCCCTCATCACGTCTAAAAGCTCTCGCTTCAGCTCGTTTATTAGGGCTCCTTTCAGCTCGCCGATGAGGATTCCCTTCAGCTCGTCTATAGAGACTCCATTCAGTCTTATGTGAAGACTCGCTTCAGCTCGTCTATAAGAACTCTCTTCAGCTCGCCGTTTAGGACTCCCTTCAGCTCTTCAATAGAGAGACTCCCTTTATTTCTCTGCAGAAAATCTCTCAGTTTATCCGTAAAGACTTAAGTTCGCCTAGAAAGTCTCTGCTCAACTCGCCTAAAGACTCCTTTCGTTTGCTGCCTACATAGACTCCCTCTATTTCCTCTTTAGGCTCCCATCAGTTCGTCTATAATTGTGAGGTCTATAAAAACCCCGTTCAGTTTGCCTATAAAAAATTCTCTCATTTCGCCAAAAAGACTACTCTAATTTTATCCCTGAAGACTCATCCTCTTTGAATCAATCTGCATAGTGTAGGTTATCCTTCAGCTGGAGTATGAACTCTTCTTCAGTTCGTCTTCAAAGAATCCCATCAGTTCGTGGACAAATAATTTCTTTCGAAAGTCTACAAACAATTGTCTTTTCTCAACTATAGAGCCCCACTTCAGCCTATCTATAAGGAATCTCCCTCACACGAGTTTAAAGACTCTTCTCAGCGGGTCTATAATCGTATCTATTTAAGTAGTCTATAAGGGTTCTCCCTTCAGCTCGAAAAATAGATGCCCTTTAGCTCGACTATGAATATAAATTTCAGTTCTTCTTTGAATATGCTCTTACATCGTCTTTAAAGATAATACCCTTCAGCTTGTAGAGGCTCCCATCAGCTACTCTATGAAAGACTCTTCAGCATTCTGCTCATTCAGCCCTGTACAGATAACTTGATCATGTGTATTTAAAAAGGACAGTCCATAAATACTAAATTGAGGTCAAATCGTCTATAAAGATGGCATGGCGATCAGGTCATCTACAAATATGCCCTTCAGCACCCTCATCTGATCTATAAAAATTCCCCTCAATATTTTTCTAACATCATCTCTTCAGGGCATTTACGCATTACGAAAGGCCTTTCAAGACATTTAGGTTAATTTCTAAATACTATGAACCTCCCCACTTGCGACGCCCCTTCTACTACCCTCAAGATTTTGATAATATTATTAAAACGCAACATATTTTCAAAATACAAAAAAAAAAAAACACCTTCACTAGCTAGCTGCTGGTAAACAAACACTTGGAAAGTGGCGGCGGCGGAGGCCTTGATTTTGAAAAAGGTTATCGAAATCAATGACAATTTCTTTTAAGGTAGAGCAGCGTGTCTTTAGCTAATAAAATCAAATGCAATTCTTTTGGAATGCATAACCATTCTCGCAATTCTCTGCATAAAGATGATAATGATGTTTAGCCAATAATAATTCGACTACAACTTAATTCTCTTATCTATACTAAATTAATAAATTAATTTGTACGCACCACGTACACCACACTCTCACACACACTACTACCAATTAATTGTTTTTCATGTTGTTTTTGTTGTTCTTGTCTTCTTCAACAGATTATGGCGAATTTAAATTTCCAACAACCCCCAAGAAGCATAGCAAATGCATCTCTAACGGGCAGAACTACAGGCGGATTTGGTGGTAGTTCATTATCCGGTCATGTAACACCTACGTCTGGCATGTTTCCAAGTGGTAAGTAACTAGTTAACGGAACCTACAACATACAATTATACAATTCCATCAATGCCATTACTTGTGCCTCAATTCTAATTTCAATTTTCCATTTTCTATGTTTTGTTTTTGGCAAATGGCAAACACGTAAACAGGAGCAAACTATGGACAAACGCAACCTCAATTATCACCGAATCGTAATGCACAGCTATCGGTTGGTGGTCCTGCGTTAAGTAGTGGTAATCGTGCAAATGTATTCAACCAGCGTCCATATGTGGAAAGACGAATGCAAGGCCTGGGAGCTGGACCTATGGTGAGTAATAAACAAATGTTATAATAAAAAAATAATAATTAAATAATTTGTTTACTTTTTGTTGATACGGAAAAAGAAATTTAAAATTCGACTGAATTTTCATCAGTTCGTGTATAAACCTTCTTTAACGTTTTTCATAAAGTCTTCCCCTAAATGGACCATAAGAACTCTCTTCAAAAAGTCGATGTAGAAGACCTATATGAAGTCTGATATTCATGATTAAAAAGAGACCATTTAAACGTTTATTAAGGTTCTCTTCAGGTCGGATATTAATGATTAAAAAGAGACCATTTAAACGTTTATAAAGGTTCTCTTCAGGACAATAATAAAGAATTTGATATGTTGTATAAATACTACATGCAGCTCGTCAATGAAGACTCTATTTAAGTCGTCTATAAAAATACACATCTGCTCATTAAGGAAGATTCTCTTCAGCTTGCCTGTAAAAGATTCTTTTGGGTCGTCTGAAAGTGTAAAGAAGCCCTTCAGCTCTTCTCTAAAGAAGCCCTTTCAGCTCTTCTATATAGAAAGCCTTTGGCTTACCTATAAAGGAGTCCTTCAGCTCTTCTATAAAAAGCCCTTTAGCTCTTTTATAAAGAAGCTCTTCAGCTCTTCTGAAAAAAGTAACCCTTTGGCTTTATTAGGAAGAAGAAGCGCTTCAGCTCTTTTATAAAGGAGAAACCCTTCAGCTCTTCTATAAACAAGCCCTTCAGCTCATCTTTAAAGAAGACCTACATCTCCTCTGTAAACAAGCCCTTCAGCTCTTCCATAAAGAAGAAGCCCTTCAGCTCTTCTATAAAGAAGAAGCCCTTCAGCTCTTCTATAAAGAAGAAGCCCTTCAGCTCTTCTATAAAGAAGAAGCCCTTCAGCTCTTCTATAAAGAAGAAGCCTTTCAGCTCTTCTATAAAGAAGCCCTACAGCTCTTCTATAAAGAAGAAGCCCTTCAGCTCTTCTATAAAGAAGAAGCCCTTCAGCTCTTCTATAAAGAAGAAGCCCTTCAGCTCTTCTATAAAGAAGAAGCCCTTCAGCTCTTCTATAAAGAAGAAGCCCTTCAGCTCTTCTATAAAGAAGAAGCCCTTCAGCTCTTCTATAAAGAAGAAGCCCTTCAGCTCTTCTATAAAGAAGAAGCCCTTCAGCTCTTCTATAAAGAAGAAGCCCTTCAGCTCTTCTATAAAGAAGAAGCCCTTCAGCTCTTCTATAAAGAAGAAGCCCTTCAGCTCTTCTATAAAGAAGAAGCCCTTCAGCTCTTCTATAAAGAAGAAGCCCTTCAGCTCTTCTATAAAGAAGAAGCCCTTCAGCTCTTCTATAAAGAAGAAGCCCTTCAGCTCTTCTATAAAGAAGAAGCCCTTCAGCTCTTCTATAAAGAAGAAGCCCTTCAACTCTTCTATAAACAAGCCCTTCAGCTCTACTATAAAGAAGAAGCCCTTCAGCTCTTCTATAAAGAAGCCCTACAGCTCTTATATAAAGAAACCTTTCAGCTCTTCTATAAAGAAGCCCTTCAGCTCTTCTATAAAGAAGCCCTACAGCTCTTCTATAAAGAAGCCCTTCAGTTCTTCTAAAAAGCTTCTCTTCAGCTCATCATTAAAGACACCCTTCAGCTCGTTCATAAAGACTCCCTTCAGCTCGAAATGAAGATGTCCTTTATATCGTCTATGAATATGACTTTCACTTATTCTATGCATATGCCCCTAAGTCGTCTTTTTAGATACCCTCCAACAACAAAGGCTGTCATCAGCTTGTCAATGAAAAACTCCCTTCCCTTAATCTCCTCTTTGAAAGACTAGCATCAATTTGTGTTTGAAGAACCCCCTTCTGATAAAACACTCCTTACTGCTCGTCTATGAAAGACTCCCATAATTTCATCTTTACAGAAAGAGAAAGGATAATCCGATTTGCCTCAACATTGCGAATCCTAATATTTTCACCAGTGCTAGATCAGGTGCAAAAATGGACAATATCGGTCCACTCTATCAAGTACCTTCCCCACAAAGGGTCAAATTTTTCAATATCCAAGAAGCTTAAAAAACGTGAAATTTACCTCCAATTCCATTCAGACTTGGCACATCCGAATATTTCCATTAACACAAGATCTGTTGTAAAGATGGTAGAGATTGGAACATTCCTTCTGGTACCTCCCTCACAAAGGGTCGAAGTTCTGAATAACCAAAACAATCTTAGAATCAGAAATAAGCATTTGGTTCTCTTCAAATTACACCCATTACAAAATTTTTATTAACCCAATGTCTGGTATGAAGATGGGATATATCGGTCCACTCCTTGTGGTACCTTCCTCATAAAGGGTCAACATTACGAGTATGAAGCTCCTAAAACGCGAAATTAACATCCGATTCCATTTAGACTTGGTACGTCTCAATATTTCCATCAACACAAGATCTGCTATACAGATGGAAGAGGTCGGACCATTTCTCCTGGTACCTCCCCCATGGAGTTCAAGATTTTTGAAAAACAAAACGCTTAAAGAAAACGCAATAAGCATCCAACTCTTTAAATATTCGTTTCTAGTCAAAAAAAAAAATGTCTATTTCTCAAAATTCAAAACTAAATTAAAATATCTTATTGATTTTACATTAATACATCTTTTGTTTCTATAAAAAAAAATAATAATTTCTCTTTTGCAGTCGAACATGGGTAATTTCATGCAAACAGGCCGAGGAGGTTACGGTAATAGTGGTAGTGCCGCTGGTGGTCCTCTAAATAATTTCCATAATGTGTTTGGTGGCAGTGGGGACACGACAACGCCGGCCCTGCTGGATCCATCAGAATTTCCATCACTGACAAATGTCCGCGGCCAGAACGATCAATCACTGCCTCAGACGAATCCCCTCCAGCCGCCGGGAAGCAAACCTTATGGTAATTTCTTTACCTCTTGTGAGTTTTTCAATGAAATATTTATCCTCCGTTATTATTTATTATTATTGTTTATATATATTTAGTTTTAAACAAAACAAAAAACGAAACATACACTTCATACTTTCTCTTAGTATTTATCGTATAATTTTTCTCTCTTTGTGTGTGTGTGTTTGTATTCATTTTAGTGTTGTGTTTTTAATTCTAATTTTTCATAATATCATTTTTTTTATTGTTACTTTTTGTTAATTTTTTTTTTGTTAATAATGCCAAAAAATTATACGTTAGTTATTTTTTTGGTTGTTATTTTTCTGATATTTCAATAGTTGTTTTTTTTTTTTGAAATTTATATTAGGTTTGTTTCCTTTTCTGTGTGCTCTCTTTGAATCTGTGGTTTGGATTAAAAATGGAAAATAATATTCCATAATGGGGAAAATTGTGTTTAGGGCCTAAAATTTTGTTGGTATAAATCAAATTCTCTAAGAAAATGCCAAGATAGACCCACGTTTTTATTAAAATTGTGAAGAGAGTTAAAATACCTCAAAAATGTTGAAACTGATTGACAAAGATTACCATCATTTATTTGACAAGCAAAGACATCAATTCTCATGAAATTCAATCAACCATAAGAACGATGAACATGGGATAATCGACAATTATAAGTTCATTTATAAAGATGTCTTTATATGATCCGTAAGAACTCTCTTCAGCTCTTCTATAAAGAAGCCCTTCAGCTGTTCTAAAAAGCCTCTCTTCAGCTCTACTATAAAGAAACTCTTCAGCTCTCCCATAAAGAAGCGTTTTAGGTCTTCTATAAAGAAGCGCTTTAGCTCTTCTATAAAGAAGCCCTCCAGTCCTTCTATAAATAAGCAGCTGCAGACCTTCTATAAAGAAGCCCTTCAGCTCTTTTATAAAGAAGCCCTTTAGCTTTTCTTTAAAAAAGCCCTTCAGCTTTTCTATAAGGAAGCCCTTCAGCTCTTCTATAAATAAGCCCTTGAGCTTTTCTATAAAGCGCCTACCTTCAGCTCGTCATTAAGGACAGCCTTTATCTCGTCCCTAAAGACCCCTTGAGCTGGAAATGAAGATGCCCTTTAGCTTGAATATGGCTTTCAGTTGCTCTACGAATATGCGTTTTCTTCAAGTTCGTCTTTCGGATACTATCCAAAGACCCATTATTGTCCACTTAGACAATTAAGACCTACAATTTCAGGACAATTTCCTCATTTTTTTAAGTGACGGTGACTATATACGTCCATAGTCATGCAGCAAGAAAGCCCTAAACTCCTCTACCATTAAGTCTAAGGTTGTTTTGGACTGCAGGAGATCCTTGGACTGCAGAATTCGGCCAAACCACCCCTGTGCAACTTTCTACATTTAATTCATAGACACTACTTCGGGCAAATTCAACAAAAATGATTGGACGAAAGGGGATGCAACATCTCCAAAATAATCTGGAGATCCATTTCTTTCAACGTAAGATATTCTCGTTTTGGAAAGCATTTCAGGAGTCTTATAAATAGGCTTTTGGATTTCCACACCAAAGCTTCTCAACATACAAACAACATCGATGATATTGCTATGAGAGTGAGAGCAGGACACATTCCCAAATTTAAGTAAAATCTCTTCTTATGCATATGTGCTTATGTATTTATCTATTGCCGATCTTTTGGGAAAGTATATTCTTCAAATCACAGATTCATTGATGAGGCACACCGCCCAAAAAGGGTTTCATTTTTGAAAAGGGCCTTTAGGAAACATAATATAGCGCATGAATTTTCTTTGTCATTCGTATTTAATAAACATACATAGACATGATTAGATTTATACTCGTAAGTAATATTTCGAAATTTCGTTGCTAAAATTAGACTAAAATATTGAAGCTCCGTTAATATTTCATTCGTATTGGGTGTGGTGGTGGAGTTCAAAATCAAAGAGCCATTTTTTGTTATTCGAATTAAAAAGAACAATAAAACCCCCACCAAAAACTGACAAAAAGTCGTCCATCCCCAAGCTCTGACCATTAGAATATATACTTCACACAATACCACCTCCAGTCTGAAAAAAAGTAGAATATTTTTAAAAGCGTAATTTGAATTTGGGTCCACCACCACCATAGATAGATAAACAACTCCACTCCTCCAGTTCGAAAATTCAAACGTAATTCCTAAATCCTTTGTCCATAACACAGACAGTAGCTTAATAAACTATTTTGAATATTTGAATAGCAGCACACTAGATAGAATCGTCGACACTAGTCCATTTCTCTACATTTACTTCCTTCTTCTCCTTTTTGTTTTTTTTTTTTTTTGGCCTCTTTGTCTGTATTTAACTTACTTCTTTTACACTTCTAATGCTCTCCTAAAGTAAAGCAATTGTGATAAACAAAACATACAAACAACAACAACAACCACAACAACAATTCGTATGCTAAGAGTCTTTTTCTCTTTCTTTTTATTTCTCCACATTGTTTCGTTTCGTTTGGTTCGTAAACGTCTTGGAACGATCGATCGATCCGTCCGTGTAACTACCACCTACCAACACACAAAAAAATTCGACAAAACCAAAACAAAAACTCCTCCTCACACCCACCATGCCTTTTGCGCTGCTTACCGCCCACAGTTGGCATGGTGAAACAACCAACGTCAGAACAATCCGAGTTCACGATGTCCAATGAAGATTTCCCTGCGTTACCGGGCACACACAATTCCGATGGTACAACGAATGCGGGAGGTATTGGTGGTCTGACAGATAGTAATAATTTGGATGGCACGGACAAGACAATGAATTCGATTGTGTCCAATAGTGGGTTGGGCGCCGTGGGTAGCGGTGCGGTAGGCTCGGGCAGTGTCTCGACAGCAGGATCAGGAGCCGGCGGTAATAGTGCGGGTGGTTCAGGTGGAGCGGCGGGAGTTGTTGGTGGTAGCTCCGGCGGTGCGCCCGGCGGCAGCTCATCAGCAGCAGCGAGCAGTGTTGGTGGTGGCGGTGTTAGTGGAAGTGGTGGTGTGATTGGCAGTGGTATCGGTGGTATCGTTAATAGCTCTGGTGTGAGTAGTGTACAGCCCAGTGGTAGTAGTGGTGGTGGAGGAGGAGGCAGCAATACAACAGCTGGTCTTAGTGGTATGGGTAATAGTGGTAGCATTGAACAACAGCAACAACATCAGCAACAGCAGCAGCAACAACAACAGCAGCAACAACAGCAACAGCAGCAACAACAACAGCAGCAGCAACAGCATCCGAACGATAATTCCAGCGAAAATAAATTGGTGAAAACCGGCGTGCAAACATCTCCTGATGGTACGCTCCTTTTCCCACATATCTATATATATATTACCTACTCCTATTTTTATCACATTAAACAACAACAATAATGATAATAGTAATAACAACAACAACAACAACAACAACAATAATAGTCCTCTCCCATTAAAAATAATTGCATGAAACTCATTTGTTATTCTTTTTCGGAATTATTGATAAACTTCTTAAGTGTGTTCCTCCCATCATCCAGTTCGCTACAGCATTAATTTATAACATCCCGTTCTCTTTTTGTTTGTTTCCTCCCCCCCCCCCCCCCCCCCCCCCGTTCCATTACAGGCAAAGTCACAAATATACCAGCGAGTATGGTGAACAATCAATTCGGAATGGTTGGCCTACTGACGTTTATGCGTGCCGCAGAATCCGATCCAAATCTGGTGACATTAGCCTCAGGCATCGATTTGACAGGGCTAGGTTTAAATCTGAATTCCCAAGAAAGTTTGCATCCAACATTCGCTGGACCGTTTGCGGATCATCCCTGCAGGTGAGTTATGAAAAGATCAAACAGTTTTCGAAGATAATTTAATGAAAATCTTGTTATCGACAAGAATTTCTATAGAAAGTCTTGTTATCGACAATAAATTCTATAGAAAATATTTTTATCGAAAAGAATTTCTATAGGAAAGCTTGTTATCGACAAGAATTATCTTGTTATCCGCAAGAATTTCTATAGAAAATATTGTTATCGACAAGAATTTCTGTAGAAAACCTTGTTATCGACATGGATTTCCATAGAAAATCTGGTTATCGACATGGATTTCTATAGAAAATCTTGTTATCGATATGGATTTCTGTAGAAAATCTTGTTATCGACATGGATTTATAGAGAAAATCTTGTTATCTACATGGATTTCTATAGAAAATCTTGTTATCGACAAGAATTTCTATACAAAATCTTGTTATCGAAGAAATTTCTATAAAAAATCCTGTTATCGACATGGATTTCTATAGGAAATCTTGTTATCGACATGGATTTCTATAGAAAATCTTGTTATCGACAAGAATTTGTAAAGAAAATCTTGTTATCGACATGGATTTCCATAGAAAATCTGGTTATCGACATGGATTTCTATAGAAAATCTTGTTATCGATATGGATTTCTGTAGAAAATCTAGTTATCGAAATGGATTTATAGAGAAAATCTTGTTATCTACATGGATTTCTATAGAAAATCTTGTTATCGACAAGAATTTCAATACAAAATCTTGTTATCGAAGAAATTTCTATAGAAAATCCTGTTATCGACATGGATTTCTATAGGAAATCTTGTTATCGGCAAGAATTTCTATAGAAAATCTTATCGACAAGAATTTCTATAGAAAATCTTATCGACAAGAATTTCTATAGAAAATCTTATCGACAAGAATTTCTATATAGTTATCGACAAGTATTTCTATAGAAAATCTTGTTATCGACATGGATTTCTATAGAAAAATTTTTTATCTACATGAATTTCTATAGAAAACCTTGTTATTGACAAGAATTCCTGTAGAAAATCTTGTTATCGATATGGATTTCTACAGAAAATATTGTTATCGACATGGATTTTTGTAGAAAATCTTGTTATCGACATGAATTTCTAAAGAAAATCTTGTTATCGACATGGATTTCTATAGAAAATCCTGTTATCGACAAGACTTTCTATAGAAAATCTTGTTATCGGCATGAATTTCTATAGAAAATCTTGTTATCGACATGAATTGCTATAGAAAATCTTGTTATCGACATTAATTGCTATAGAAAATCTTGTTATCGACATTAATTTCTATAGAAAATCTTGTTATCGACAGGAATTTTTTAACAAAACTGTCGTATCAAACATGACCTATATAGAAAATGGTATTTATTATGGTTATCGATTAAAATTCCATACAAAATTTTGTTATCGATAACATTTTTCATGAAACAATTTATAATCGGTAAATAATTTCCATTGAGAATGTTGGCATCGGCTAGATTTTTTTCAACATATAAAGTTATCGATAACAATTTTTATAGAAAATATAGGTACCAATAAAAATTTTGTTGGGGTCATTTAAATGCCTGTAGAAATTCTTGTTATTGATTATAAATTTATCGCTCCTGTAGAATCTAGTTCTAATTCAGTTTTTCTTTATTTCTTCTATTTTGCAGAGCACAAGATGTTGAATATAATGTGCCACCCGAATATCTGATTAATTTTGCGATAAGAGATAAACTTTCCTCGCCACTGTTAAAGAAACTCCAAGAAGATCTGCTGTTTTTCCTCTTCTACACAAATATCGGCGATATTATGCAACTTATGGCTGCCGCAGAATTGTATGTCTAACAAAATGTTTAATATTTTCTGACCATTGTATTTATCTGTTAACATTTTTCTATTCCACAAAAAAAAAATGCTTGAATAATATATAGACATAGTCGTGAGTGGCGATATCACATAGAGGAGAAAATATGGATAACTCGAATTCCTGGCCTCAACCAATACGAGAAAAATGGTACAAAAGAACGTGGCACCTTTTACTACTTCGATGCGCAGAGTTGGAAACGTTTGTCCAAAGTTTTCCAAATCGATCCCGAGAAATTAGATAAATGCCCCAATTTAAGTGCGTTTATGAACATAAATGGACAGTCTGTATAATATTAATAAAAAACAAAAAAAATCTTAAAAACACGAAAAAAATCTTTACAAAGTTATTTAAAAAAAGAATTTTTCTTTTTTTTTAAATTAAGGTTACATAAAAAACACACACACAAAACAAAGCATGAACAAAAAATAAAACAAATCTTTAAAATATTGTTTAAAACATTTTCTGAAAACAAAAAAACACCGGGCTTTTTGGTTAGAGATAAATGTTAGGATCACCCAACCCCCATGTTATATTCTATTCTACCACATAAGGAAAACACTGGAAAATTGTTTAGATTTATTTTGAGTTTTAATTTTGAAAGATCACATTTATGGGCATAGAAAAATATGGTGATATTTTAAAAAACATATATTTTTAAAGGTTATGAAATTGCCAAGGCTTTTTTCGAAATTAAAGTAGTTTCATTTGGGACACCAAACTTAACACAACTACTCTAGGTTTAGCATCTGAGTGATTACTTTTTTGTATAGGGATTTCCATTTTCAAATTCAATTATTATTTCCTTAATGGGCCTAGCCCATGGGAACAAGATGTGCAAGGAATTCCCCATTATTTTTTTTGCAACAAGGTCTTTAGAAAAAAATGTCCACTGGGAGGGACATTTTTAGGTTAGTTTTGGATTGTCTTCAAAACACAGAAGTGTATTTTACATTTCCACCCAGCTCTCCATTCACTCCGTCGTCTTTGAATTTGGATTCTGTTCACGCTGCTCTCGCTGCTGTAAAAGATGGGCATAATATCCTTGCAAAAGTAAAAGATCAGCTGTTCTGCTTTCCATAAATTGTGGGAATTCCAATGACATGTATTGTTGCTGCAGTGCTGCGGCGCTCGCCACATCAAATCCAGAGCGACTGAACTGGGCCGGGGCAAAACTAGCCAGATCCATTTTAGGCAAACTGGGCAAACCACCTGTTACCTGTTTTGCTGTCACATTCTGACTGGGCTGAATGTTCAGATTTCTTGGTGGCATGGCACACGATAGGGAGGGTGGAATTTGCACGACTGGCTCTTTGGCGATTTCCGTCTTATCGGCCACCTTTTGCTGGGTAAGCTGTTGCAAACACAGCTTAACTGCCAGATCCAGAAAGTTACAGTTCTCGGGTATGTTTTTAACCTTATCCTCAATGTAGAATTTATAAACATCCACCAGGAGTTTGGTGAAGATGGACTCCTTTTGATTCATATATTTTATACATTTCTTGTGGATCTTGTAGATATCCACCTGCAGATTCAGAAGCACTTGATCTTTACGCTCTCGCCGATTTTCATCCAAAATATCCCGCAATATTTGTACACAATATGTGGTGCAGAGCAGACAGAGTTCCTTGCGATCGGCATCGGCTATATAACGTTTATCGGCATCCGGCGTTTTGTGCAGATTCAAGGCAATCTCCATTAACATTTTGTGATTTTTTGATTTGAGTAAAAGTAAAATCAGAATGCGAACACATTTCACCAAATGCGCCGAGAAACTGCCTGGCCGATCAATTTCCGATGAGGGTATGCGCCAAATGCCATTGAATAGATTTGTGTGTTTCTTTTCGTAGAACAAGCCATTGACCACATTGCCCAGACTGGTTTTATATTGACCCACCAACAGTTGTTCGGCCACTTCGAGGCTACAAAATTCCGAGGGGCCGTTCATGAAATGATTAACTAAACGATAAATGGATTTGTAGTGTTCCGGGAAACGGGTAATGCACTCTTCTATGTTCCGCACCACCATTTCGTAGATGTGTTTGATTTCATCAAAACGATAGGTGGTGTCATTCAGTTTCGTTGGATTTTTTCCATTAGTGTCTGGGCCGTCCGAATCACTGTCGCCGCCACTTGATGAATCTGAGGATATGGTGACCGTGGAAATGGAACTACTCCGGGACAAGCCTTGCAAAATGTGCTGGCTGAGATGGGGGCGGCTTTCAGGGAAATGAGCAGGGATGGCCGGCGGGCCCTCCTTCACCTGGCCAACTTGATTATCATTGCCCAGGGCCGCCGCCGCCTTTTCACTCACCTTCCCCTTGATAATGTTCAGAGAATTCCCATCAATTTTGGCTTTGTTCATGGCAAACGGACTGTTTGCCAATTTTTTCAGGACCTTTTTGAAAAGATCTCCATGATTCCGCGATATTACCTTTTGCCTGGCAATGTATTTTATGATCGAGGCATTAATGCGATAGAACACCTCCAAGGCCTCAACGGACAGACTGGTGGGATTGCTGTGATTCACCTTAATCGGATAGGTGGCATTACTTTCGTACAGATAATTGGCCGCCGAGAGATAGTTGTTGATATACACACTTGGATCTTCGTTGCGTTTTTCCGATATCTTGCCCAGCATGTATTGGCAAAGCCATTTTTCATCATTGCTGTCATGTTGATCCGAGGAATCCGCCCCCGAAGCTGTGGCCGCCGCCGCTGCTGCTGCCGCAACACTGGGGGAATTCTGTATGTTGTTGGTAATGGTGAAACAGTTATGGGCAATATTAAGTAACTTCAGTTTTCTTTCATTTAATTCCAAATTCTCCCCCGATTTCCCCCTTAAACAGCGGGAGAAAAACGATTGCAAGGTATAACAAAATGAACCATATTCAATCCACAACAGCGTCTGATATCTGTCCAGGGTAATGCAGCACTCAAAGCATCGTATTACCTGTTCACATTCCTTCCACAGAACCTCCATGGCGATTTGATCCAAACCATTTAGCTTTGTTTCAATTTGGCTGGCCTTAGATAAGGCCACACCGGCCCAGGAATCAAAACGTGAAGGATTTATGACCAAATCAAGGGTGTAGAATTTAATGGCCTTGGTAAAGTCGCGACTTTTGAAATAATAATCCGCCAGAAGATAATATAAATTACTTATTTTATAAGGGAACATGAATTCATCCATTTGGGCCGGATGTTCGCCCGACAGGCCCTCAATGTAATTCACCACCTTGTGAGTACTTTGTGTGGGATCTATTTCCTTGGGCACCAGCGAAACCACCTTGACCAGCATTTGTTCCATGTCCGAGGTAATCGATTCCAATTTATAGGAATTAAATTCCGGCAATTGTTCCGGTTTGTAAATATCAAATATTTGTATGGCTCTTGCCCAATTTAATTTGATTGGCAAGGCCTCGTGGTCTTCAAGATATTTTGATCTGGCCTTACGCTGGGGATACTGAAAGAGGCAATAGGTGACCTGTTCAATATATTCATACATAACATCGCGACAATTGTCATAGAGGGGTGCCTTGAAATTCGTAATGACCGCATCCAAAATGTATTGTAAAAATTCGCCATTATCATTGGAGCACCAGTGGCGGCGACCCAAATACTCATGGGCAGTGAAAAGGATTTGAAAGGAGGCCGGTACCAAATCATCTGTTTCATCCGTCGTATTACTGTCCTCTCGTATCTCTTCATCCCTCAATGCCAATTGATGCAATATCGACCACAATGGCTTGAAATCCAATTCGGCACCATGTTGATTGTTCTTTTCGAAATTGCCATCGAATTGATAGACCACCAGACGTATTAGATTCTGGACCATGCGACAAAGATTTTCATGGGGCAGGGACAAAACAATATCACGGCCCTCATTCAAAATCGCCGCCTCAATGTATGACGTTACATAGTTGATGAAATTCGATACCATCTTCTGCCGGCTATTCGATGATTTGCTCTCATCCAAATAATTTCCCACCGAATAGTGAAGGCATTTTTCACACCATGCCAGACAACTTTCAAATGAGCGTAATTTCCAAAGCGATTGTAGGAGAATTTCCAAAATTGTTTGCAAATCTTTGAGCCAGCAATCATTTTCCAGGTTATTCTTAGAGGCCCCCTCCACCTCTACATTTCTTGTGATAATCTCAACCAGCTGGGACCATTGCTGTCTCTCATACAACCCAGATAAACTGCAAATATCCATTTGACTTTTATACTGGGCCTTGATGTTGGCAATCATCTTCACATTTAGACAATATCCGCCGGAGTGGGGTAAATGCAAAACAAACTCTGGCTTGTATTGGGACAACATCAATTCCATTTCATCCAAACATGTCAAACATCTATTGTATTCATTCTTTGAGGCATAGACCAAATATCGTATAAAATTTAAACGAATTTGAAAAAACTCCGTTTCACTCGAAAGGACTTCGCCATTGCTACTACCCACAAAATTTCCAATATTAAAACATAAATGATGGAAGATATTTTTCCAGGATTCAAGAGAAAATACTTCCTCACTTGCAGTGATTTCCAAAAATAACAAACAAATGCGATAGGATGTTATAAAATCATCTGGAGGCAAATGATGCCACGACCCAAAGTCGTAATACAACTCATACAGCCGGAAGATCTCAATGTACAAATGTCGAATGTGTTGCGGCAGGGGGACGTTCCAAAATTTTGAAATCGACTTCAACCACTGGAATATCAGCATCACCAAATCCGTTTTTCCCGATTTCAGTGTCACCACAAACTCCTCAAATTCCGAACGTGTATTTGTATCAAATTCTTCTTCTACGGACGAAGAATTCATGCAATTCGAACATTGATTATCAATCCGGTTTTCGCTGTTGTTCTCTTCGGTAATGTTATCATTAAATGGCCAGGAAGTAGCGGGTATCTCTTGCATATACTTTGAAAATGTTCGGCGGAAATACGAATTTAAACTGTCATCTACTACCTCCTTATCAGCCTTCTTGCGCGAGGAATATCGACGATTTTTGTGCCAACCCCACTGCTCCAGGAAATGTAGATCACTGCAACGTCTTCTGGCCTTATTTTTAGTTGTTTCACCACTTTCCGTTCTTATATTCGAATCTGAATCATCATTGTTCGAATCCATTGGCTGGACTTCTGAACATTCACCCGAAGCTTTATTCACATCAACACCCACAGGGGTAGCAACAGAATTTGCCGTCATTTCTTGGTCATCATTGTTAATACCATTTTCCTGGTTGACAATATCTGTCGTACAACTGGATTTACTATCAGAGCATTCTCCCTTTATTACATCCTTAAAATCGAATTGGAAATACAAACTAATACCGTTCGACTGCAAATGTTCCCGTAGACTCAATATAAATTGTGCAACTGAACGCCAATTTAGATTTTCAATGAGTAAATTTTGGAAATCCATATCGGGTTCTGCGACTTCAACGACAACATCCGACGACTTCTTTACATATTTTAAGACTCTTTTTAGCTCCTGATTTTCGTGTTGCTTGTCACATATCTCAGGAATGCCACGACTTGATAACTGCAATACCGGATAGTTTGATTTAAACCATGTTATGATGTCCAACACCATTTCGTAGGCCTCTTTATGTTTTGGGTCCATGCTACACAACTCCATGGCATGATTGTACAGACTCATTAAATTACAATTGTAATTCAAAGACATCAGAAGACCATCAGCTGCCTTCCAGTGCAAGGCATTGCTAGCCAGACACCTCTCGAAAGCATATTGCGCCAGATCCATTGAATTCAACTTGAGTGCCAACTGGGCGAACTTGTGCAGCGTATAAATGTCTGTGCTGTCTATTAGTATAGCCGATATATAGTGATGAAGAGCCATTTCATACTCTTTCTTATCCTCTAGAATCAGGCCAATATTTTTATGACAATTATATTTAATGAAGACCATTTTATTGTTGTTTTGCTGTTCGGCTATAACCTGGGTCTCCAGTAGCTCGATGAGCAAGGACAATGCCGCTTCCGGATTTCCTTCCGCTTTAAGTTTAATTGCTCGCACATATTCGCTTTCGGCAATGGCTTCCTGCGCCTCTTTGGTGGCAACGAATTCTTCTTGCTCTGTATCTCCCACTTCTTGGTCATCGTTCAATGCAACAATTTTAATCATTTTCGGAAATTGTTCTTATTTTCGTTCCTTAAGAAATAATTACATGTTCGCTGCAAATTGTTTACATTTTTTTGCAATACGGAGTAAATTTGCTGTGCTTAGCCGGGTGAAATAAAATAATAAATGAAGAGGAAGAAGAAGTAGATATCAATTCAGTGTACTTAACCAATTCAGTGTACTTAATGAGGGAAGAAGAAGCATGTATCAATTCACTGTGATCAAAGATGAGAATAACAGACAAAGGAATGTTTTAAGATAAAATTTTTAGTTTATTGATAATGGGGGAGGAAAGAGGCACTTTATTCCTGGTATCACAAAAAAATTTATAAAATATTTCAATATCTGAAATAAGGTTCGTTAGGATCATTCCACTGTGGAAAACAATATGAGAGAAGAAGAAGAAGAAGTATTAATTAAATGTGCTTAACCGCGAATCATAATGGTGGAAGAAATTTTAATTTTATGACAGATAGTTAAATATTTCGAAATAAATTTTTGAGTTTGACGGGAGGGAAAAGCTATTTTTTGCAAAAAATTAAATTGACTTCTACATATTTCCTTATATGCTGCCATTTAGAGGTTATTAAGAAACGTGACTTTTTTACCAATTTAACATATTTAAATGGTTTTCCATTCAGATATGTTTTACAGTTCATTGTACCAAAAGATGTGTTGGTGAGGATACCTGTATTATTTATTAAGTTATGTTAACCATTCACTGTACATAGCAATTCAAGTAGTCGATTACTCGACAAACGTCGACTATTTGTTTAAGTCGAGTTGTCTGCGTCTGCGTCAAATTAACATTTTTAAATTATTATTTAAAAAACTATTAACTGATCATCTTGCTGGCAAGAGACATGAATACGCCCGGTATTAGTTTATTTACGGGGGCAGAAAGTCTTAAAATAAACAGCAGCCTGGAAAGGCAGGAGGAAGAGGAGGAGTTGAAAGATCAAAGGCGATTGCAAGCAGAGGTATTTGTGTTTTTTTTCAGTAGAATTCCTTTAATGAAATCTTTTTTACAATAACAATTATTTATTTATAGCTTGGTGATTTGTTACAAAATGGCTTTGATGATTTGGAAGACGATGAGGGAACCATTGATTCCACAACAAATTTTCAAAGTGACCTGGCACCAGATGATATCCATGCCCAACATGAAGCCTTACCTTCCCATCCATACGGGAATAATATTTTCAATAGACAACAACAGATACCTAACCCACCCGCTGATCATGCTACATGTGAAGCTGAAATCCATAATCTTAAAATGGCTTTGGAGTCTCGTTCACGGGAATTGGAACACTCACAGAATCTCTTAAAGGAAGAATACAAGGCGCGCAATGAATTGGAGAAAAAATTATCGATAACAGAGGCAGAATTAGATCGAGCCTTGTCGAATCGTAACAGTACCCATGAGTTATTGGTGGAGGCCAAAGAAAAATGTTCAAACTTGGAGAATATGATAGACAAACTAAAGACTGAGAAGAAACAAATTGAGGCGGAAAATAATACGCTAATAGGAAAACTGGATACAGCACAAATGCTATTGGCCGATGTCCAGAGGAAATACGATATGGTTGAGCGTGACTTGAACAAGAATAGTGAACGTAATTTTGAGATGAAACGCAAACATATGGAGGAAATGCATCGAGCCGAAATGGAGATACTGCAACAACAAATACAGCAAACTGCCAACAAACTAGATAAGAAATGTTCGGAATTGGAAGTTATGAATACACGTTATCAGACCCTGCAACAAAATCATGAAATGATGCTCTGTGATAAGGCCAGCAAAATCAATGATTTGAGTCATGCTTTGGATCAGGCTCAGAAACGTTGCGAGGAGTTAATGTCACGTCCCGATTATTTCCAAGAAAATGTAAGGCTACAGAAACTGGTAGCCAGCCTGCAGGAACAAATAAAGGGCATGGAGAGAAATATTGCCTCCCTGACTGAACGTTTGGAAATGACCACTGCCGAATTAGATGTTATGGACAGTGTTCTGCATCAGCACAATCTGGAAGATACACCAAGACGTTTGAGCCAAACCCATGGACGGGTTGTGGGCAGTACACCGCTTAATCCCATCGACCGGGTGGGTAATCTCAAGGATGAATTGTATCGAGCCTTGGCCAATGTCAAAGCCAAAAGGGAGGAGGTCAAGAGGCTGCAACAATCTGTCGAGGAAAAACAAAACGAGATACGTGCCCTCAAACAAGAGGAAAATAAATGCTTGGTACAAATAACCACTCTAAAAGAAGAGAATATACGTTTGGAAAATAAACTCAAGCTGCTGGAAGAAGAATATGAACACCTTAAATCCAACAAGGATCCCAGTGATGAGAGTACTCAACAAGATAACCAATTGCAGAGCTTGAAACAAGAACTAGAAGAGCTGCACAGCCAACACAAAGAAATCAAAATGCAATGCAGTACCTTGGAGCGAGAGAAGCAATACCAAGAAGCAGAACGTAAAAAATTGGATTTTCAAATTAAAAATCTTGAAATCGATTTGGAGGAGTTGAAACAAGAACATGAAAGTTTGAAAATGAACCACGAACAGGTGTGCAAAGAAAATGCAGAGTTGAAGCAAAGGCATACAGCGGATAATGTACGCCTGGAATTGGAGAAACATAAATTCCTGCTCAAAGATGCCCAGACAGAATGTGATCGTTTGAAAAATCTCTATGTGGAAATCTCCAATGCCAAGGAGGCTCTGGCCTATGAAATGGACAAGCTGTTAAAATCCGATCAAGCCAAAGAGCTGCAAATGGCTAAAGAGAAAATTGCCCATTTGCAGAGGTCATTGCAATTGGCCGAGGTGAAGACATCGGAATTGTCGAAAATGTTGGAAACCGAAAAGCTGTGTCATGAACGCGAGGTGGCCGGTTTGCGGGAAAAGTTGGAAAAGGAAAGGCTGGAGACGACCAAAGCCAACAAGGATGCAGCCAATGAGTGTGCCAAATGCATGGATTATGTGGCGGAATTGACGAAGGTAGGATGGGGGTTTTGTTTAATGATGAGTTCAATAAATTGATTGTTTTTTCAATGTCTTGCAGTTTGAAATCCAAAATCTAAAGCTCACCAATATCAATGCGGTTTGCAAAAAGGAAATCGATGAATTGAAGGCGGAACTTAGGACATCCAATGATCACATTTCGGAGCTCAATGATCAATTGAAATTGTCCGGGCAGCAGGAGCAACTGATCAAAGAACTCAAAACCAAGGCTGCCCAGTTTGAGGAATACATTAAGTCGCAAAGTACAACGGCGGACAACTCCCACAGTTCATCGGTGCGCAGCAATTCCAAGCAAATGAGTGACAAAAGTGTGGTCACCTCACCCGAATTGGATAGAAATGAAACGAAAAAGATTGAGGCGCGCATACGCGATGAAATGGCGAAAATATTTGCTGTGGAATTGAAAAAATTCCAATTGAAGATACACCAAACCCAGGAACAAAGCCTTTGCTTGCAACGTGAGTATCAACATGTTACTGCCGAACTGCAGCAACGACAAAATGAAGTGGATCAGCTAAAGGCCGCCATTCTGCTGGATCGTGAAAAGATGGAAGAAATTCTCAAACAAAAAGACGATGAAAATCATGAAATTTTACAAAAAATGAATTTAGTTCTACAAAAGACCCGCGAAGAAATGCAAACAAAATCACAGAAAATCAAAGATCTAACAAATGAACTGAATGAAAGGCAGCAACAAATTGAGGCCGAACGGCAGTCCATGAAGGCTGTGATGAAACAATGGGAGGAGCAAAGGAAATCTTTGGATACCGTGGAAATGGAATGGAAACAGAAATTCGTGGATCTGCAAAAAGCCCATGAAGTGGCCATTAACTCTTGGCAAACTAAATACAATTCGGCCAAGAGAACGGCAGCTAATTATAAGGTAGGATGAATTTAAATCATTTTCATTATACCCTACACCACAAAGTGGTCAGGCTATTATGTCTTTGTGCATTTGTTTGTAACAGGCAAAAAGAAACGAGATAGACCCATAGTTCCTTTTGATGATCTGCATAGAATCACATTCTGAGTCGATTTATGCATGTCCGTCTGTCCATGTATTTTTTTAAACAAAGTACAGATCGCATTAATCGCCCTATCCAGATGATCAGATCATTTGTTTGGCCCAAGGACGAACCCTATTGAAATTGGGGATAATCGGTAAAGAATTAGATATAGCTCCCACATATATCTTCATCCCATTTGCCTTTTATTGTGCACCAAACGTGTAATATCAGCCCGAATAGTATGGAATTTTGCACATAAACCCAAATTAGGCCTGAAAATAAGTATGCCAAATTTGATCGAAATCGGTTCAGAAATAGCTATAGCTCCCATATATATTGTTCATCCGATTTGTTATTTTTGTCCTCTGCTGCCGTAATATGCACTCTGTAACAACAATATTTGGGGAAATATAGCAAATACAGCTCAGAAATACATTTTCTAAATTTTATCGAGATAGGTTCAGATTTGGATATAGCTCCCATATATAACTTCGTCCGATTTACCTTTTATTGTGCACCAAAGGTCTAATATTTGTCCAAATGGGATGGAATTTGGCACATACGACCGAATTGAATCTAGAAGCTAGTAAGTCAAATTTTGTGAAGATCGGTTCAGATATAGCTATAGCTCCCATATATATTGTTCATCCGATTTGTTATGTTTATTACCCACAGCCGTAATATGCACTTCGTAACAAAGATATTCATGGAAATATATCAAGTATAGCTCAGAAATATCTTTACCAAATTTTATCGAGATCGGTTCAGATTTGGATATAGCTCCCATATATATCTTTATCCGATTTCAAATTAATTGTGCAACAAATGGTCAATACAAGACCGAATTTAAAAGCATGTTTAAACTTTAAATTATAATTATAATCATAGCGTGTATGTTTGAATTCTCCCAAAAAAAACTTTTAATTGTTATGTAAAGCACTACTAAATTAGCAAAGTGGTGTAGGGTATCATAAAGTCGTCCCCGCCCGACTTTAAGACTTTCTTTACTTGTTTTTATTTTACTTTATTACAAATTTATTTTTTGTATTTCCAGCGCTATTCCGAGGACAAAGAAGCCCATATGCTCAAAGAATATGATCGTTTAAAATTTGAATATGAAACCTCGTTGGCCAAAATAGAAAGTCGTTTAAAAGAAACCTATGACAAGAAGAGTAAAGAGGTAATGAAAATATCAATATCAATAACGAAATAATGTTAAACTCCCTTTTTCCCTTTTTTATTTTAGCTCATGAATGCCCTAAGTGATAAGAATGCCAATAGCAAAAATAGCAACAAGGAAAACACGGCAAGCAATTGTTAGCTTTAAGTAAAAGAAATAAGCAAAGATAGTAACCGAAGGGGATATATGCTTTGTCGACCATTTATCTCCTTTTTGCCTTAAGCACACATACATATATAAATATTTAAAATTATGTTCTTCCTAGATAAATTGTATGTAAATTTGTTTGTTTTTTTTCCTTAAGCACTGGTTTGCTTTCATTCATGTTCTTTTTTATCTTTTATTCTTAATTGTTATGTATTTTATGACTGACCTGACATATTATTATATTCTTTAAACCACATAGTCTGTATGCATGCCAATGTAAATTTTGGAAATTCCACATTCCATTACTATTTTGTTTACTAACTTGTATTTGTTTTAGAGTATTAGAAAATAAAGATAATCTATTAAAAATGTATTATGAAGAGATTAATAAAAATAAATACTATTTTTTTAAATTGTTGTTTTTTTTTTTGTTTTTGTGGAAAAATGAAACGGACAAAAGCCAAAGCTAAATCAAATGTTTTTAATTTCTCACGTGCTTTATTCTAAGCAGGTCTTTTAGATGCTATAGGGCAAAATAAGGCAGGCCATTTACTGGGTGAGATGAAAAAGCTGCAACCAACTTCAGACTGCTGTCGTTTCTAAGCCACTCGTCCGACAGATGTTAAAATTATTCCAGTGACAGCTCATTATATTGTTTACAAGCGCACAAATGTATTTTGGTGAGAATTTTCCAGAAAAAAAAGGTGGAATTCAAGCGTGATAATGTGATTTCTTTATATTTGGCCGAAAAGTGAAACAAGTAGCTATCGTTCTCCAGCATTTAAATGTGAATAAATCTTTTGTGTCTCGTAGCATCGCTCGTTACCGTGATACTGATAGCGTAGCTCGACGTCAAGGAAGCGGACGGAAGAAAACAGCAACATCAGACGAAATGGTTCGAAAAGTAAAGAAGCGACTTGATCGAAACTGGCGTCGCAGTGGCCGAAAAGTGACTCGTAAGCTGACCATATCGCAATATTCTATTCGGCAAATATTGAAAAATGAGGTCGGGGTAAAGCCATTGAAATTCCGAAAAGTGCAAGAACTTACAACGCAACAGAAAGAAAATAGACTCAGAAGAGCAAAAGAGTTGCTTCGCTTGGCCAAAAGTGGTAAAATGCCGAATTTGGTTTTCTCCGATGAGAAAACATTCATTGTCCAGCAGTTTGTAAACAAACAAAATGATCGTGTTTACTTGCCAAAGAGGTCAGCTGAAAATGTGCACTTTGGGTTGACCACCAGAACTCAAGCGCAGGCCATGGGCCGCCATAACAGCCGATGGTCGCTCTCTGCTCGTATAAATCGACCGTGGCATCAGAATAATTTCCGAATATTATCGCGCAAATATTCTGGATGGTGTGTATTAAAGCCTTGGGCAGACAAACATTTTGCCGCAGACATTCCAACAGGACTCAGCACCATCGCACTCAGAACGCGCCACCCAAGAATGGTTACAAAATGAGGTTCCTCGCTTCATTTCCCGCGCATAATGGCCACCAAAATCTTCGGATACCAATCCGTTGGACTATTGTGTCTTGGAAAGCATTCTTAACTGTATAGGTTGGCACTAAAAAATACCAAAGTGTCGATCATCTCAAGCTAGCGCTTCGCCGGGAATGGGACAAAATACCGCAGAGCAACATTCAGGCAGCGTGTGACGGTTTCATTGGCCGTTTGAAGGCCATAATTTGTGCCAAATGTGACCAATTCGAACAAATCTAAACTTATTCTGAAATTTCATTCTATTTCCGACATTTTTTGCATTCATTAAAAAAAAGATTAAAAAAAAGATGTAAAAATTATGGCGTTGTACGTGATGTTTACCAGAGTTAAAACTATTCCAAATGTTGACCCTTTGTGGGGGAGGTACTTGATAGAGTGGACCGAATTGTCAATTTTCGCACCTATCCTAGCACTGATAAAAATATTAGGATTCCCAAAGTTGGAGCAAAATTGGCTTATCATTTCTCTTTCCGTGCAGTAAATTATTTTCTTTGAAAATGTTGACATTTTGTGTGGAAGGTACCAGAAGAAGTGGACCGATTTCGATCCAAGTTTGACAATAATATTACGATGTAGCGAGTTTGTATCGAATCGGATGGACTCCAAATGTACTGAAACGGATTTGATACAAAGAGACCTAGGTCCCAAAACCGTTATTCCGGTGAGCCACGTTTTGGCCGTATCAAATATTATAATCCCCTTTCTAGCCATATGGCTGTGGGTATAAAAAAAGTGGATTTTAAGGGATTTAGAAAACCCAGTCGGTTTAAATTGTCAATTCCATTGCCTATACCTCAAATAAATCATCATAAAGAAGGTTAACCCCGGAAAAAGCCCCAACGTAAACATGCCTTTAGTCTGTGGGGTATTTTGCGATGCGATGTGTTTTCTTACTTTTAACTCTACTGTCATAATCTGCTGGATTTTTTCTGTTAATTTTTTTTTTTTTTTTTTTGGTGTTGCCCAGTGATATCATGGACTATTCTTTAGAAAAATACCCTTTCCGAATTAATACAACATTTTACATTCATACGCTTTTTTTAATTAGTTATCTTTTATTATTCATCATTTTATATCGTTTAGGGAATAATAATATGTTATTTTAATTGTATTGTTTTTTATTTTATTTTATTTAGTAATAGTTAAATCACAATCTGAATCTAAAAATTATAAAATTAATATACAATTGTTTTTCAGTTCGTCAATATGTGTGTTATACCATGTATATATGTGTGTATATATATGTATGTATATATAGATATTATGCAGAGTTATATTAAAAAAAGAGGGATGCAAATTAAGGACTTTTTTAAAGACTCGCTTTAATGACTATATATTTGCATGTATGTATGTAGACTGATCAAATGAGATTTATTTGAAATTAGGATATATGCGCTCTAATGAAAGCTATTCACACTATAAATCTTAACTATATAGGTTATGATAAAATTAAGAAGGTAAAGTCATTTCAAAATTAATAAGATAAAGTCGTTTCATATCCATCTCAGCATTATCTACAATTCACTTTGCCAAATTTCAGGTTCCCATCTCTGATTTGTGTATATTCAATGGAGTTTAAAATATAAATTTTCACAGTGAGATGTTGCCAAATGAATAACTTTAAAACAAGTAAAAAAATATGAAGTTCGGCCGGGCCGAACATTTAATACCCTCCACCTCCATACCAAAACGGGAACCTCCATAGACAATTTTATACTTCAAGGATTGTCATCTACCAAATCTTCTTAAATACCCAATTTGAAACAATTTCGTGGGTAAATGTGACTAGGATTATTAAAATACCTAATAACGCTGGGTATCGTCATATGTGCGCTGTAGGAAAACGTAGACCTAAATATTCAATGTTCCGCCACCGGAGCTAGAACCCATTGCGAACTACAATTATCATTTTTTATACAAATTCGTGAAAAAAATGTAGCGAAAATCATCAAAATACCGAATATTGGGTGGTATCGTTAGACCTATACATACAATGTTTCGCCACCGGAGTTAGAACACATTGCGAACTACAAATACCAATTTTTAGACAAATCCGTGAAAAAATGTAGCGGAAATCATCAAAATACCCAATATCGGGAGGTACCGTTATATGGCGGCTATATCAAAATGTGGACCGATATATCTCATTTTCAATATCAATAATGTGGGCTGTATCGTGATTTCGACAAACAGACAGACGGACATCGTTACATCGACTTATGAATATATATACTTTATGGGGTCTACGACGAATATTTAGGGACAAACGGAATGACAAAGTTGATATGCTCAAGGTGGAGGGAACGAAAATTGACTTTATCCTGGCGAAAAACAAGGTGTTCCTGCAAATTTATAAAAAAAACGGATTTAATGCCAAAATTGGTTTACACTTCGATGGCTATTGGTTTCTCTCTTATGCTGTGATCTCAATCCATTTTGACATTAAATTTGGTAGTCAGCTGGCTTGGAAGGGGGACCTTATACTTGGGCCCTGAACTTTACCTTCTTAATTCTACCAGTTTTTTTTTTTGTTTTTCAAAATCAATATGTATTCATGGATGGGTAAACCTCATATTACAATGACATCAAAATAGGGCTCATTTCACAAACTTATCCTACCTTGCATTCATTGTACCATGGGTAAAACTAACCTAAGCTGATATTCCTAACAGGATAATATTTTGTTGTCTCAATTAATTTATCTATAATAATTATATATTTTTATACTAACTACAATGGAAATCTAATGATATATTTGAAATATAAAATTAAATATGAGTTTCGAAATGGATTGCAAAATTTTCAAAATTACAATATTTAAAGAAGATTAAAATCAAAAATTTTAGATAATACAATGGAAAGCAGCAAATTAAGCCCGTGAGTGGTACAAAAAGAGCACATCGTTAAGTACTCAAAACGAAATATTTGTAAATATTTTTTGTAAATATCAAAAAATCTTTTTTTAGAAACACATTATCAGGATGAAATAGTACTCTTTAGAATGCCTTTAGAAAGATGTCCGTCTAGTCTCATATTGTTGTTAGTCCTTCCAATAATATCCCGTAAAAAAATTAAAATATTCGAAGGTCAGGTGGTTAAGTTATATGGGGTTCGCGGAAACACAGCTGCTACCGGACGTGTCCACGGGCTGCATATAGTGGAACGCCCGATAATATCTATCGAATTAAAAAAGCCGTCGCGGACAGCTAAGCTGTTTTCGGAAGGAGAGTCTCGGATTAAATACCCAAATGTCCGTGATCACTGGACTCGACGAGGCGATGCTGCTGGCGCCCCTAACTATCCAGTCGACGGACTGGTCCACCGAAATGGAGAGAACCGCTAGATCAAGAAGCCTATGTCTGAGTGGCATTCATATCGATGCAGTCGCGAATGCTATCAACAGATATAAAATGAATGCCGTCCTCGGAGTCCACCCCCATCCATTACAGCTAAAGAACGCCAGCTGCCTGGACAACCCAGGAAAGTTTTGGCGCAATTACGTTCAGGATGGTGTAGTCGTCTCAATTCGTATTGGGCACGAATTGATGAAGATGTGCGTGACGCCTGCCCGACGTGTGATACAGACCCGCACAATAGTCTGCACCTCTTTAATTGCACAGCCAAACCTACCCAACTCACTCCAGAAGATCTCTGGCTACAGCCCATTAAAGTAGCCGAATTTCTAAACCTGGAGTTGGATCCCGATTAGCAGAACAACAACAATCGCAATGGAGAGGTTCCTCGACCGCGAACCCTTATAAATTACGGAGAGGGAAAAACCCTAATCAAGGCGAGCATTAAGGCAGTACGGAAGTTCGAAAAGAATCATCCGTTACTGCCAAAACGCTCCCTTGAAAAGAAGCTTTCCTCCCTCCTAACCGACCTCGTCAAGAAGGCGTGTCCAGTTGGGGACAAACTTTCGGAGGAGTGTAAAGCGGAAAGCTGAAGCACTATCGACGGAATTCAAAGCTGCTTTTGCCGATACAAAGACAAAAAAATGCGGAGACCAAAGAAGGTGGAACCTGAAAGAATCGATTCCTCGGTGGAACCGAAGGAGAATAAACCCTCATCTCGTCCAGCTAAGAAACCATCAACAGGAAACCCCTCTCCTCCACCAGCTGCGCTATCTACCCCCATCATCGGCAAGAAGGTAGTGGGTGGTATGACTCAATCAGGTTCTGTAGACCCTAAGTCTACTAAAGCCAAAACTGAATCTACCAAACCCCCAACCTTCGAACCAGAGTAGCAGAAAAAGGAAATTTTCCCAAACTCTCTACCCGGACAGCTTCCGTGTAGCAATCATTGACCGAGCTGAGCCGGAAGGCAAAATCAAAAGTTCTACTGATCTAAATTACATCAGCCTAAAATATGAGTGATTTCCACAGTTGGGCAGACAGGCAGGCTAGATTTTCTGAAATGTATATTTCGAAGTATTACAATTGGAATGACAAACTAATATACACTCCATACTACGGTGGCGTTTTATAGTCTTGCAGCTCTTCTAGGAGCCATTTCTAAAGGAAGCTCTACAAAAAATGTTCCACTTCAGTGAGAATCTCGCAACATGGAATGTTCGTAAGTTGACAGCTTCTGTTGGTATGTTACTCTAAATCTCACCCATTTATGCAAGGCTGACTGAATATCACTGCGATCCAAGTAAGGCAAAACAAGCGGTGAAGTAGCAGCATGACAAGGGGAAATCCAAGAAATTCTTCAACACATAAAAAGAACCCATTTGTTAATTCAATGGAGGAGACACAACCCTCCCCAAAGAGACAGTTAAGCATCAAAGTGTCTTTTTTAAAACGAGACCCATTTGTTAAGAAGATCCGATCTTCTGCTGGCATGTTATTTTAAATCTCCTTCAATTTTGCAAAATTGACCCAATAGCACAACAATCGGCGATGGAGCAGTTTTACAAGAGGAAATTCCACATTCCTTGAGGGGCCTTTTTAAGGCAGAACTAATTTGTTAAGAATATTCCAAGACACAACCGGTCCCAAGAGAAGCAATGTGGCATTGAAAAAGCAATGGGGCATTAAAGAAACAATGAAGCATCAAAGGAGCCTTTTTAAAATAGGCCCCTTTTTCACCCACACAATCTAGGTGGAAGCAAAAAAACTAAGTCCTGCACCTCGTAAAGAATTATCGTCGCCGCTGCTTTTACACCTGTGGAGCTCATACAGAAGCACCCCTATTTATACTAAAAAACGGATGATTAATTTAATTTCTTTTTTCTCCCAAGAGAAGCAATGTGGCATTGAAAAAGCAATGGGGCATTAAAGAAACAATGAAGCATCAAAGGAGCCTTTTTAAAACAGGTCCTTTTTAACCCACACAATCTAGGTGGAAGCAAAAAACTAAGTCCTGCACCTCGTAAAGAATTATCGTCGCCGCCGCTTTTACACCTGTGGAGGTCATACAGAAGCCCCCCTATTTATACTTAGAAACGGATGATTAATTAAATTTCTTTTTTCGCCTCGGAGGCGGAAAGTTGAGGTGGGACCCTTATTATAGAGAGGAAATTTTTCAAATAATTTCAGAGAAATGGGACTTAATTTTTTCTTGTAATCCAGGATTTGATTTTTGTATAAATAATTTGAACTAAATTTAGTGTTTAATAATAATGTAAATATAATAGATTTTTAATGTATCAGTGGGCTAATTTCATTCTATATTTACTTTGAATAACAAAAAATTACAAATTTTATTAGAATTTTTGTTTCTCCTTTACATTTCCAACATCCATTCCATCAAACGAACAGGTTCTTAAAAATTAAAAAAAGAAAATACTTTATCCAAAAAGAAAAAAAATATTACAAATTTTGTTTAGAAAATATCAACAACACACATCTTAAAAATACAACTTAATATATGTTTCTTAATTTTCTTGTTTTTTTATTACAATTAATAATTAATTATAAATTTTGTGTAAATATTAAACAAAAAAGAAAGCTAAAATGGAATTAACAAAAAGTAAATGTATGTATTTTTTATATAGAGATTATAATTTAAATAAGAGTATATATGTATGTGTTTATGTTATATGCATTTATGTTTATATTTTATATATGTAGGTAGGTAGGTATGTGCACAATAAATTCTTAACAATATTTTTCATTTTCGATATATGTATGTATTATATATTTTGATGATGATAAGGAACCCAAAAAGGAAATAAACAAAAAAAGTAAGATAACGTCTTATAAGGTACAACAAAGGATAATGCCAATTGGGGGTTTTGCAGGTGTTGTGGGTAGGCGCCGAAAAGAAATGATTTTGAAAATAACCAAAACAAAAAAGTTGTGATATTGAAGTATTGTAAAGATGTGTGTGATTCGGAACAGAAATGTTAGCACCAAGAGAAGAAGGGACTTTTATTTTGGAAGCGCTGTGTAAAGGAGAAAAAGCCACGTGATGCCCGCGATCTGCAATGGAAAGAGAAAAAGAATATGTTTTTGAAAATTATTTAACAAAATATTCAACAACAAAATTATTCATAATAGGATTTGGAATCTCTTTCTGGCAAACAAGCAATGAATGAATTTGTCTCAAAACTTTCATTAATTGTTGGCCTAGTATTAGTCTATTTTTTCGACAGATGTATACCCCCAGCCTTGAGTTATGATTATTCAAACTGTTGACCCATTGGCCAAAGCAGTTGGCCAGTGCTGACCAATTCTTATCTAACCTAAGACTGATATAAATATAACGACGTTCCAGATTTGGACTATATCGACTACTCCCTACTCATAAGCTTCATGGTTACTCGAAATTTTGACCCACTGTGGGAGAGGTACCAGAAGGGGTGGACCGATATATCCTATCTTCACAGCAGATCTTGTGTTAGCAGAAATAATAGGATGTGTGTAATTTGAAGAGAACCGGATACTTATTTCATATTTCAGATTTCATGTTCGTTTTTTTATTTAAAACTTTGACCAATTGTGGCGGAGGTACCGGAAGGAATGGTCAGATCTCTACATTATTTTTAACAGATCTTGTTTTGATGGAAACATTGAGATGTGCCAAGAATGAATGGAATCGAATGTCAATTTCTCGTATTATGAGCTTCATGGATATTCAAAATTTTGACCCACTGTGGGGGAGGTACCAGAAGGGGTGGACCGATATATCCTATCTTCACAGCAGATCTTGTGTTAGCAGAAATAATAGGATGTGTGTAATTTGAAGAGAACCGGATGATTATTTCTTATTTTATGATCGTTTTGGTTAATCAACACTTTGAGTCCTTGTTGGGAAGGTACCGGAAGGAATGGTCCGATCTCTACCATAAACGCGAAGTAAATTTCGCGTTTTATAAGTTTCATGGATATTCAAAATTTTTATCCTTTGTGGGGGAGGTACAAGAAGGAGTGGACCTATATATCCCATCTTCACACGAGACCTTGGGCTAATAAAAATATTGTGATGTTTAAAATATGAAGAGAACCGGACGCTTATTTTGGATTGATCGTTTTTGTTATTCAAAACTTTGACCCTTTATGGGGGGAGGTACCCGAAGGAGTAGACCAATATATTCCATCTTCACACCAGACCTTGAGTTAGTAGAAATAATGGGATGTGCGAAATATAAAGAGAACCGGATGATTATTTCGGATTTTATGATTGTTTTGGTTATTCAAAACTTTAAGCCGTTGTGGAGGATACCTGAAGGAATGGTCCGATCTCTACCATCTTTACAAACGATCTTGTGTTGACGGAAATATTGAGATGTGTCAAGTCTGAATGGAATCGGATGTCAATTTCGCGTTTTATGAGCTTCATGGATATTCAAAACTTTAACCCTTTGCGAGGTAGGTACCAGAAGGAGTGGACCGATATATTCCATCCTTACACCAGAACTTAGGCTAATAAAAAAATTGTGATGTGTGTAATTTGAAGACAATCCGACACTTATTTCACATTTTATAAGAGTTATAATTATTCAAAATTTCGACCCTTTGTGGGGGAGGTACTTGATGGACTGGACCGACATTGTCAATTTTTGCACCAAATCTAGCACTGATGGAAATATTAGGGTTTGCAAAGTTGGAGCAAAATCGGATTATCTTTCTTCTTTCTGTGCAGTAAATTATTTTCTTTGAAAACGTTAACATTTTGTGGGGGAGGTACCAGAAGGAGTGGACCGATATTGCTTATATCCGAACTCGATCTAAGTTTCACAATAATATTACGATGTACCAAGTTTGGACTTTGAGAGTTATCGTGCGTACCAGCCAGCTAGACAGACGGACGGACGGACATGGCTAGATCGACTCAAATTTTCTGAAACAGAATTGGTACAAAGAGACCTAGGGTCTAAAACCGTTATTTTAATGAGGCACGTTTTGGCTGCATCAAATGATATATACCCTGGCCATATGACAAAGGGTATAAAAATCACAAATTTACAAATTTTTTTCTTCAAAAATTTCCCTTTTTTCCACAAAAATCCCATCCAAAGTTTTTGTTTGTCCTCACCTTTCAATTACCACAGCTGGCATCTGTACCAGCTGTACCGGCGATTTGCCATCCTTGAGGGCCTGTGTCAAATTCAAAATCTGTCCACGCATCACTGACATCTGCCGTTCGAACAGACGTTTATCGAATCCCTTATCCTGCTGGAAAAGATAATACAAATCCGTACACAATTCTTCTACGAAATTCATATCGGATAATTGTGGCAGTACTAGTTGTTTGATTTCTTCACTAAATGGCACTTTAGCCTGTGGCAACCAGGCCCAATGATAGGGATAGGCACGCCACGAATCGGGGTGTTTGAAGGGGAAGGCCAACCCATTGTCAATGGCGGCAATTTTTATTTCCGGTGCATCCACCAGACTCCATTCATTGTGTCGTTCTGTGGGTTTTCTACTTGATTTTGGGTCATTTTGTGGTGTCTCACCCACCGACGAGACAGACGATGAACTATTGGTCGTTGATGTACTGTGCAAAGAGCCGGATTGTATATCCACCAATTGGCCACTGTCCAGATTTTTGTTTTGTTCATTGTTATTGTTGGTAGATGGCGTTGCCTCAATGGGATCGGTATTTATAATATTTGCCGTTTTCACTTCATTCGATGACGTAGAGGTTCCGGCAAATAATGATTTGCCTCCCGTACCATTCACCTTTTTCGTAATTTTCGGTTGTACATATTTTATCAGCCAATTATCGTTGCCACGATCCGTATTACGTATGATATAGTCCAGCACTACCAATTTCTCAAATTGCAGCTGAAATGATTTGGCTAAGGCCTCTGAAAGTGGTTCCTGTTCGAAACGTCTCAGCCAATAGTCGGCATCTTTGTAGCCTTCTACAAAGGTTTGAAATGAACCAGTCTGAGGGGGGAGAGAGATTTTTGTTAATAAAATGTTATTTCGATTTATTTTTCTGACTACCTTTAGGGGTAAACTCATGCGATTGAATTTAGCCGAGGGATAATGTTCTTTGATCCGTCTCTTTAGCTTGGCCTTTTGTCGATCTATGCGGGCATAGTTAAAGGTTTCAGCTACCAGTCTTACCACCCGCGTCTTGGGCACAACATTAAGATTCAGTTTGCGATCGACTAAACTTGCACCGGCCTCGGAAAGGTAACTGGAAAAAAATATAAGGGTATTTTAATGGAGATCAGGGCGAATAAAAATAAATAGAAAATAGCCATTGATGTGGGGACTCTGGGAAGTCTTCAATTTAAGATAACCTAAGAAAAGCTTTCCCGCAAAAAGAGCCTGAGCCTGAAGCCCTAAAGAATGTACAGAAGGTATTCAGAATACAGAATAAAATCCATTGAAGGTTTCCATTAAAACAGACTGGCCATAGAAGGTAATTCTGCGTAATTAAGCTGGAATATCTAGATAATTTCTTCATGTAGAAGGCCTTTAGAAATAGAGAACCTATAGAAGGTCTTGGACTCATAGAAGGTCCGTAGAAGGTATTCTTCACATAGCAGACCTAAAAAAGACCTTTGACAAAGAGAAAAACTAGAGACGGTATTCGAAACATAGAAGGCCGATAGAAGGTCTGGGAGATATAGAAGACCTAAAGAAGGTCTTCTTTAAAAACAAGACCTATACCAAGTCTTCGATATATAGAAGACCTATAGAGATCTACTATAAAAAGAGGAAGGTCTTCGTCACCTAGAAGATCCTCACAGGGTCTTCGACACATAAAAGACCTACAGAAAATCGTCAACACATAGACATATGGGCAGTCTTCGTTACAAAGAAGACATATAGGAGGTCTTTGACACATAGAAGATCTACAGAAGGTCTTGGACTCATAGAAGGTCTGTAAAAATAGAAGACCTATAGAAGATTTTGGACACATAAAATGCCTACAGAAGGATTTCGTTACATAGAAGGCCTATAGAATGTCTTCATTACATAGAAGACCTATAGAAGGTCTTCTATAAAAACAACCTACACCAAGTCTTCGATATATAGAAGGTCTATAGAAAGTCTTCTATAAAAAGAGGACATATAGAGATCTATAAAATATATTCATCACATAGAAGATCTTCAGGGGGTCTTCGACACATACAAAACCTATAGAAAGTCTTCGACACATAAAAGACCTATAGAAGCTCTTCATCACATAGAAGATTTTCCGAGGGTCTTCGACACAAAGAAGACCTATATAAATCTTCGACGCATAAAAGACCTACAGAAGGTCTTGGACTCATAGAAGGTCTGTAGAATGTCTTGGAAATATAGAAGAGCTATAGAAGATTTTGGACATAAAAAATATCTACAGAAGGACTTCGTTACATAGAAGGCCTATAGAATGTTTTCATTACATAGAAGACCTATAGAAAGTCTTCTATAAAAACAAGACCTATACCAAGTCTTCGATATATAGAAGGCCTATAGAAAGTTTTCTATAAAAAGAGGACACATAAAAGATCTATAAAAGGTCTTCATCACATAGAAGATATTCAGAGTGCCTTCGATACGTAGAAGACCTAGGGAAATCCTTCGACACATAAAAGACCTATAGAAAGTGTTCGACACATAGAAGACCTATTGAAGGGCTTCCTTCCATAGAATACTATTGAAGAACTTCCTTCCATAGAAGGTCTTCGTCACATGGAATGCCAATAGAAGGTCTTCGACTATAGAAAATCTACAGGAGGTCTCCTACCAATAGATGACTTATAGGGACTAATTGGATGGAACATTTGGGACGCAGTCGTGATCTACATTTGCATGGATTATTTTTCAAACATTAAATTATTTGAACCACACTTAGTTTTTCTTTGGAAACCTTTCACCAAAAGACCTTCTACAAATCGCCATTTACACTTACCCTTGATTGGGTATTAAACAGGCACGGCCAAAACAGCAGGGACAGCATAGTTTATGCATCCATTTGGTCCATTTTGGATTAAGGCGTCCATAGGGTTCCTCATCCTTGGGTTTGAAGACGGCCAATATTTTCTGCAAAGAAAAAAGAGATTCAATTAATTTTCAATTCAATTAAATAAAAAAAAAAACAGAAGACCAACAGAAGGTTTTCGACACATAGTCGACCTATAGAAGGTCTTCCACACATAGACGACCCATGGCAGGTCTTCTTACATAAATAAAAAGTTTATTCGCATGTCAGACTTTAAACCAAAAATTTAACAAATTTCAACTCTATTGTTAAATTTCCCCGTTAAGTCTTGTGGGATTTTTTCTAAGCTTTTTCCCCAAGGAAGTAGCAAAATTTCAGAACACTTTTATGTAATTTTGCAAATTTAGAAAAGCTAAAAACGAATTTATCGTGAAGTGAAGCAACAACTGAAACTTACCCCCGAGGCATTTTTAACAAAATATGAACCACTGCTGCCTTGGTAGATACGTTCCGGCATAACTCCATGTTCAATGGCGAACTCAACTTGAGCAACAATCTCGGTAAAACTGGGATCATCTGAAAGGTGGGAAAAAGAAAAAAATTAGAAATTATATTTAAAAAATATGGTCTTGTAGCAAATAATTGAAGAGGGTTAGGCATGTAAATAATTACTCCAAAATTTATGATACTACCATAAGGATTTCTTGGCTTTTCGGTAAAATCAAGTTCAGAACGTAGAAGTATACCCTCAGCCAATGTTCGATTATTTGAAAATATTTTGACTTCTATTTTGATTATTGAAACTGTTGATCCTCTATGTAGTAGGTTCCGTAGGAGCGGGACAATATTGCCCATTTCGTATCGGACCTAAATAAATATTGATATAAATATTGCGACGTACCAGGTTTGCATTATATTGATTATTTCCTTTACTTTATAACTTTTTAGAAAATATATTAATTTTTAGAAAATATATTGGACCGAAGTATTTAAATTTTACACTTCATCTATAAAATATTCGTATGGAAAAAATTACAGGAAAATCGAACAATTTGATCCAATTTTATGCGAAATCATCAATTCCATATTCATCTCATAAGGTCTCTGGTTGAAGAAAATATTTAGATATAGCAAGTTGTAAAGAACAGCTGACTTGTTTCCCAAGTTATGACAGATATAAACATTGAAAATTGTGGTCCTTTGTGGGTGAGGTACCAGAAGGGGTTGGCAGATGTATATCATCTTCCCAACAGATCTTGTGTTAGCAAAAATGTTTGGATGTGTGAAATTTGAAGCCAGTTGGATGCTTATTTCGCCTTCTTTGGGTGAATGCGGGGAGAGGAGTAGGAGTGCCCGATATATCCAATAGGAGTGCCCGTTATATCCAGTCTTTACAGTAAAATTTGAAGCGAACTGGAAGCTTATTTCGGAATTTATGATCTTTTTGGTTATTCAAAATGTTGAACCTTTGTGGGGGAGGTACCAGAAGGAAGGGTCTGATCTTTACCATCTTCATAGCAGATCTTGTGTTGACGGAAATATTGAGATATATCAACTCTGAATGGAATCGGACGTTATTTTTGCGTTTTATGTGCTTCATGGATATTCAAAATTTTGAACTTTTGTGGGGGAGGTACCAGAAGGAATGGTCCGATCTTTACCATCTTCATAGCAGATCTTGTGTTAGCAGAAATAATGGGTTGCGTGAAATATGAAGATAACCGAATGCTTATTTCGGATTTTATGATCGTTTTGGTTATTCAAAACTTTGACCCCTTTGTGTGGGAGATACCAGAAGGAATGGTCCGATCTCTATCATCTTCAGAACAGATCTTGTGCTGATGAAAATATTGAGATGTGCCAAGTCTGAATGGAATCGGATGTTAATTTCACGTTTTATGAGCTTCATGAATATTTATTTTTTTTACCCTTTGTGGTTGAGGTACCAGAAGGTGTGGGCCGATATATTCCATCTTCGACCCAGACCTTGGGTTAATAAAAATATTGTGATTTGTCCAATTTGAAGATAACCGGATGCTTATTTTGGATTTTATGATCGTTTTGGTTATTCAAAATTTTGAACCTTTGTGGGGGAGGTACCAGAAGGAGTGGCCCGATCTCTACCATTGTTATAAGAGATCTTGTGTTGATGGAAATATTGAGATGTGCCAAGTCTGAATGGAGTCGATTGTTATTTTGTGTTATTTGAACTTCATGGATATTCAAAATGTTGACCTTTCGTGGTTGAGGTACCAGAAGGTATGGGCCGATATATTCCATCTTCGACCCAGACCTTGGGTGATTAAAAATATTGTTATGTGTCTAATTTGAAGAGAACCGAATGCTTATTTCAGATTTTATGATCGTTTAAGTTATTCAAAACTTTGACCCTTTTTGGGAAAGGTACCAGAAAAAAATGGTCCGATCTCTACCATCAACAGGTCTTGTGTTGATGGAAATATTGAGATGTGCCAAGTCTGAATGGAATCGAGCGTTAATTTCGCGTATTTAAGCTTCATGGATATTCAAAATTTTCACGCTTTGTGGGGGAGGTACCAGAAGGTGTGGGCCGATATATTCCATCTTCGACCCAGACCTTGGGTTAATAAAAATATTGTGATGTGTGTAATATGAAGAGAACCGAATGCCTTTTTCGGATTTTATGATCGTTTTGGTTATTCAAAACTTTGACCCCTTTGTGTGGGAGATACCAGAAGGAATGACCCGATCTCTACCATCTTTACAACAGATCTTGGGTTGATGGAAATATTAAGATGTGCCAAGTCTGGAATGGAATCGGATGTTAATTTCGTGTTTTATGCGGCTCATAAATATTCAAAATTTTGACCCTTTATGGGGAAAGTACCAGAAAGAGTGGACCGATATGTTCCATCTTCACACCAGACCTTGGGTTAATAAAAGTATTGTGATCTGTGTAATTTGAGGACATTTGGACTCTTACATCATATTTTTTTAAGAGTTATAATAATTCAAAATTTTGACCCTTTATGGGGCAAGTACCAGAAAGAGTGGACCGATATATTCCATCTTCACATCAGCCCTTGGGTTGATAAAAAAATTATTGTGATGTGTGTAAAATGAAGACAATGGGACCCTTACTTCACATTTTGTAAGATTTATAATTATTCAAAATGTTGACCCTTTGTGGGGGAGGTACTTGATGGAGTGAACCGATATTGTCCATTTTCACATCTGACATAGCACTGATGTAAATATTAGGATTCGCAAAGTTGAAGCAAAATCGGATTATCCTTTCTCTTTCTGTGCAGTAAATTATTTTCTTTGAAAATGTTGACATTTTGTGTGGAAGGTATTAGAAGGAGTGGAATGCCCATCTCCGAACTCAATCTAAGTTTGACAATAATATTACGATGTACCAAATTTAGATCAAATTGCATACTCCCTTCGAGAGTTATCGTGCGCACCAACCAGACCAAACGTGCTGAAACGGATTTTGTCCAAAGAAACCTAGGGTCTAAAACTGTTATTTCGATGAGACACGTTTTGGTCGTATCAAGTGATATATACCCTCTCTAGCCATATGACTGAGGGTATAAAAATCGGTTCACATTTTGAAATAACCCGTGGGGCTAACAATCGATTTTAGATGTTTCGAAGGTGGTTGTCCTGTTTACATCTTTAAATTTTATGGGAAAAAATCCATATTTTATTCAAATTTTAAGGATTTTGAGTATACGCAATTATGCACAATTTCTTTTTTCAAAATCAATAACAAAATGTTTTTTTAATTATTTACTAAAGAAATTCGTTTTCAATATCATAAGGCGTCCGGAGGCACGTTTGCGACATTGTCTCTTGTAAAAATACTCGCAAGGACATAACATTTCGTTTGAGCGTCACAAATTACACTGAGCCAAAGAAAAGAGCAAACAAACCAAAAATCTTAAAATATTCTGATGTAATCCGCCACAACGTTAATGATAATAATTTTCAATTTAAAAAAAAAAAGTTCGTGAAACTTATTGGGCATATAAAAATAGTTTCCAGCCGGTCAATATTCGAGAAATAATGGCAATTAAATTGAAATGTTTAATTAAAAACCAATTCACCGCATATTTTGAGACTGCGTGGTGACAAGGTATAAATTTTGAGCAATTCATTTGGTTGATTAAAAATTTAAAAGAAAATTCACACACACGGAGACACATTCACAACGGGCGGGTGGAAAGTGTTAAGTATGGTTATTTACTTTTAGACATTTCTAAGGATACCACACAAACACACACACATATGGAGGTGATGATATCCTTTTTCTACGCCGCCACACAACCACTTGTCTGTAAAAACAACAAATTTCACTTTCATTAAATGTGAATAATTAATATGAAATTGTTTTCGGGATACCGTAAGGAGGGATGCGGATAGAAGCGGTCAACTTTTAACCAATTACCATTAAACTGCGTAGGTGGATTTCCATCCTCGGTTATGTACTCGTATGAATTTGCACTATTCAATGAAATATTATCCATTTTTTCGGAATTTCGTAATAACCAATATTGTGACTAGCCACCACCACAACAAGCAACCTGCCGTATGGCCGGTGGTTTTTCTTGTGTGTCGTCGCTGACTTTCCTTTTGCAACATTTTGCCAATGTGCTACTAAAGAATTTGCTTTGTTTTTCTGTTCTCTGTACTCAATCTTATACAATTTATTTGCACCAATCATTGTTTTCTTTTTTCTTTACTTTTTAGTAGTGCAGGGATGGGATTGGTGGATACCACTAAAAGGATATATGTGTCGAGCCAATAGAAAACAGTTGGAACTTGGGAAAAATTGTGTCGGAGATTTACTAATTATTGAGGAGAAAAATCCAAAAAAAAAAACAAGTAAAAAACATCAAGTTCGGCCGGGCCAAACTTTTAATACCCTCCACCTTAGGGCAAAGGAAACATTAGAAGAAATGTGGCAAAAACCATTAAAATGCCAAATATCGGGAGGTACCGTTATATGGGGGCTATACCAAAACGTGGACCTATAATTACAATGTTTCGCCACACGAACTAGGACCCATTATGACCCACAAATACCAATTTTCAGACAAATCCGTGAAAAAAATGTGGCATAACTCATCAAAATACCGAATATTGGGAGGTACCGTTATATGGGGACTATACCAGAACGTGGACCAATATATCTCATTTTCAAAAATTACTCTGCTAAAGTTTGGCGCTCCACGTCAAATAGTGTGGGCTGTATCGTGATTTCAACAGACAGACGGACACCGCTAAATCGACTTAGAATTTTATGCTGATTATGAATATATATACTTTATGGGGTCTACGACGAATATTTAAGGATGTTACAAACGGAATGACAAAGTTAATATACCTTGCTTTCCAAGGTGGAGGGTGTTATAAAATATCGAGTAAAGACACAAACCACATCAACTTAATTACCAGTAACCAATAGGAGTAAGCAATACAGGGTGAGATGAAAAAACTGCAACCAACTTTAGACTGCTGTCATTTCTAAGCCACTCGTCCGACAGCTGTTAAAATTATTCCAGTGACAGCTCATTATATTGTTTACAAGC